TATTTATCCATTTCTCAGCACCCGCAGGCCGCAGGCCGCAGGTGATGACAGATCAGATCAGATCCGATCGTCCTCCCCACGTTACACCAGCCCCCCCCAGGGGTGGCGAATAAATAGCCGAAAGGCCCAGAAGCCAGATTATGCTTTAAATTATGCTTGATACCGGACGGAGGAGGAGCCGGGTATGTACTTACATGCGGCGGTATGTACATACACTTACGTACGTACGTAACTACGTGCGGCGGGGTGTCTTCGTGAACTGCTGGGGGAGGGGTGGATGTTTCCGTATCGCATGTAGCGTTCGGGTTGTCGTCGATCGCGACGCGACGCAGGTGCGACAGTCCGACGGTTGGATGCTGGACGCTGAACGGTTGGCCGCGAAGACGGATGGACGGCTGGGTGCACACGTCAGCTAGTAATATCTGGAGTATGTATCGAGGTAACCAGGTATGTGCTCTGGGTACGGTATACGAGGAGCTGAAGGATTTGATTTGCAAGCTGCGCGCGTGTTTACTCAACGCTCAACGCTCAACGCAACGGGAAAGGGATGCACTACTATCTATACTATACTCAGGGTATCTAGAGTAAGAGGTAAGACGTAGGTACTCAATGTATGCATACTTGGAAGTTGGGCAGTAGATGCCCACTTCTCTATCCGACATCTCCTCTACATACTCCAGGTACTCCGGGAGCATCAGAGTATAAGAGTGCGACGCGGCTGAGTAATAGCTCGTAACAGCTCGTTGGCGAGTAATAGTGAGTCGGCGCATCAGTTGAGCCGATCCCTCCCAGGCGCAGCTCGTAGCTCGCAGCTCGTTTATGCGGCTTTCTTTTCCTTTCTTTTGCCTTCAGCCCCGTTTAGTTACTCTAGTTACGGCTGTCATCTTCGTACTCGGATGTCGGAGTCCGGATGATTGCGACGCCGTGCGGAATGGCCGATAACGTTAACCCCGGGCTCCGATCCCCCATGTTCCAACACGTCAGGTAGATATCATGTGCAACTAGGTAGGTAGGGTAGGTTGGTAGGTTGGTAGGTTGGTAGGTCTGCGCATGAAGTCTGCAGATTCCCAATTTCACCGGTGGAAATTATCGACTTCTGGTTGAGTCAGGCACCCTACGGCCTTATTTATGTGTGCGTGTGTATGTGTGAGTGTGTGTATTAGTTGCCCTGCGCACGCCTTGCGAACACGGAGCGGAATGAGGATCTGCGGGCCCGGTTCGGAATGAGGATCTACATACAGTTCCGGTTCGGAAACGAAGTGTGGGCAGCATGCTCGGCGCATCACTCGGCGCATCACTCGCGCCCGCCGGAACTATCGATAGGAAACTTCGCCGCTTGCGGTTGGCGAGGAACTGTATGTATTCCTGGTACAAAGTTTGTGGAAGACAGCCGCCGCGCAGATAATTTGCCCGGAGTATCCGGCAACTATGAAGATGGACGCGAGCTCGCGCTGAATTATGATATTTACTTATGTTTAGTGCACTCTACACGCACGGTAACCTAGAGGCTACTACATCCTACTACTATCTACTACTGAGTTCTAACTAGTAGCCATTAACCAGAAACTATGTACCTGCAAAGTGTATACCAACATCACCCATCGCCCGACCGTCTAATTTGGTCTAAATGTTATACCGTGACTCCGTGATCGCCAGCTTAGGTATCCAAATATAGTGGATCACGCTCCACCCTCGACGGCGAAACGCTTATCGTGAGTCGTGTTTAGTGATGGCAAGAGTACGTACGCACGTATGATACCGCACTCTGACTCTGTTTCGGAAAAAGAGGGCGACAGGGTGGGTTACGCTCGAGGCTCGAGACTAGAGGAAACTCCAGGAACTGCGTATTCTACTATACGGTACCCTACCCTACCCTACTCTACTCTACTCTACTCTACTCTACTCTACTACGGTACGGGTACGGCGGTACAGTACGGTATGCGACGTATCCTCCAGCGGCAGAAGGTTCCAGCGGGCATACATGGATGGATGGATATATGCGTGCGTGTGTGCGTATTCGAGTCCGGATTTACGCTGCCTACTTACCCACCTATTAACCTACCAGTCTAGCTACTGGCCTACCAACGATCCCTGAGCAGTGAGGCCGCGCGTTCACGTGCTCCGCCACCTCCTCCGCCACCTCCGTTCCGCTCGTTCGTTTTCGTTCGTTTTCGTTCGGAGCGCCGTATATATCCGTATCCGCATACCTCGACTCGACTCGACTTGGGATCTGGGCCATGATCCGGGCCTGGGGAGTGCGCGGCCGGGGTCGGGGTCGGGATCCGGCGAAACGGCCGTGATAACGGCCTCGGCGTCTGGTGTCTGGTGTCCCGTATCGTGTCTCGTGTCGTCACTCGCTCACTCGATCGTGGGGACAGGGTTGCTCTGGCTGCCGAACCCGAATACCGATGCGATATAGAATCGAGCAGTGAATCGAAGGCCCTCAGCTAGATAACTAAAGCCCACACGTATGCACTCCCGGTAGGTCGCCTCGCCCCACGCCCGACTTTGACGATGCGCACTCACTCCGGGCGTTCGGGCGTCCCGCCTGCTGTCCGGTGTACATAACTTCACTTCCCCCGGCTTTGCTTCATTTTTCACTCTTCACTCTTCATTGCCCCATTGAGCTCGTCGACGGGTGGTAGTTGAATGGCTCGGGATGTCTGGCTGGCTATCTCGACGGGATCCAATTCGGCATTTGAAGCCTTGGCCACCGCGTTTAGTGCCGACACTGCGCAAGCGAAGACCACTGCTTGGTTCCACTCGGATACCGTACAGGCACGATTTCCCCCTGCCGTACAGGCATGAGCGTGTAGGCGGCTATCTAGTGATGCGTGATTGACCGTCACGGAAGGAAACCACCGAGTGATCGTGACCGACATGAAGAACGCAAGAGGGGCGGAGGCGTCTGCTTCCAAGCCGGTCGCAGCACCTCTGTACGGGAACCGCAATAGGGACGTAGAAGCACCCTCGCCACCACCACTATCACCGCCGCCACCACCGCCCGCGGGTGGCGGGATGCAAGGGAGTGTGGTTCCAGCCTCCAGGAGTCTTTGGTTCAGCACATCATACATGTACCAGTACGTACCTACATACCGCCATTCCCTCGAGCCGAGCCATACTCGATGCGAGCGGCCATTCTTGTTTCATCGTTCCGTACTCGACCGCTTCCGATCATCACCATGGTGCATACCTACATGCTGCGTCTCCTCCGCTGGTGACTTCCAAGCCACGTATGTAACTCCCAAAGTGGTGTTCGCAAGTCTAGTTGACACATTATCACCCGCACCTCTAGCATGTACATATAACCTAGATACTCCCTTCCCGGTTCGCCGTACGTACGGCATCACGGTCACCGTCGCCGTCGCAAAAGGTGGGTGAGCGACGATGAGTGACGGGCCAGAAACGAGTGATGGGCTGCGATTCCCCGCCGCGGATGGAGACCGAACGAGCCTTGTCTACATGCGGCATAGCCGCACTATAACTATCTAGATATATCCAAGATCCAGCACTGTCCAGCACGCAAGAAGATCTACGTACGTAGTTAGAGATGGAAATGAGCCGGCACGAATACGATCGGAGCCTCATGCGTTCTTTTCTGTTCGCGGCGGCCCCGCACGTTCGCTCGCAAGTTCGCAACTCGGCCCCGCCTTTGAGGCTGGAGGGTTGGAGGCGGGGCCCGAGGGCCCGAGTGGGGCGAGCCAGTGGCAAACTCACCGCTGCTCACCGCTGCGCACTCACGATGGGGGGCCGCGGCGATGCCAGAAAGATCTGTCCCGGAGTAACGGTCCGATGGTCGGTTCCATCGGACATCGCTCGCTCGAGGTAGATACTCGAGATACTCTACTCTGGTTAAGCCCGACTCGTCCAGCCTCGGATACCGTATGTGCACCAGCTCCAGCTCCATCTACAGCTTGAGCCCTCTGCTCGAGATGGGTCGGCTCGCGTCCTCCGTTGGTCGACGCCAGAGTGATTCACAACCATCACTCGCGTGTTCGGCCCTCGCCTTTCACGAGATGTCACGCGCGTGGGATATCGTCGAGTCGACGGATAGAATGCGGCGGTGGCTGCTCCTCGACCCCCACCCACGCAGCAGCAGCAGCGATTGTAGAACATCCGCTGATACCTACGTAGATACCATGCAGCAAGTGACGCGTCGAGGTGGCCATGTCCATGGCCATTCCATTTCCGCGATGAGGGCGTGATGTGGAACCTCACCCCCATCGGATGATTAACTGGGTGGGTGGGTATAGTAGTCCGTCCTGCGCTGCCGGAAGCCCGAGACATAGTTACTTATCATTGTGATTGCAGAACCGGGTCCATGGTCCATCGGCAGTACATACATATGGCCATATGATACTCCATCTGCCATATAGATAGTACTATGAGTTACAATCGGTGACGGCGACCGGCTTGCTGGGCTACGTATGTAAAGCAATGTCCGGTTGACCGCGCGCGCGAGCGAAAACACCGTGTTCGGCGTGTTTCCCCGGGCCCGCTAGGCTCCGTTTGGTGAGCTCGTGCCAGCTTGCGTGGATATGTATGTAGGTACCTATTATTCTCGGTGGCCAATTCCGACCGCACGCACGCACGCAGATCCGCCGCGACGAGTGATCCCACGTGTACGGGCGGAGGTTGACACGGAAGGGAGGGGCGGCAGCCTGGTTCTGGCTAGGGTGGGATCCGTTCGCGTACTATGGTATTATGATAGTACTAGCGATGGATAACTACGGTAGTTACTTGGTTAGTTGACTGAGTACATATCATAGGTACTCGTATCTAGGTACTTACCTGGGTGGTTAGTCGTATGATGATGGTTTTCCGCCGAGCAGTCTTTGCTGTTGGTTTGTGATATCGATGGTTGTTCATGTCTGGGCAACGGCTATGGTTAGATATGACGGTGATCGATTCGAGCACGTCAACGCTACCAGCGACGATCGAAGGGCTCAACCATCCCTCCCTCCCAATTGCCCAATGCCCTTGTCGTTTCCTCCAAGTCCACCCCCCCTCCACACTTCCCTGCTCACCCCACGCCGTACATAATGGAATCTACACACGAGATGTCGGCAGGAAAATACATTACCCAACATCAACTTGTTTGAAACCGTCTGACGAATCAATCCGTATTCACGGACGGATGCAAGCCACACTCGTGTGGAATCGAATCAACAGCATCAACGACAACCGAGTAAGACGGGGGGCTACGATCTGTGTCTCGTCTGTTTGGTAGTGTGAGGGGTGTGCACCGCAGCTCAGCATGGCAAGCCCCCTCTCTCTCTCTCTGTTGTGTGAGGGGTGTGCACCGCAGCTCAGCATGGCAAGCCCCCTCTCTCTCTCTGTTGTGTGAGACACGTCCACCGCCGTTTCTTTTCTCCTGCCTCCCTCCTCGCCAGGTGTGCTCTGACCTCTGCACCGTCGGCCAGTCCACAAGCAGACTGCGCTAATCGATCGTGCATGATGCTGCCCGCTCGCCTACATGGCAGTCGTCACTCTAAATCCTCGACTTCCCAGCCCGCCTCAACACACACAACAACAACAATTGAACCCCGTCCCGGTAAAATCTTGGAGGCCAAGAATCACCACATCAAGCAACATCTCACGCCCCACTGCGTTCGTTCGTTGTGCTGGCCCGCCGTAACTTCGCTCACATCCTTCACCTCTCCCGGGATATCCCAACCTCGGCGTATGTATCATACTGTGAGTGCATAACGATTACGCTTCATCCGAACCCTTTCCCGGACCGTAGTCAGTCCGACTTCTAATTGCCCATTGAAAGGGCGCTCCTCCTGCCAGGCAGCCACCGGGGGCGATGGCAATGATAGGTACGGAGACGACACCCGTCTCGAGTCGAGCTGACGAGCCCATCCCATCCCTCCCCTCCTCTACATCCAGGCTTCCGGCCCCTCCCTCCCAGTCCCCTCCAGACGAGCGCACTCTCACGCCCTTCCAATCATCGACAAGATGTGGTAGGACGACGGAGGTCACCCAGGGCCAAACCCGCACAAACCACAGACTACTGTATCACGCCTGCTTACATACGGGCAAGGGTGGATTACCATAGGTTGCTCTGCTTCTCGACGGGAGAAGAAAACGGCAGCACGAGAGAGAGAGAGTGAAGCGATTGGCATCCCCCCGCCCGCCCGAGCTGGGGGGCACTCTCGTCGATGATGCTCACACCTTGGGTTGAATGGGTTCCCGTTGCGCTAAGCAGGGTAGCCGCCTCACCGACCACCCACACTGCCTACCACCACCACCGCTGCCACTACATACCACCACTACCACCACCCCATCCCCGCCCCTGTGTATCCCCGGTGATGTTTAGGAAAGCGCAGAGTGGAAAGTGCAGAGTCGAAGAGCGAGTACGGATATTCCGCGCCGCTGCGATGCGCCGTACTCTACCCTACTCTATTCGTTCCTACAACGGGCAAAGCGCCAAGCAAGCGGGTAGGGATAAGGATAGGTAGGCACTCTACTCTAGAGTACGGATGGCTGCGATGGGCCGCCCTTCGTGCGACGGATACGCGGAACTGGAACGGCCCGCAATTCCGAGTGACAGGGCGTGACCAGAGGCCGGCCGGGCGACGGCGATGGCGTTCGGGACCGTGCGACTGTGCGGTGAGGTGCGGTGTGATGATAAGGCGGGATAGGGAGGGCGCTTCATCTTTCGTCGTCGTCGGTGGAGTGGGGGGGGGGAAGGGTGCATGGTCGGTGGTCGTACCTACGTACGCAAGCCACAAGAACTTCTTCTTCATTGCTACGGGCATGTTCCGTCCACCACCATCCACCACCACCATCTGCATCCTCTCTGTCTGTCTGTCCCTCTGTCTTTCGGCGATGATCGCACCCTCACACCCTCTCACCCTCGCTGGTCGACGAGGATCGGCGTCTCGCACGCAGATCTGCCCAGCGGTCAAGGTTTAATAGAGTGTGTGCATACATACGGTGCATACAGTGCATAGATACGGTAGTTAGACGAGAAACGAGAAGATGGACATCACTGATCGCACCCACGCACTCACGCACTCACGCACTCACGCACGCTTGCACGTGCATATCGAAGCACCCTTGCCCCTCCCATCCTAGGTAGGTAGTGTGGATGTGGATGGGGACGACGACATCCCATTATTATCGTTCGTTGCACCCCCCTTTCCCTTACCTTTCCCTTGCCCTTTCCCTTGCTCTTTCCAGAGTACACCGGATCCGTCCTCCCAGCTAGCATATATAGGCGGGCGGGGGGGGGGAAGGGGGGGAGATGGAGATGGAGGGGAGGGGAGGGGGCACAGATATGCCATGTACGTTGTACCCATCTACCGTACCTACCTAGAGCACCTAGGGCACCTACCTAGCAGTGCAGTGAGCACCCCTGGGAGCTCCGAGCCCGACTCCCACACTCTTGGTTTTTGGATTTTGGGGTTACGTGCTCCATAGTACTCTACCTATATGTAGTACCTATTGCGTTGGGACACTGGACACTGGACACTGGACACTGGACACTGGACACTGGACACTGGACACTGGACACTGGACACTGGACATTGGACATTGGACATTGGACATTCGATGCCGATGCGTAACGGGCGAGTGATCGTGGATGATGGTGGATGATCGCGCGACGACGGGGAGGGAGTGCTCGATTGCTTTGTAAGTTCTCGCGGCGACGCCGGTAGGTACATACTCTACTGCGTCGACATCGGACTTCCGTCACTCGTACCGACCTGCCTACCTGCCTATGTATGTACACGCGTGGAGACAGACCTAGCCGGTGCGCGCTCCGTTGTGGAGCTCGTGGAGAAGAAGGACCTGGTATGGTCTGGTCTGGTGCGGTCCTGTGCGAAATAATATACATGATACCAGGGTCGAGAAGTCCAAGTCCAAGTCCAAGCTGCTGGGGAGCCTGCCATGTACATAGATATTTACGGGGACCTACTACCAGCCGACGACGGAGCGGTCTTCTTTCATAGTCTATAATAGTAGAATACAGTGGAGTGGAGTGGGAATAACTATCCCGTCCAATCAATCAAATCAATCAATCATACCATAACTACAGCCCCCAAGCAAAAAACCGACAAAGTGAAATCTATACGCACGAACGGACGAACGCCATGTCCCCGATACCTACCTATTATACAGTACAGTTGAAGAGCAGAGCAAACCGAGATCTCCGCCCCGTCCCCGTCCCCGCCCCCCTCCCCCTCCCCCCTCAGCACCCCTCCCCGCCCGTCCTCCACCTCTCCTCCCACCTCCCACAATCAAACACGTTCTTCCCCAGTTTCTGATTAACATCATTATGCGCCTCACAAAGCCACTTTCCCAGTGTCTTCCGTCCCTTAACAACCTCGTCGAGCGTCTTCCCACTGCCCGGCTTCGGCGCCGCCATCCACGCCCGGAAATCCGCCGCGCAGCTCCAGCACGGATATATCCGCCCAAAGATTTGCAGGAACTGCGACATGTCCGCTTGCTGCGAGGGGGTGGCGGTGCTGGGGTAGGTTGCCGCGATAGAGTGTAACAGGGTCCAGGAGGCCCGCCCGAGCTGCTCGACGTCGGGGGGGCAGTCGTCGCGGGGGATGGGTGCCGAGGTGGGTGCCCCGGTGGGGAACGGGCGGGGTGAGGAGGCGGAGGAGGAGGCGGTCGCGCCGAAGAAGTCTTGGTACGTGTTGCAGGTGCGGCAGCTGATGGCGTTGGTTAGCGAGGTAAGAGCGGTGGGTGGTACGAGTGCTGGCGGTGGTGGTGGTGGGGGTGGGGGCAGGTGCGTGGGGCAGCTGGGGCAGGTGGCTCACGGTTTGCCATCGGGGCCGAGGACTATTCCCTTCTTTTTCGTTGTCGCGGGCGCGTGTGGTAGTGGTGGTTGTGTTGGGGTGGTGGTGGTATGTTTTTGTGTGCTGGCTGGTGGTGGTGGCTGGTCATCGGCCTGGAGTGACGAGACTTCCGTCATTGTTGGATGCGGTATGGGTATGACGACGCGATTAACGTTTTCGAGTGGCAGGTTTGTTTCGTACGAGAGTTAAGTTTGATAGTTATGATCGGGCACGAGGGGGGGTTGAGATCAGCCGGTTTTGTTTTGCGGGGTAGGTACGTAGGATAACGGCGAGGGAGGCGGAAGATCGGATGAAGTTTCGACACAAAAAGATCCATAATCAGCAAAGAGCCGTGGAACATCCCAGAACACGCGACTTATTTTTTTTGGCTTGGGATTGAGGCTCGCGACACGTGGGATGGATTCCCAATGGACTTTCGCTTAGCTGGACAATCGGGATGAGGACGGGGATGGACGGGACGGGATTGACGTCGTGCTTGGATGAGGGTGGAGTTAGGTGCGTGCTTATCAATCCCATCTTATCGATGCACCTAGCAGAGCTCATTCATTCCCGTCGCATTTCGTGAATCGTGCCATGTAGATACATTTCTACATACCGATCGATACTCCGGGTCTCTACGTCTTTTTTTCGTTCAGCTCGCACGATCAAGGCAGGCGCATATAAACAAAACATTCCTAGGCAATTGCAATTTGGCGACGCCATGAGCCCAACGGTGGCAAAGTTTCCAAGCCAAACAATGTTGACCACGAAGGAGCCCATCCCGCTGCGGCCTGGCGGGGGGCCGTTTCGGCGTTATCACGGCATATTCTCGGGCTCTAACGTCATCGACGATGCCTGTGACAGCGCTGATTAGTTACTCGTCGGCATGCTCCATCCCCCACACTGCAATTGCCAACTATCGCCAATGCGTGTGAAACCGACGGTTAAATTGGGGCCTTGGGTGTTTTGCGGGGGCGTCATCGAGTCACGTCCCGGGTCTGAGGGCGGTGTCTCCGGCCGGTCTGCTCAGACAGGCGTTTATTCGCGAGCTAGAACGTTGGGGGTTCGTGTTCGAGCTGAGCAAAAGGTCAATTGGGGGGGAGAGGAGGGGGAGCCGAAGTATAGTACATACCGGACGCCGCCGTGTGTGATAAGCTGCCTGCTATGATAGTCCAACCCCAATACTCAGCAGCTCAGTCGGCTTCGCGCCCGAGAGCGACTATGCAGAGCATGCACGAGAGAGTGAGAGTTAGTTGGAATGTTGGAATGTACCTATCTGCTAGTACCTGGGTTACGTTACAGCCACACACACACGGTGGGTACTTTTAGTAACCCATCTTGTGGGTCAACCCAGATGGTACTGACTGCATCGCATACGCACACACACACACACACACACACACACACACACACACACACACACACACACACACACACACCGTACCGTATCCACCCCGCGTGATGGATTGGATGATGTTGGGGAACGCCCGTCGAGATCGCGATGCAATTTGCGTATCGAACATTCCGGATCTCTTCTCCTCGCCGGTAGCGACTGCCACATGAGGTTCTCTTCATATCGGGTCGGCCTTGGCTGGCCTTGGCTGGCCAGCCTGCTTCCATTTCCTGTTCGTGCGGGTACACACGGCCGGCCGGCGCAGGACGTGCAGTCGTCCGGACCGAAAGTATCGGCGGTTGATCTTTTCTGCCTCTTTGCACCAAACCCCCCCAGCATGAGATGGGGGCGGGGGAGGGAATAAGCGCGATGTTATGCAATGTATGCAGATCCGTGGATGGATGGTGCGAGCCTTTTTTCTCTCTCTTCACGTGCGTGTGAGCTATTTCGGCGACGAGATACCTACATCCCCGCTACGTACGGCCTAGACATAAGACACGCAATCAGCAGTTGCAGGCAACTTGGGGGCAGGTTGGAGCAGTTGGGAACAACCGTCTCAAATCTCGCTTGAAATAATGGTCCTGCCCTGTCAACAACAACCACCCCAACCCAACCCCCAATACCGGGTCGCTGGGCACGCGGGCGGGTCCCCCATCAGACAAGTTGATTACATGCGTCATCCCCATGTTCTCGATTGCGTTCGTCTCTACTGGGTGATTCCGTCGGCCACCCGGATTGTGGGTTCTAGCTCTCTCAGCTTACACGAGATGATGAAGCATCTAACGCCCTGGTCTGGGGTGTTGGAATGTAACTACTGGTGGTGATGCTGGTGTGCGGGACGTTTGGACGAAGGTCGGCCAGCGGGTGTGGTTTCCCCGACGGATCGGACCACCGCAACCAGAGAAGGGTGTGGTTCATGTGATGTGATGCGAGAGGGATCCTGTCCAGAAATGTGTAACCGGATTACCTATAATATAGGTATTCCAATATCACGGAGGACTGGAGGAGAAGACGTTGAGTTTGTGCTCGCCCGCTGCATGAGCCAAAACACCAATTGTGGGGGAGGGGTGTCCCGGTTACGGTGGATGGTGGGCGCACTATCTAACGGATGTCTCGGATTGTAAGGAGGGAGAGCGAGAACGACCACGGCCTCACTGCCGCCTACAGTGCGTAGGCCACCCTTTCCCCTGGAACTAGGTATCAAAATCAGTACCCAGTCTTGAAACCTCGAATAGTGCCGTGGAACACCAACCAACACCATGACAATCCACTTCACATCCAGTGGCCACCTGGCCAATCGTCCCCCCAACCAACACCACGAGAAACCTACTCTCAACCTGGGCTCTGGCTTTGTGGAGTAGTGGAATCATAACGACAGTTATGATATACTATACCGACCCTATCCCAAGAAAACACAACGACCCAATCGTTTGGCAGAAACGGCATTCAGCCCTCGCGCTAAGTTGTCATACCGGCCACCCTTCTCTGTCCCCCATGCCCTTGAATGGGACTTGTTGTTATCTTCTCTGCCTCTTCTAACCTCCTCTAACCTCGCCTACCCTCCTGTACCCTCTTGGGCATCTGTAGGCAGCAACAACGGCAGCAGCAGCAGTACAGTGCCGTTCGGTCGACTGCGACCGGCCGGTCGACCGTCATCAGCACGCATAGGCAGTCACGCACCAGGGTGGTGGGTCTGCGTGTGCCCGGGATCTTTGGGATCTGAATCACACGGAACACAATCGCTCGGTATTTGGGGTTCTGGTGAAGCCGAAGTCTGTTGATGTTGGTCATCTAGGCCCCATCCGTCGGGTTATAGCGAAATTGCGGTGCTTGCTTGCTTGTTCCCTCCGCCATGGAGCCGGTGTCGTGTCCATTTCCGTTTCCCCTCCACTCCCCTCCCTTCAATCCTCCAAGAGTCGGTTTTCGTTTCGGCAGTGACGGTGGCAACGGGCATGAGGGCAGCATGCAATCGCGACGATGGAGCTTGCCATCCATCCATCCATCCAGCCGGCCGCCCATGCCGGATGCAGCAGCACCGATTGCGGTCCCGTGACTTGCACTGACGCATCAGGGGTTGCGCTGCCAGGCTGTGTTTCCACCTATGTATGTACGTACCGGAGCCAGGGGTCCCAGGTCTCAGAGATTAAGCACGCACACGCCTTTAAAAAACTTCAATAAGCCAACGGTTGTCGAGGTGCGAGGGAGGGTGAGAGGGTAGGTACGCATACTCGCAAGCAAGCACACACACACATACTCACACATGCCTATACCCGGACGCTCGCAATTGCTGACATATGTAGGTAGATCCTCGACGTTCTTGCATCCGTGCCGGCCGGACACATACGTACACGTAGGTAGGCAGGCAGGTACTGAGAAGGGACTTGGTTCGTGCGGAACATGGCTTCCGTCCGAGACTGCATTCGCCAGCAGAAGCTGAGGCCGTACAACCGGGCCGGGCAGGTATGATGGAGGAAGGGGGAAGGAGTGCGTCAATGTGTCAGTGTACGACACACTACGTGTGCAAGATTTCCTGGCAGGTTTGAGGGTTTTTGGTGTTGAAGGCGGGGGAGGGGTGGACGAACATTGGCAGGTCGCCGGAGGAAGAAGTAGAGGTGGAGGTGGAGGTAGAGGAAGGGGAGGGACGGCACGATGTCGACCGCACTGCAGACGGATTTTAAGGTTCACGGTTTGTTCACAGGCCAGCACTCCGCCTCTGGGATTGGAGGATATGCATAGTATTTGCTGGGCCACTCATAGACGCCAGAGACGCCGGGGGGAGGGCGCACCCACTGCCCAGCGTCCATGTAAGCAAGTCGATAAGCCAACGACGAATTCCCGCGCGGATATGCGCACACTCGGCTGATCATTGCCCATGATTCGCGGACCGAGTGGCAGTTAGAAGCGCGCGATCGGAAGATCCGAGAGGTCCGAGGACGGGCGAGGCGAGCTGACAGAGTCTGTTCCCTTCCCTCCCTCCCGGAGCCCCGCCACCACCCCAACCCCATTGCGGCACAAGACAGAGATCGAAAGATCGATATGAGTAGTTATACAGCTGAAACGGGAAGGGGCGTCCTTAGTTGGGTAGACCGTAGTTGATCACAGCACACGGACCCTTTCCTGCTGCAGCTTCGTCCTCCTCCTATGATTTGATACATGCCTCCAGCTGCTCAGCTCGTGAAACGCCCAAAAATAAATATTTGAGGATGGGTGCTCTACATGATCTGCCAGACACAGGCCGCACAGCAGCACCCAGCACCCAGCGCCTCCAGAGCTCACTTCCCAGAGCGGTGGTGTTGATCCGGGGAGTAGATGTGATGTAGCAGAGATACTCGAGCGCGCGTGCGTGCGTATGTATGTAGGTACTCTAGAGTACGGTAGGTACAATACTCATTATACGTATCTCCACGTACGTACGTCGGTGGGTACTTTGATAGTTATCTCCAACCCACGCCGAACAGGGGTATCTAACTATATCTTACAGCAACACAGCAACAGATCCGAACCCCACAAGGTCCACCTGCATCAATCATCAATTCATCCTGCGTTTCTCTAGTGCGCTCAGTGCCCACGGACGCCGCCGCCGCCAAGTTACTTACACGCCGGTGGGCAGGTGGGCAGTTGGGCAGTTAGGCAGTTAGGCAGGCAGGCAGGTGGTGCTCGATGGAAATGAGATAGTTACCGGTAGGTAGAGTACTCTATTCTACTCTACTCTACTCTACTCACAGTCCACTCCACCACCACTCCGCCTTCACTCCGCCTCGCTCTGGGGTCTCGGGGGACGGAAGAATCCGCAATCATCCGATCCCGCAGTCCCCAAACACTCCTCATGGGGGGCAAGCAAGGGCGTGGGCATTGACCCCGCGCGCCGCACCGACTACTCTAGCTACCCGTACCTAGAGTAGGCAGGCAGGCCATCGAACGGTTTTCTCCACCACATCACATCGTTCCACATCACATCACATCACATTACATCCGAACATCACATCACATCACATCGCTCGTTCGCTCGCTGTCACATCACATATCCCATGACCCCACGGCGAGTGCCATCTGATTAATCGGAATTCGGCGATAACACTACGGTAGGTATGGAAGTGGAAGGAAGTGGAAGGTTCCGGTCAGTTCGATCGGATTGGGCTTTGGCTTGGGCGAGGGGACGCCCCGCTATTATTTCTGCTGGGGGTCGGCGGCAAATACCTTGAACTGTGAGGAGCGAGAGAGAGGCGAGAAACATTCGAGACGCTGGCGAGATAGACATATCCACCCAGAATACCGGTAAGTACGAGTCCCCTCGAATACGGCCCGCGCACTCTCTTTCGCGTCACTCTCACTCTCACTCTCTCTCACTCACTCGCTCTCTCTCTCTCTCTCGGCGCGTGGGGGAAGGAAAAGCGAGACGCTTTGATTGCCCATACATATACCCGCGGACGTGCAGCTGCCGCACAACCTAGTCCCCATGCGCAATCACTCGCCTGCCCCTGCCCTTCGCACCCCCCCTCCCTTTTTGCCTGCCCCTGGCGGCAGGGCGGTAAAAAGGGTCCGTGCAGGCGGCAAAGGCAAAGGCAAAGCCCTGCACACTCTGCACTCTGAACTTTGAAGTGCGCCAAATATTGGGGTTCGTTCGGAAAAGCTGCCGGGGGGTCTGGGGCCTCTCGCTTAAAATAGAGTACCTTCCACTCTATCTATCTATGCTAGGTATGCCATATGCTATGTATCATGCCTCGCAAACTCACTGAGAACTTCACCGACAAGTTACAACTGCCGTTGAGACTTGAAGGTGTCACGGACTCGCGGTTGATATCACTCACTACTCGGTACAATACATACCATGAGTAGTAGTGACTGACTGGCCCGCTCAGCTCCTGAGTCCTGTGGCGGTGGCAATTCAGGCGGGCCATGCTGCCATGCTGGCTCGCTACCTTATACCCACCTAGTAATCTTGACATTTGTGACTGGAGAGCTGGCTCCCTCTCGAATGTGATTCCTCGCCCTGTTGGGATGTACTCCAGGTACTCGGGTGTAAGGGTAAGTGGTGCACCCCATTAAGCACCATTTGGTAGTGGTGGTGGTGCACGACTTTTCCTCACACTGGAGTACATACTGGTACATAAGTTATGACCCCCCCCCTCCCCCCTCCCCCCTCCCCCCTCCCCCCTCTCCCCTGGTCCAGTGATTTTTACGTAGTACCTATGAGCGACCCAAGGATGGCGAGGGAAGACTCGAGGGGAGGGGGAGTTCGTCCAGCCGCTAACTACGGTAGAGTACGCGGCTAAATTTCCCAAAACGCCAGCATGCTCGAACGCAAGCATGCTCGAACCGGGGGCCAATCAGCCGTGCGTAACAGTTCCCGTTCTCGGTCACCCCACGGGCCACGAGCAACTACTATCAACGAGTCCCCCCCTAGTGGCCCGTTGACGTTGTGGATGCGGAGGGATCGGCTACCTACTCTTCCTAGTGGGGTTTTACCTACCCACCTACCCACCTACTCTATCTACGGTGGTATCTATCTATCTGTCTATCTAGAGGATCTTGCGCCCGCCCGCCATGCAGACTCCGTGTGCAGACTCCGTGGTCCGTAGTCCGTGGATCTTGTGATCACATACATACATACATCCATCCATCCATCCTATGTACAGTACGGGATGCATCTTTTGGGTGGGCGGATGTACGAATGCGAGGGAGCTGTGTCACGATACGATACGATACGGTTCGGGCATTCCGCTTCTTCGTTCCCCCTGGTTGAACAACGGCGACGAATGTACGACGGCCGCGACGACAACGACGATGGCCGTGACGATCGATACGGTTGCGGGGTGCCGAACTCCCGAATACACCTACACCTACATACCGGACCACGTCCTGTGTGTATGTCTGTCTGTCTGTCTGCCGGTTTGTAGGTTTGAATGATGTGCCCCTGTGGGGAATGCGGGGATGGGATGGGAGCAAAAGTTAGTTCCGGACCGTGTCGTTGTCGTCCAGTGTATTGTACAATACTCTACTATTATTGTAGGCCGGCCGGAGCTGGTCGTAGAACCACCAGGTATACTATGTATTACATTATACATACGGACAAGTCACACGATTTGACGTCGACGAACGACGTCGACGACGTCGGGAGTGTTTGCGCAGCGCAGCGTGGAGTAACTGCTATAGAGTAACTAGAGTATCCAAGCAAGGAAAAACAAAACAAGACAAGACAAGACAAGACAAAACCACTCGGCGGGGCAGTGGGCACTGCGCTGCCGGCCGGCTTGCTTGGAGACGCGTCAGTGCAGTGGGCATCCATCCATCCATCAGGCGGTGCGCTGTTTCCTACCCCCTCCCCCTCTGGGAAGTATGCATCTCGAGCGAGCGGGGAGTGGGGGAGGGGGAAGGGGAAGGGGAGCTCATGGCGGAGAAGGATGGCGGGCACCGGACTGGCTGGCTGGCTGGCTGGCTGGCTCGCTGGCTGGCTCGCTGGTCTCTTGTTTTTTTTCTCCTTCCTTTCCTTTTTGGTTTTGTTTTTTCCTTCATTCTTCCCTTCCCTAGCCGTCACTGTCACTGTCACTTGTTTGCAGCAGCAGCGGGCCCTTTCCGGGCGAGCGTGTGGTAATGGCAGTAACCGCCATGAAACCTTGAAAAATATTCCCTCTCCTCTCTGACGCCGACTCTGCCTGTACCTCTGCCTCTGCCTGTGCGGCGGCGGAGGACCCGGGGATGCATGTACGGCATTACTTACTTCTCGCTGTGTGTGGTAAACGGCGCCGTGGGCGAGATAGATACGGTGCAGTGGGTATAGTTCGATACCCCACGTCCTCGCCGTCTCCGATCTCTGTCGCCCTCTGTGTTTTCTATTTGCAGATCCTAAGTTACTCTACATACATGCGGCCGTCTGGGGACGCTGGCCTGCTGGAGGCTGCATGAGAAGAGGTCATTGATTCATGTTTTTCTTTCCTTTCTTTCCTTTTGTTTCCTTTCTCTTCAGACTCGGCGCGGGGCGGGGCGCGGCGCGGCGGCGATACTTCTCGCTCTCTCTCGCTCGTTCACACTCGTTCGCGGCCACTAGGTAGAACAGTGCCGTAGGCAGCCGGGTGTTGTCCGTCCGGAGGTAGGCAGAGTGTGTAGCGACTCGCGAGTGGTAAGCCGGTATGTAGGTAGCAGGGAAGAAGTCAGAAGAAGGAAAGAAAGAAAGAAAGAAGAAGAAAGAAAGAAAGAAAGAAAGAAAGAAAGAAAGAAAGAAAGAAAGAAAAGAAAGAAAGAAAGAAAGCACGGTGCGAAGCGACGAAAGCAAGGGCCAACATCAATTCCAATTCCTCACATCCTCAATTCCTCACATCCTCAATTCCTCACATCCGCACCGTCGTCGTCGGCGCCGGACCGATTACCGAGCTGAAAAAGAGCACTCCCGCACGCACGGCGTAAAGTCCAATCAGCAGCCGTGTTTGGGCATGTTTCGTAACTTTCGTTGTGCGAAACTACTACTCTGGTTAGTTAGTTGGTGCTCTAGCGAGAGGCAAGAGGCAAGACGCGAGGACGCGAGGAGGCGAGACGAACGGTGGGTCTGTGCGGTGCGGCGGTGGGGCGCGGCTGAGAACCAGGAGCTCCCCTCTGAACTTTGAAGGGCAGTAGAGTATGGTACAAGGTAGAAGCTGGCACGCGCGGCGGGGGGACGTCGGTCGCGTCGGTCGGTCACGTAGCACCCACCATCCAGCCCTCGGCGGCGGCGGAGGGATATCGCTCAAACTCTCTTTCCCTCTTGGACGTTTGGATCTTGTCCTCCTCCTCTTCCCCTCCTCCTTTCTGTAAGGTACCAAGTACTCTGGCAAAGTTACTTTTCACTTTACTTCACTTTACTTTAGAGCTCTCCTACCGGCATGGCGTGGCGTGGCATGACATAACTACCAATTAGTAGTAACTAGCATGGCATGGCATGCCATGGCTGCCCTTCCCTGTGTCACATCGACACTGCACTCATCCCACATCCCACATCCCCACGTCCGTCGGACCCTTGCTCTCCTCCCCCTCTCGCACTTGCACTCCCACTCCCACTCACACTTCGCTCGTAAATTCGTAAACGCACAACACATCCGCTAGCTACAGTAGCTAGCGACGACCCTGACCCAAGCAGGGTGGGGCTGTCTCGAGATGGCTGGATGGATGGATGGAGCAGAGTCCATACTTGCCTCTCACTACAGTTATGTACCACTCTGGGCACCACTCTACCCTCTACCACTCTACCACTCTACTCTACTCTAGGTAGTAACGCACTCACTCACTCCCACACGCACGTCCACGTCTCTGTTTGCTTTGGTGCTTGCTTTGGTGCTTGCTTTGGTGCTTGCTTTGGTGCTTGCTTTGGTGCTTGCCTGCTTGCTGCCTGATTATTTCACTCTACCGACGCCCCAGCTCGTGTCGCCACCTCCCACTGATAAAAGGCCTAATGTGCGTCCATGGATGGTCGCGTTTGAAATGTGCGGATGCGGGAGTGGCCGACTCGGGGAGGAAGATGAAGAGCGACGTGACGGCGAGCGAGGGACGTGACGGAGCGAGCGAGGGAGTGACCAAGTGAAGTGAGCAAGTGGATGGAGAGACCGAGACCGACACTACTCTACTAACCTATACAGAGACGAGAGGGGAGAGTTGTTAGAAACGAATGAACATCCCTACCTCTTTCCCGGCCCCTACTCTACTCTACTCTACTCTATGATACGCTTCTACGCTGGATGCATAACTACCGTAGAATTAACTACACCCCACCGCGAAGGCGGAGAGCGAGCGAGGGACAGAGGGAGCAAGATCTTGGAGCCACCGTTTCGGCTACGACTCTTGGCAGAGCTACCGCAGCGGTAACTTGTGTGTAAGTGGCCGAGCAGGCTGGCTGGGGGGGGGTTGCGTACTCGCTCGTTCTGTTCTGTTCTGTTGGAGACACACACACACACACACACACACACACACACACACACACACACACTTGCACACACACTTGCACCCCCACAGAAGGCGAATTTATCTATTTTCTTCAGGTCAGGTCACGGCCCACTCGCTACTCTACCCACTCTACCTATGTACTCTAGATACCTACTCTGCCTACTCCACTTCCTTGGACGTGGATCCGTGGTTTCGAATTATCCCGCAAGCATTCGGTTGGAACCTGTGCTCTCCTGTGCCTGTGCGTGTGGTTGGATACGGAGAGCCCCCAGAGAGATAGGTAGTTATCGAAGTTATCTATCGGACTCCTCGTTGTGGTAGGTATCTGTAGTGTGTGTGCGCGCGAGGAATCCGAGGATGTGTGTGTGTGTCTGCTGAGTGGATGGATGGACGCATACTCGCATGCTCGCCCGCCGGCCGACTGGGCGTCCGTGGCAGAACATCTCCATTGAACGAAAAGTGCATCTGTATGTAGAGTAGATTGCGGCAGTATGTGGGTATGTAGCAGTGAACTGCCTACCCAACTGCCCAACTAGCTGCCGGGATGCTGTGGATGCTATGGATGCCATGGATGTGCATGGGAATGGGAATTCCGCGTCTGAGGAAGTATGCTAGGTAGGCAGATATGTACCGTATCGCTCTCCAAGTGGCAGGAGAAGTGTGTGCGTATCTATGGTAAGTAACTCTCCTGACGGACGGACGCGGAGGCGGTCGACGACGGGGAGATGTGTGTGTGTATGGGTGGGTGTGGGGATATTCTGATGGACGACGAGGTGGTCGACGACGAGGTGGATGATGAGGACGAGGACGAGGAGCAGTACCTGCCCTCTACATCATGTTGGAGTTGGCCTTACATCCGAGTCGCGATACCGATGCCGGTTCGGCAGCTGGCGGACTGGCTGGCTGGCTGGCAGGCAGTCCGTGCTCGAACCAACAACTGCAACAACATCAACAGCAACATCAACAGGAACAACCACAATCACAACAGCAGCGGCGACAACGTCAGCAATTGCACTTTTCGTAACTTGAGCTCTTTGGCTAACTAGTACCAGCTCCTACATAGTACTAGCATCTACTAGTACTAAATAGCAGAGAAGCTTGAACGGCGCAATAAGCCAGCGCTAACCACTCTAACTACCGGAGGAGAGTCCAGTCAACTTCGCACGACCGCAGTCTCGTCCTTCTCGCGCATCGGCCCATATGATTTCGCCACTCCCCCCAGACTTCTCCCAGGGCCAAACCTCATCTCGGCCCGCACTTAGTTGCTAGCAACTAGAAGCTCCTTTTTGGTCGCTACTCCGTGATAGGTAAGAAGCAGTCGAGAGAGCTGTCCAAGTGGCGTACTAACTAGTAGAGCTCCCCTCTAGCTCACTTGCTTGCTTGCTCGAAGTGGCGGCGCAGAAGTTCACAAAGAAAAAACAACATCTACTCTACAAAACAAAAGAAACCGAAACCTTCAAGCAAGCAAGCAAGTCAGTCAGTCAGTCAGTCACTTACCCACCTTTTTCCTTCTTTTCTTCTTTCCAAATGACAAATATAAAAACACCATAGAGTAGAGTACTTGGCGCCACCCTCCCCCCACCCCTCTGAGAGGGCCGCGGTCGTGGTGCATAAGTGCATACTACCTATACCTACGGTGGCGCAAATTCGTGTTTCTTCACCCTTCACCTGACATTTCATCCGTGCATATTTGTTTCTTCTTCTTCTTCTTCTTCACATCCGTGGGGTTTTTGCCATCCGTTAAACCTAGGTAGAATTCAGACTCGCTCGCCAGGTCGGTCGGTCGATCGGCGTGCCATGGACCGTGCGAGCGAGCGAGCTGGATGCCCAGATTTAATATCCTCTACACACGGTAGATACGGTACCTATCCAGGTGTGTTTTTTCCTGGCCTGGCCCTGCAGAGAACATGTGGCCTGGACTGCTGAGATATGCGCGCCCGCCCGCCTGCGGCAACTTGCTACCTACCGAGTCATCCGGCCGGCCGGGCTCTCCAGCTATCCGCGAACTTCTCCTGGATGTTGCAGGCGCCCCGCGGGGATGGAGTGGATGGCGATTTGGGCTCGAGCTCGTGCGAGTGCATGCTCCTGAATAGGTGTACATAGATGGATACATGCGTACGTAGGTAGGTAGCATACGTACATCGGGGTACATACCGGCTGGTCACGACTCACTGGTGAACCTGGGGGTTTTCAGGTCCGGATCTTAAGCTTTGAGCACTACCTACGGGCTACCCAAAGGTGGTTGTGGTTGTGGTGGTGCTAGGTAAGTGGAGTACGAAGGTACCCATCCCTCGCACTCGCCTACGACCACAACCGACCCCATGCATGCGTGCGTACCCCATATCACGGAGCGGCGGCGGCGTGGTGGGTCGGTCGGTCTGTCGGCCAAAGGCGAGGCAATCATTCGCATACTTTGGCGAGCTCCAGGACTCCATGTACTCCAGTACCTAGTGTACTCTACTCTACGTAGATGGGTAGATTTATTTTTTCGTGAGGCGTGGACGACTGATGAATTTTTCTTCTTCCTTTCGGGAGGGGAGGGAGGGAGCGAGGGAGCGAGGAATGGAAGGAACAGAACAGTGGTAAACCGTAAAGGTTGTGTGGTATCGGTATTGCGGTACCTCGAACACACACACCCACACACAGCACACACACATCCACACATCCACACATGAATATCCCCTCTCCCCCCCCGCTCGCCGGGCATATTGTTTTTTTTCCTATTTTTTCTTTTCTTTCTTTTCTTTTCTCCCTCCCTCCCTCGAGAGAGATCATCCGGGGTCCCGCGTTTTCGACGCTCGGTTTGGTCTGGTTGGTCTGGTTGGCTGGCCTTGGCTGGAGCTCCTGGAGGTGCAGAGGTGGAGCGGCCTGTACTCTACCCTACTCTATGTAGGATTGGATTGGATTGGAGAGGGGAGGTGGATGTGAGCAGCAGGCGAGAGCCGTTGAACCAGGGGTTTGGTGTAGGTGGCCGTGTGCTTTTTGCTTTGCTTTGCTTTGCTTTGCTTTGCTTTGCTTTGCTTTGCTTTGCTTTGCTTTGGGTGGGGAGGGTGGAGGGGGGGGAGGGAACGCAGGGACCAAGATTTGCGCAACCAGCAACGCAGCAGCAGCAGCAGCAGGAGCATCAAAACCCGAAATAAATAAAATTTCTTGCATTTGCTTTTGGACTGCAGACTGGAGAATCGAGATGCATACTCTACTCTACATACATACTCTGCACGAAGCAAGGTGCAGGTGGGGGTGGAGGTGGAAGTGGTGGTGGAGGTGGAGGTGGACTTGGCCGTGGAGGTGGAGGTGGTGGAGGTATTCGTGGTCGTGGCACAAAGCGGCAAAGCCAAAGGAGGAGGAGGAGCGGTCATGTCCGCGGCGGCCTGACCTGGCATGGCCATGGCATGGCACATCTGGGGCGGCTTGCAGTATGCCAGTGAGTGCTTTGTCCGGTGGTAAACAGGCGGGGGGCGGAGGGCGGGGGGGACAGCGAACGTCGGGAATTGCTATGGATGGGTTGGAAATCCGCCGGACCAGATGGACGTGGAGGAGGAAGATGAAGATGAGGCGGTGGGGGAGGAGGAGGACCTCGAACTCGGGTGTCACGTCACGTAGGTAAAGTAACCATCGTCTATACCTGCAGTTGGAAATTTGGAATGCGTTGGTAGGTACTCTAGGTAAGTGGATTGGGAGGACGAGATGTTACGCGATCTAGAACCACCCCCTCCCCAGATGCGAAGGGATCTGGGGGTCTGTACATCCATACGGCCAGATGCTGCAGATGTTGCATGCCATGGTTAGGCGAGTTAAACCGGATGGAAGCTCTCCATCCGTAGAGTGTAACTCACTCTATTGCATGTCGTTGTCGTTGTTGGGGATACATATGGTACTACTTTACGGGCAGGCGGACAGGCAGACAAGACGGACGTTGTATTGCATGCGTGAAATATGCTGCTGCTGTTCTCCAGATATTAGCCTCTGGGGTGCTTTCGAGATACCCAAGCAGATACATATGTGGGTACTTGGTTACGTGCGTTAACGTTCACTCCCTGCGAGATGTATTTCCAATGCTCTCATGTATGTAGGTACATGAGTATAGTACTCATGTACCGTGATGTATGTCCCCAGGTGTCTCACATGACGGGCCATGGCTTGCTATGTAGCCCATCGCACAGGGCGGGGAAGAGGGAGGAGAAGATGGAGAAGAAGAAGTAGATCTTTTGCAGATGTGTAGGGAAGTTACCGTACCTGATGTATGTACTTGGGTATGTACTCGGGTGTAAGGGTAAGTGCTGCCTCACCAGTTTTTCCCCCATGCAGCTTAGTCACAACCACTCACTCATTTCATTGTATCTGGCTTAGTGTGCTTCTGATATAGACTAGTTCTTGTAATTCGCAATGGTGGTGAGGCACCACTTATTGGCAGCTCCTGGTACATGCAAGTACAAGGCTAGGTACATTGCGTACATACGTTGGGCGATTAGATAGTCCACCTACTTCTTACTTACTCCCTACATACGACATCGACGTCTTCAGAGAACTCCCATGTCAGCCGGCTCCGCTGATACAGTTCCAACACACCTCGTGGCCGTGGCCGTCTGCTCCTATCGCCTAAACGCTTCTCTCCCACCCACTTCTCGACTAGAGCTGATACTGTCTAGCAGGGACGTGCAGAGTATGGGTCTCACTCACTTCCATCCAAGCACCCACGACTTCTGCCAGATGATTGGGTGTTGGTGCGATGTGATTTCGAGCCTCGTTAACGTTCCCTTCAGGCACCCACCGCCACGGCACGGGACAGGGTAGGCGATAGTACTCCAGAGTACTGCCTGCGACCTCGAGAGATGAGGGAGGGACTTGAGAATTCGTGGGCACAGACACACTGGCTGGCTGTCTAACTGCATGACGCCGCCGCCGTCGCCGTCCACGGTGGGAAGGAGTGACAGAGTGCCGATTGAAGTGCAGTTCTTCCATCGGAGGGGGGGGGGGGGGTGTCGACGGTGGCCACCTCGGGGCAGTTGCCGAAAACACGACCACCGTGACCATGAAACTTGCACTTTGCTCCCGGGTGCCTAGTGAGTGAGACTGTTGTTGCTATTGTTGTTGTTATTATGGCTGTTGTTGTTCCTGTTATTATTGCTGCTGCTGTTGTTGTCGTTCGAACCGTGGGCCTTCACCGAGACATACACATTCGCTATCCAGGGTGCTCTACCTATCGCATGTGCGAGGCAGCAGAGACATACATACGGTACATGCAAGACCCACTTCGGTGAAACATACTTGGGCTCCCTCGCTCGTTCGTGGTGTTCTCGCAACGAGTCGAGTGGTTCCGTCCGGTCTGCGTATACATGCGCCCCTTAGAGTACTCTATGCATACACAGGAGGTTGTCCTGGCCAGTCGAGAGGGGAAAGACACCTCTCAATTGATCCTGGACGCCACCGATGTGACGGGCCGCTCAGCCTCCCGGATGCTGGCTTGACCGCGGAAAGGCTGGATGGATGGATGGAATGATGGACATGGAATGATGGACATGCAATAATAACAACGACAATATCATCATCATCATCATCATCACGGTTTAGCTTGCTCGTTTGAACAATCGTTTCTGCTCCTGGCCAGAGCCGACCGGCCCGCAGGTTGAGACGGGACGAGACATCGAAGCTCTTTTCCGGACCGCTGGTAGTTGGAGCTCGAGTCGTGCGGGTGGAGTGAAGTTTCACGGACCGTTCGTCTTTCCTTTTGGTCGCGCGAACGAAGCTGTCCATAGAGTAGTGCTATTATATAGTGGATATACTATGGCTAACCCAGCAAGCTTCCTCTTTCTCCAGAATATCCGTTGGTGCACTTAGCAGATATCTACCCGTGCCAGTGCGTGAGGAACCAGGGCCACAACAACGCCGAGAGTCACTCTCGAAAGTGTCTCGCCGTCCGCATAATCGTCGGAACTATAGTCATCGGCCCGGCCTCGAAACGGGTAGGGAATGTCCCGGACTCGGGGATTGTTGCCGGGCTGGACGTGCTCTCCGATGGCAGTATCGACAGTACATACAGTCGTGAATGGATAGCAATCGAACGAAGCGGACATGGATTATCACAGTCGATCCCAGTGCTGAATCCAAAGGGCAGGAGAATACTTTGGCTATCAACTATGGCAGCTACTTACATATCTACTCTACTGTGGAGCGGAGTGGCGCTCCAAAGTACCCGCCATGTGGCCGTGGCCATGGGGACATGATCCTCAGCCCCCCGTCCAGAATCCGCACCGGGTACCCCATAGCTTGTCAAAGTACGGCCCCATAATAACTACCGTCCATCACCCATCACCCATCACCCATCACCCATCACCCATCGCCAACCGTCAATCGTCCATCTCCCTCCAGAAGCACTCAGGTATCCACCAAGTACACCCCAACCGCCGTCCATCGCGCTGACCATCATCCCCCGACAGTCCGCGATCGCAAGGGTGGATTGACCCGTTCGGACGATCAACTCGGTACTCTGTGCTCGGGAATTAGCGCTGCTGCTATGTAGGTCTGTATGTACGAACACCCAACAACTCATTCGCCGCCGCCGTACCACATTCACTCTCGCTGTGCCTTAGTGGCACTCTGAACACTCATTCATCAACCCACATCACAAATCTGCAGCTGCTTTTGGTGTCTCTCACTCCACACACCACCTTCTCCGCCCGCCGCCGCCGCAACTCATCAACTCTACGCAACGGATTCGAACTCTACTCTTCGACTTCATCCCCCCATACTTCCTCCCCCAGTCAACAGCTTCCCCCCCTCCCACTCCCCCATCCCACCAGTTAAACCCGCACCCGCACCCACCCGCCGCACCTCCACCACCACCCACCTCCCTTCTATCGAATATCGCCGCTACTGCTATTACCACAACTCACAACGCCCCCCTCCCCCCAATAATCCTAGTCAACACCCACCGCATCTCTTTTACCACCACCACCATCACCAGCAGCACCACCACCACCACCACCACCACCACCCCGAAAGATACTATATGGAAAGCTGTGTGTGTGTGGTGCCTGTGTGTGGGTGTTTTCGGCTCCAACCAAATCTCCGGTTTACTTCTCTCTTTCTCTTCCTCTCGAGCACTCTCTTGTTTGTTGAATGAGTAACAACATCCCACATCCATATCCGCATCCGCATACGCTTCCATTTCCATAACAAGGCCCGGACTGCCCTGCCTCAAACCGCAATACTCCTACACACCACACCATCACTTTCCCACTTCCACCACTTTCCACACACACACTCACACACCCTGGAAAACATACAGCTACAGCTACCAGAAGCTGCCACTACTACTACTACTACTACTACTACTACTACTACTACTACTACTACTACTATTACTACTACTGCTGCTGCTGCCGCCCTCCTGACCAACCTGATACCACAACCACTACCACTACCACTACCTACCACCACCACCACCCCCAGCCGAAAAAAGTTCAGCTTACCCATTTCAACTCCTACATACAACAACACATATCATCCCCCGACCCCCTCGACCATCTCCCTTCCCGCCTTTTCCAATCGTCAACTACAACAAACAAAGGAAGGCACAAAAAATATCCCGTCGACTCCAGCAATTCCCTTTCGTCTGATCTTTTGTGTCGCTCGTTCGTCGCCCTCCCATCGGTAACTGATCGATTGAAACTCTATTCCGCTCCGACCACCGAACACCGCCAACTGGCAACCACGACCCATCGCAACTCGCCTCGTCTCAGCCTTACCAGCCCGTCCAATTAAACCACGAAATCGAAGCTGTCGTTTCGCACCAGAGAGATATCACCATCCACCATCCGCTTCGATTACTGGAGGACTGAGTCTTCACCACTTGCTTTTTGCTGCGGCTGAATTGAAAGAGAAAAGACAACTGAAAGAGAAATAGAGGGAGAAAATTAAAGGGAAAATCTTCAGCTCTGAAGAACCTTTGGGATACCTGAAGGCTCTCCGATAAATAAAACAGAAGAAAAATAAAACATATTCGCACCGACAAAGTCGGGCAGCTTCAGGCAGGTTCGCCCTGCACCAATCGCCAACATAGCGGCCGATAAGTCTCAGTCGCCGGTCGGTCAGCATTGGCCTGATCGGTTGTTGTCGTTAAGGGACCAGTACCACCAACAACACCAGTTCCCTCTGTCTCCCGACAACACCCAGCCTCGGTACGCGACCGACCAATACAACAACGGAAACGGCAACATCGTCTTTCGGGACGGGTTCTGGAGTCCGACAAGTGAGAGGAACGGCTCAGGCTCAGGCTCAACCAGTAGGAGCCCGGACGAAGCCAACAACAACAGCGACGGTTTCTTCCGTATGGCAGATGCAGGTCTGCACCATTGCCACTCTAACCGAAGCTTCGGCAGACTCTCAATATCGTCAGCCTCTACCACGTCTTCAGGCGCCTCCTCCATGGTGGGACGCACAATGTCAAGTTGTTCACCAGACTCGTCAACGAGTTCATCGCCGCCCTACAGATGCTCGCCTCTCCCGACAGACGAGCCAGTCACCAAGATCGAGGAGGTGGACGATGATGACAAGAGCCAACTGATGAGCGTACCGCAAATCCCGACAACGCTCACCAACGGCGAGCCGGTCAAGCGTGGAAGAGGACGGCCGCGTAAACACCCCGTACAGCCACCGAAGACTGTCCAGAAGGTTACGAAAGGGCGGTCCAAGACCGGATGCATCACATGCAGACGTCGCAAGAAGAAGTGTGACGAGACAAAACCTGAATGTACGCTGCATTCGCCCCTCCAAAAAAAAACCCATGTGGTTTGGCCTACTAATGACATTTCTTCTTTTTTGCAGGCAACAACTGCGTCAAGAACTCAGTGGTGTGTCAAGGGTACCCGGAGAAGACTGTTTGGCAGCCGGGGCGACACAAGAACGAAGGTAGAGCCAACTCTGTATATCCCCCTTTCTCGCCGCATGAGATCCTAACCGTTGCAGCGCGACAAGCAGCCAACGCCATCAGCCAGTCATTGCCCACCCTGGTAGATGGAGTCGAAAGTCGTATGGACCACTTCTTGTTGGACCATTTCACGCACCGGGTCAGCAGGATTCTAACGCTGTTCGACGATGACAGCAACCCATTTCACGATTTCCTGCTGCCTCTGGCGATGCGGCACCGGGCGTTGATGCACTCCCTGCTGGCCTTGTCGAGTTCGCACCTCGCCAACTCCAACGACCAACATCCCGACTACCAACAAGCTCAGGGTCATCATCTTAGCGAGGCACTGTCGGCTCTGCGACTGGGGTTGAACGATGGTTCGAGCAGTAACGATGCGGCTACAACCTTGATACTGTGCTTGGACTCGATCGCGAAGGGCGACACTTCGGGCGAATACCGACCGCATCTCGAGGCGGCACGGGTAATGCTTTCGTCTGACAAGAGTCAGGAAGACATCCCACTCAGACGTTTCTTGTACGAGTTCTTTGCGTACCACGACGTCGCCAACTCGGTAACGATCCTGAACCGGAATCCGAGCTTTCTGAGTGACCTCCCGATGCCGGCATTCATAATGCAGCCTGAGACTGGAGCTCTCCTCGGTGTGCTCGACGGACTGTTCACCCACATGTCCAAGATCACGATATTGAGGAATCAGATCCGTGAACGCAGGGAGAAGCATATCGATCCAGCGGTCGATTACAAGATGCTCACTCAGGCCGTCGCAATCGACGCCGAGATTCACGAGTGGAAGCCCGCACAGCCGCCGAACTCGGTTAGATATATCGCGGCACAACTCTACCGCCAGACAACTTGGGTCTACCTCTACAGGACCATCATGCCTTCTCAAGCGTCGCCCAAGATCCTGAGCGCGGTGGAGGCTGGTCTGGAGTTTATGCGCTTGCTCCCGGAGCATGCGGGTACGCAGAGCATTCTGCTCATGCCGCTGTTCTTACTCGGTTGCGCAGCATTCGATTCGTCTCAACGGCCAGAGATCAGCCGGAGATTCAGCGGTCTGCACGAATGGTCCGGCTTGGGCAACATCGTACCGGCACACGATGTGGTCAAGAAGATTTGGGGGCTGATGGACGCCGGAGATGAGGAGGCTACTTGGGACTGGGAGTCGTTGATTCAACAAATGGGATACGATTTCCTGGTCACCTAGACGCGTCGATTTTGCTGGAGAGGCGTTGGGATGGGCGGAGGGGTCTTTTTTTCTTTCTCTTCACTGGCGTTGTCGTTTTTCCGCATCGTTTTTTTTTCATTTTGCTTTTACCTTTCCTGCATTTTCACTTCTTTATGGGGTCGGAGTTTCGGATTTGTGTTTTTCTTCTTTTTCTTTTCTTTTTCTTTTCTTTTTCTTTTTCTTTTCTTTTTCTTTTTCTTTTCTTTCTCTCAGCGTTCTTGGTCTGTCGACATCTCATATCCCTCTTACGTTTCCTGGGGAGCTTTTTCGTGGATGGCTTCAGTTTTTACTAGTACCTTTTTTCCCCCGAATGTTTCATTGACGGCCGATGTTTTTGAGTGGGTCTATGTTTATACTTCCTCCTTGTGTCCTGTTTGCCAGTTTTTGGTTTGTTTCACTCCATCTCCGAATTAGGGCGGCTATCTGTTTGATTTTCTTTATGTTCATTTCCCGCAATTTTTCGTTTTTTCTTGGACGGGGCCAACCAGGCAACTTGGGGCATCGCATTTCTCGGCATGCGAGTGTTGTGTCGTGCAGAAGTGCAGGAGAATTTAGACTTTGGGTAGAGAGATATATGTACCCGAATCTGTGTGGCCTTTTGATTTCCAGTTTTTGTTTTTTTGTTTTTTACTTTCAGATGCTTCGTTTTGCAAATGCTGGTGGGGCTTTTTTTTCCTGTTGTCTTTTCTTCTTCTGCTCGGTTCTATTCTAACTATGCTCTACCTATCAAAGGATCTTTTCCTTCTCGTCGCTTGAAGTACGTATACGGGGGGACGGTACGGTACATATGAACATTAAAGGCAATGGCTGGCGCAGGAGGAGGAGGAGGAAGCTTCAAGCTTGCTGCTTGCAGGACATCAGGGTGTCCCTACCTACATACATAGAGTACAATGTATATCTGAGCTACCTATCCGTCTATCCCACTTGCATACGAGTATGTACATAAGTGCCTGATGTTTACTGCCTGTATGTACGTACAAGTGTCAATCACGAAGAAGGCGGCAAAGGCTTGGTTGAAGGCAGCTTCTCTACACTAACTACTACTACATAGTAGTAGTAGAAGTAGGTGCTCTAGTGTAGTAGTGCAGTGTAGTAACTAAACCTCCGCGAATCTGCCATATGATGTCGACCAGCAGTAGTTTTGTGCGGAGGATGCATGTGGAGTATCATCTACCCACCTACCACTTACCCACCTGCTACCTACCCAGCTACAGTAGATACAGTACAGTAGCTGTGCATCCCCCGACCCCGTCTCCGCCCCGTACCTGCAAAACTTTCTTCTTCTTTCTTCTTCTTCCGAGTCTTTCCTCTTCTTTTTTCCCTCGTCAATCACCCCACCACCCCCCACCACTCTCCAGCCCCACCACTCTCCGGCCCCGTCCCTGACCCTGCCCTGTCCTTCACTCGCTCGTCCGTCCGTTCGTACCTTTCCGCGGGATTTTTCCCTTCGTCCCCGAGATGTTTTTTTTGTTTTTCTTTTGCTGCTTTTCTTTTGCGGCTTTTCTTTTTCTGGGTTTGGTTTTTTAGTTTTGGGAGGGTTGGAGATGCGAGGGTGGGATATGCACATCCACACATGCACATCCACACGACGTCCACGACCGTCACCCCCCCTCCCCCTCCCCCCCGCCTCTCCGCGTCCCTCCCGATACCGCGGAGGCGCATGGATGGATGTGTGGATGGATGGGTGGGTGGATGGGGGATGTGCGGTGTGCGGTGTGTCTACGGTGTGTGTGCGGTGTATGTGTAGTGTGTGCGACGGACCGGACAGGACAGGACAGGACGGGATAGGGCAGTCCAGGGCCAAGAAAGCATATCATGCCTGTGCCTGTGCTTCCCTAGTTACGTGGGGGAGGGAGCCTGGAGGGGGAAAATTTCACCCCGCCCACGCATGCCACCCACGCACCTACGCATCAACGCAATGATAGGGCTGACGAAGTGCCCCGAAGTCTGTTCACGGACGTAACCAGTTACTGTAGACGTAACTGTGTGATAGACGTGGATGGGTAGACGTGGGTGGGTAGACGTGGGTGGATGCGGGGAGGGGTCCTAGTGGTCCACCGCCGGTGGAGGTGGAGGGGAGGTGGAGGTGGGTAGGAGGTGGGTTACGTTTTGCCGTTGGCAAAGCGAATCGAATGGATTGCGTTGCTTTTTTTCTCGAGAGGGAGACTGAAGGGAGAGGGACTGACTGATGGGAGAGGCCGGGACGGTACGGTGAGCGGCGTTTGCTGCGTGTGTATCTCCCGACGGCGACGGCGACGGCGACAACGGGGAGAAGGAGATGCTACGGAGTCTGGATCTGGCAGTAATCTAGAGTAGTTGGGTACGCATACGTCCCAACACCTCAACTCTACTCTCCGTAGGTAGGTACCGTGCGGGGATAGGAAGATGAACTTGGAAAGGCCGGAGCCGGTCCAGAAGTGAAGCTGCAAAGGTGCAAAGGTGCAAAGGTGGCGGGCGAGATGGTGGCTACATACGACGCTGTTCTTGCTCGCTCGCTCGCTCGTTGGCGTTGGCATTGGCGTTGGAATTGGCGTTGGGCGTTGTGGGGTACATACCTCCTACATACATACATGCTGCGATACTTCGTACGTCCCTCACCCGTAGATCACCCCCCCTCCCCTCTGCGGAGTAGTGGTGTTGTGCGGCCACAAAATTGCCTGGCCACTGGTGATGGTGGTGTGGTGCGGGGCGGGAAGTTTTTTTTTGCTCACCTCATGTAGGAAGTATCTACAGTACCTGTCATGTATCGTACTATCGTGTATCGTACTATCGTGTCCATGCATCCATCTCCGGTACATAAAGTACAGCTACCGTAGGTATATATTTTTCGTGTGTCACCCCTCTCCAGTCCAGTCCAGCTTCCAGGAGGATGGTGAGCATGTGAGTACATAAGCATGTATGTATCTGCAGGGCATTGGTGTGCTGTGCGGGGTGTGCCGTGTTGTGCGGGGGGCGGGCGAATGTGTGGGTGTGCGGGGTGCGGGGAGGGTACATATGCTAGTCGAGGACATGACGTTATCACTCGGCTATCGACACTGACGCAGACGCAGATGAAGTGTTTTTTGGCTTGATAGGCTTTTCCGGGGTGCGTTGGCGCTGGATGGATGTGCCGATTGCAGATTTGGATTGCATTTGAGTGGCGTTTGATGGGACGGGAGGGGGAGGGGCACATGACGAGCAGATGGGGAGGGGGTGGGCGGGGGTGAGGTTGCACAGAGGGAAAATCGAGTGAGTGAGTGATGACTTATGACGCAAAGCGCAGCAGCGGAGAGAATGTCCGTTCTGCTTGCTTCTGCGGGGGGTTCTAGAACTCAATGGCGACGACGCCACTGGGACTGACTCGTAAATCGCATTGCATGCTGTACTCTAGGTACTTGGTTAGTGCTTATGTATGCATGTACCGGAAACTGGAGGGAGTTCCAAATTCGAGATTGGGCATTGAGCGGTAAACCGTCGAACAGCCAGGTGAAACAGCGGAATGGCTCTCACTGACCAAACGAAGCATGTCTGAATATGGGAATGTACCGCGGAGACGATGTAGGTTTACGTAGGTAGGCATAATAGGGCTAGAATTTTCAAACCCCTGCCGGACTCCCCAGTTCCCAGTCTCCAGTTCTAGATGTCCGCCAGGCAGGTATGATAATCAAACCGCATCTCCTCAACTCTTTCGATTGCATCAACATCGCTGACCATTCCCGCACTGTCCTAGCGATGTCGGAACCATCCCAGCCGAGCTCATGAAGCCAATTCTCGAGTCTCGACCCGTAGAAGAACACCGACCATTCAAGCCCTTATTCGGACGGCTCCTCTTCTTGGCGAATAAAGATATCATCGGTCTAGTTCCAAAGTTCGTCGTAGTAAATCAGCTGAGTACTCAGCGTGATTTTATCCGGAAAAAAAACCGAGCTGAGAGAATATGATACGGAAGTAGATACAGTGTTCGACATAGTCCGGACCGGACGGACTGCAAAGATCTGGTCCATTCTGGCCCCTTGGACAGACTGCGTAAAAGTAGTCCGTCCAGTTCGTGGATTGGGTGTTCTTGGCATTGGACTGCAGTCCATCCTGCCCTCAATTTTTTTTGGACTAGTCCGTTCGAACACCGCACCCGGACGGGCTGTCAAGATACAGTCCAGTCAGAGGCTCAGGACGGACAGACTGGACTATGTCGAACGCCGTCCCTGAACTTGATGCGAGAGAGACCCTCCAGCAATGAGCACAATACTCATGTCTGTATCCACTGGTTCTTTAAGAAACAGTCGGAGAATGGTGATTTCTGCTCCAAACAGTGCAGCCAAGATCACCATATCCATCGTTCCTGGGTTCTGGAAGATTGCATTCCGGTCGACGTCTCGAGATCCTACTTTGCATAGAGCTCGCGAGCTTCAAAGAATGCCTTGCCGAATCTTGGGTGGACATCCCTGATAGTGGTATACCTACACAGGAGTATGTGTAAGAACGTGGTGAGGATTCCTGCCGTACCCGTTGGGAACGATGACGCTCGCAGGGCTATTCCCAATATTCTCCAACTCTTGAGGAGCTTGATTGTGGTATTGTAGAGATAAGACTTCTTCTACTAAATATTTTGGATTCCCGTCAACGGCAATCTGTATGTCCACGAGGACTGCATTCTTTGGCTGGGGATACTCAAAGCGCAATTCGGCATCGACGGGATAATCACAGGCAGTGGGCAAGTGAGTTGCAACTTGTCGTTGACCAAGCCCGGCCGTGCCCCATAATCGGCAACCCCAGTCGTTTGTTATCGGTGCTGTACACATGAGGGAGTGGCTGGCTCTCGTTGGTGACCCAGAAGAGTTTGTCTCCTTTGTAGAACTGGTCCTTAAATAAACAGCATCTGCTCCACATAAAACATGGCCACGAATTGTGTTCGCTATACTGGCGGCCTTGGAGAATCAGAAAAACAATTCAATCCACGCCTAGACGTTGTCGTTCTGCATGTGGCAATCTCCCGTGGCATGAAAGATGGCGACCTTTCGCGCTTCCTCATCCGGAAAATTGTAATAGGATCGGTCCCCGAGAAAGTCCTCGACTTGCTTGCTTGTGTCCATCTCTTTGCGAAGTTGGATAGGAAGCCGACGGGGAGCAGCTGTTCCACTAGTAATTCGTCTCATTCCGAAGACCTAATAGTTGAGTCAAAATTCCGCGTACATAGGGCGAGTAGGCGTCCATATGTCTGTGAGCCTTTCGTATATCATAATGCATCACATGGGTTCAGGCGCACTCACAGCCCTCACACTTATTATCCAGACTGCTCCAGATTATCCTTGTGTAATCTGCCTCTTGTGGGGTGGCCTGTGGTTGTGGCTACTCCAGATTGCTCTTCGGTCTTTGGCGGGTACTGTGATGCCAGCAGTAGTGCAGCCTGCCCATCCTCTATTAACCCCATGTATCGATTTCCGGAAGAAATATGGCCCGGTTTTCCAGCTTGAAATGTGGACAGACGAGTGCAGCCAGAATAGGAGGGTTTCGAATGTGGCTCACATAGCACTCCACAGTACTTGAACATGCAATCTTTCGACGAGAACGCAGGGTCGTCCCACTTGTTGGGGCCTGTGTACGGAAATGGAAGTTGTATCAATTCGCCAGTAGAACACCTCTTGGTCTGAAGTGGAGCTATATTAATCAGATCCGTATTTCACGGTAACATTTGTTCATGAGTTCTCGTCGAATGGCAGCTGTATTAGAGCTGTGTGCTCGTCAATTGAGTAAACGTCATTGAAAGTAAGTATATAGGTAAATTCCATTTCTTCTGCTTCCTCAGACTGTAGATATACTGCGATGACCTCCTGAAGTCAGGTACTTCTCCGAGTTCGTCAGGTGTTATTCGTAGTACTACGGTGGAGAATTATCGTTGTTGATAGTCGCTGGCAGCTGTCGTTGACTGACGAGGGAGCTCCAGCTTAAGCTCGCGGGTTCCAAAGGACGCTAACGTTAGCGGCCGAACGCCGAGCCTCCCCTTATGTATCCATACCCCGCCATGACCCATCACGCATCCATCCATCCAGACGACCACCACCCCGAACAGCAATGGCGACAACGACGATAGCCGACGAGGACGACACGTACATTGACTACGACGCCTTCCTAACGCCTCAATTCTCGGCGCACTCCTTCGCCAACACGTTAATCCTGGGCACAAACGTTGATCCATCGGATCCCACCCTCGACCTGACCACGCCATTGTCGCGCGTCCTCTTCGATTTGCAGGAGATAGATACGCACATTCACGCGCTCACTACTGCCTCCGCACTACCGCTATTGTCGTTCACCGCTACATCCCGCGATGCCTCGGAATCCGTCCTGGCAGCCGTGGATGCACAGCTCGATGCTCTGAAGACCGCGCACGAGCGGTTGCGCCGCGATGTCGCGGACCGCAGTCACGTGGCTGGACAGGTTCTCGTCGCGGTGGAAAGGCTCCACGCCGTGACGACGCAGCTTCGAGAGCTGGGGCGGGCATTGGTTGTGGCACGGCAGATTGAAGTGCAGATGCAAGAGCTTGGACGGGGCGGTGGCGGGGGTGGTGGTGGGAGTGCGGGGGGCAGAGGCGATGGCGGTGCGGAGTACAACAAGGCGCTTGTGCGCGTAAGCCATAATATCCGCGAGCTGCGGCTGGGGAGGGTCCTGGCGGATGTGGACGACGATGTAATCCTGGCGCAGGACCTAAAGAAACATGTGTTTGTGCCGGCGGAGACGGCAGTGCTGGCGAAGGCTAGGGATGCGGTGTTAGCGTTCGAGCCCGTGGCGCCCTCTACCGCTGCCTCGGGGAATGGTACTAGCAACGGGAATGGTAGCGGCGGTACTGCGCCGACATCGGCCGCGGCAACATCAGCATTCGGAGTAGGAGTTGCGGGCGGTGCCGGGGCCGAAGTGATGCGTGCTCGTGCCGCAGCAGGAGTACTAGCACTATACCTCCTCTCGCGGGAAGAGGCGGTCCTCCTCACGAACGCCGTTCAAACCCACCTCAACAGTGCTGTCAACGCCAGTCTCACCGCGCTCACCCGGAGTCTCACCGCACTGACCACGCTCGACCGCAGCGTGGGCGAAGTCGCCGCCCGCTGCCAAAACCTAGTCGCCCTCCAAGCCCTCCTCTCGGGCATCCCGGTCCCAACGGAAGATATCGCCGACGACCAACAGCAACAGCGAAAACAAAAATCTCTGCTCGACCCAGTGTTAACGCAACTCGACAGCGGCGGCGGCTTGCCAAGTATCTTCTTCCGCAGTCTGGCGGCAGGGATAGAGCCGCGGGTGCGGGAAGTTGCTGCGCGGGGTGGCGCGAATGCTCGCATTTTGAAGGGCGCGAAGGATCGTGTAAGGAATGCGTTCCGTGCGTGTGTGGAGCGGGGATTGGTTGGTGCTGCGGCGGAGCGAGGGGCGGTCGAGTTTGAGGTTGCGGTTATGGTTGGGGCTGCGGGGGCACTGGGAAGATGAACATGCACGGGGGCATACTTATCAACGAAGTGGGCATATAGGGCGTTTTGGTTGGGCATTACGATAGATCGATACATAATGAATAAAAGAAGCAAAATTGGCTGCATCATCCATATCACTCGTGCATCACTGCACGCAAGTATCTAACCTCGTTCCTCTACGAGAACCCCTACGAATACATGCGGGTGTCGGGATACACTTCCTTCCCCACAAGGATCCAATTCCAATCCAAAAATAACAGGACGATTTGGACAAACAACAATAGATGATAGATATTGCTTGCAGCCCGCAAATTGTCGGACAGCTAAGTACTCTCCATCATCTACAGCACACACAGCCAGCAGTAAAGTCAAATTCGAGTAGAGAAACCAAACACAAACTCCGAAAACACCCCATCCCTCCTTGGTATGTGAAACTTACACCATCATCCCCCGCCTTAGGTGCTAGAGACACAATTCCCTCGGCGGGGCCACAAGTGGAACATGACCGAGCTTGAATTCCGGCGCCCTAAAAGCTGCAAGTTCCTCGGCGGTGTACTCTAACACGGGGTCATCCCACTTCTTCTGTCCGGCTGCCGACGCAGCAGTTTGTCCAATCGGGTTTACGGCACTAGGAGTTGTCTGGGGCTGCTGCTGCTGATGGGGCTGTCCGGCGGATTGGAATGGGTTTGCATTGCTGAATGGCGACGCCGACTGCTGTTGGGGAGCAGTGGCGAATGCGTTTGTTGGCGCTGCGGCGGCGAGCAGGGCGGGTTGGCCGAAGGGATTCGCGGCCGGGTTCGCCTGTTGCGCTTGCTGAGTCTGTTGGAAGGGGTTGACCTGGCTGAACGGCGAGGCGGCATTCTGTGCCCCCTGCGGTTGTCCAAAAGGGTTAGCAGCTGCTGGAGCCCCACCCTGCTGCGCCTGTTGCGCAAATCCGCCGAACGGACCGCCAGCGTTCTGGGGCTGGTTCTGCGTCGCGGCGGCAAACGGGCTGCCGTTGTTTTGCGGTTGCGCTGCGGCGGTGGCGAATGGACTGGCCGCAGCGGGGTTCTGGGCTGCTGCGGCTGCAAATGGACTCGGCGCGGCGCCCAATGCCGATGGCTGACCGAATGCCGATTGTCCAAAAGCTGGCTGACCGAAGGCAGGCTTTCCAAACGCACTAGCACCACCAAAAACACCCTGTGGCTGCGCAGGTTGTTGTGGTTGCTGAGGTTGTTGGGCGGCAGCGAATCCTGACTGTCCGAATGCCGGTTGACCAAAGGCCGGCTTCCCAAACGCACTCTGAGATGCCGATGTCTGTCCGAATGCTGGCTGGCCGAATGCCGGCTGTGGTGGCTTGCCGAACGCACTCTGCGGAGCCGACGTCTGTCCGAAAGCCGGCTGCCCAAAGGCAGGTTGGGTGGGTGAGGCTGCCGCAAAAGGCGACGGCGCAGTCAACGAGATAGTCGGCTGGCTTGGTTGCCCGAACGCAGATTGCCCGAACGCAGGCTGTCCGAATGCACCCTGAGCCGGCGCGGGCTGGGTCGGTGCGCCGAATGGGTTCTGGTTTGCATTGAGTTGCTGCTGCTGCTGGGGCTGTAGGGACGGATGTTAGCAGATAACCCATGTGGTGATTACGAGACAATAGTACCTGTGAGAACGGCGAAATAGGGCCAGTAGGATCACCACCCGGTGTCCTGTACTTGTAGAGCTGATCGCGATTCTCTTGCGCCTGTGTTAAGAAACGAACAGCTCCCGGGAGATCGCTCATGATATTCCGGATTTGTGTGTCGGCCTCCGTGTTGAGTTTTACCCATTGTTGTTCCTTTTCAAACAGAGGAGGTCAATTCAGTGAGCCGAATGGAGGAGGAGGAGGAGGAGGAGGAGGAGGAGGAGGAGGAGGAGGAGGAGGAGGAGGAGGAGGAGGGGCCGAGAGAATAGAAGGTTGCGCGGCGTACATATGCAACGGGATTCCCTTCCGCTTGACATTGATAGGCTAGCACTCGAGCCTCTTCGAACGATATATCTTTGCCATCGATGAGCTGTACTGGCGGGTTTTTGCCGGGTCCGTACGACGATAAGATCCACATCGGCTTCTCGACTAGGTCGATATTGATGGTTTCGCTCGTGGCTGGGTTGTAGCTTGATATAGACATTGCGAGTTAGCTCGTTGTCGAAGAACGTATAGAAGAAGGTTCTCTGTGTAGGAGAAACGAAGAAGTCGTGGGGAAAACGATGGGTGGTCGAGATAGTGGAGCTGCTGCAGCACACGTGTCTGGCGCCATTGTTCCCGGCCCCACCACGCTTCTTCCCGCGCGTCACTGCTCGCTATTCAAGGTTACTCACCCATCGTTTTCCCGTTGCTGCTGTTGGTTCTGTGGCGCGCCTCCGTACTGCTGTCCTTGGCCCGGCACTCCTCCATTCCCGCCCCGAGTCGGCTGGCCTGGATGAATGAATTTGCACTGGCTGCCGAAATTGCAGGTACCGCGCTGAAAGAACTTGCACACAGGAGTTGACATCGTGGCGGTGTGCGAGTATGTTGTTGGGCAGCGCGAGTTGTTCTTCCTGCCTCCCTCTCGGTTGGTATTAGGGAAAAGCCGAAATTGTTGGAAGTTGGATACTTTGTTGTCGGTAACAAGAAGAGCTGTGGGTCGAGACTACCCTATGGTCAATCCCGTGACCAGCCACCAACTTTCTCGAAGCGACGCGGCTGCCCTTCACAGCACGTTAACCAGCGCGTCTAACCATCATTCACCACTCACCACCAACACTACCACCAACTTCATCGTCACCTGCACCACTACCTACGATACATACAATACACAACGAGCACACCATGGATATTCCCGATGATCCTCTCCTCGACTTCCGCAATGTCTTCCCCGCCGACCTCAAGAACCCCTACCCAAAAGCCCGGGTCGACGAGATCCTGCGCAACCGCCAGCTTCTAGACGAAGAGCTATTCTTCGACAGCCTACTGAAATCCTTTGCCAGAATCAAAGACGGCATGCTCGCCCTCCCCTCTTGGTCCACCTCCTCCAGCTAACAATCAACCGCAGTGCCAACAAACTACCCTCCAAAATCCGTTACCTCGCTCAAATCCCTCCACACGTTGATCACAACCTCGGACCACCTCGACACGCTGAAGAAGCACACGCTCCTGTACTACCTGCTGCTGGACCTACCCACTTCCACCGCCGCAAGCACCTTCGCCGCGCGCATCCTTCTCCCGCAGAATTTCATCGACCTGATCACGGCGGTGCACGATCTCGACAACCTCTCGCTGCAGTCGGCGCTGGCGCACCTCACCGCGCCCGCCGTAACCCCTCCCGTTCCGGAGAAGATCCTCAAAACCCTCTACACCCACGGCTCCGCGCGGATGGCAGTCACCTTCGTCACCTGCGTGCAGCCAGTACTCGAATCGCCAGAGGCGGTCGAAATCTTCTTCACCGCGCAGATGCAGCTGAGTCCCGAGGCCGCTTTCTTGTATGCGCGGACGGCGCCGGGGTTCCTGCGTACCCAGTTTTTGAGGAAACTGGTGAACTACTGCATCACGACCAATCCCGCAGTCAATGCGCTCAAGCTCTTGAATCTGCCGTTTAGTGAGGAAGAGAAGACGGTGTTTGTGGATGCATTGAAGGGGAGTGGACATGAGGTCGCGAAGGATACGTTGGTGGTGTGGCAGGTGCATCAGGGTCGAGTGGAGGATGCGTTGAAGAGTGCGCAGCAGGCGGCGTTGAAAGGGGACGTTGGGGGGTTGGATTGGGCGGTGCTTGGGGAAGGGCTAAAGAAGGGATTGGGAGCTAGGAATGTTGCTGCTTAATTTGATTATCACCATCATCGCCATCACCAGCATGGATAATCACTAGCTGGAATCACAAAAAGGTTGTTCGTATAATGATGCTTTTTGTTTGTAATATCATACACCTAGCCGTCCCCAACATTTACCGCATCAAAGGATCTTCTGCCCGGATCTTGAAAGATCCGCAAATCAGGAGTCGTAAAAAGTAAGGTGCCCCGCCTCGCCATCATAAATTGTCGAAGAATGAAAAAGAAGGAATGTTGTACAAGTTTGCTAATAGAAAAGAGATGTTAAGAGAGAAAAGGCCCGAAGTGACTATACTTAAGCAGAAACAAAGTTCTTGACGTTTTCAAGCCAGCTCAGGTACTCTTTCTGCTCCTTGTAGTCAATGTAGTCAGGGATGAAGAGCGCCAGAGAGGTGTTGATGCCTCGCTCATCCAGGTAGCGCTCGAGAAGAACCTGAAGGTCCTCGTCAAGGTTACCAAACGGAGGGCCGGCGTAAACGCCCCTCCTCTCCCAATCGGCATCCGCGGTCTGAGCGGTTGCCAGGGTGGCGTTCTTGTGGTAGAATACATTCTCGATGACCATCATGCCGTCTTGTGCGATGGCCTCGACCTGGAGAGCACCCTGGTTGGGCTACATGGTTGCCGTCAGCACTGCCTTCCTTCCGAGTTCATAGATTTTCCTGGGTAAACGAACCTTCTCAATGGTGACATTGACACGAGCGGGGAAAGAAGGCTCCTCGTCTTCGTCGCCAAACTCATCCTCATCCTCATTGGCGTCGTCGGCGACGGCGATGTTACCATTATCCTTTCCGGCGGCCGACTGAGCACCTCCAGACTGCATGGAGTTGCGAGGCATCGAAGGCTCCTCCTCGTCGAAAAGAGCGTCCTCGTTCAGACCATCCTCGGAAAGAGCGTTCAGGTCGGAAATCGAGAAGACAACACGGATGGTCTCATCCCCGAACTTGCGGATGAGCTCGACCTCTTCCTGGCCGGGCTTGTCGTTGATCTGAAGTCGCGAATTATCCGTTAGTATGGCTTCAATTACAGCAGCGCAAACAAAACGAACCTTGAAGGAGCTGTTCTGGATGAAGTCGGCCACGATCTGAGGGATCTCATCGTTCTCGGACACCTCTTTCTCAAGGTTAAGCTCCGACTCGAGCTTCAGCGCAAGTTCCTCGTCCACTATTTGTCAACGAGCATTACGTTAGCTAGGCAAATCGTAGTAACTTTGCAAGTTGGTGATTGCTTACCGACACCCTGCTTCTCGAAAGCACGGAAGGTGGTTGAGAAAGGCGCGATCAGGCGGGGCTGTCGGATAAGAGCGGAGCTCTTCCATGTTGATGCCAGGACCGATTTCTGGGGTACAGTCGAGATTGTTCGGGACACGGACCGGGAGACGGGTGCACGGAGGGCACGGATTACTGTTCTGGCTGAAAACATTGTAAGATTTGGGGGTGGCGAGGATGAGTACTGAGTGGAGGGGCGAAATGGATGGAGTTGAAGGTTTGGTGGGATGGTTGGCGGGGAGTTCCAGATTAACATCAGAAAGAAAAATTAGAGTCGCTAAGACGAGAACTATTAGATGGCTTGGCAGCATGCTCTCAATGCGCTAACATGTGTGCTCATATTCTTGGGTTTGATATTGGAATTTGACGAAGAATTCAAGTAAGTCTCAGTCGATATAGATTTCAATTGCCCGACTTTTAAACGCCAAACTCCAACTAAATCTCCCCTCCCGGGAATCATTGCCCTCTCGGCATAATCTAGGTCTCCATTTTATCCTCCACCACTGGAGGGTCCTCTTTGGACACTCTTGTGAACTTGACCTGAGCCAAAGACCCAGTAGTTCCATCCCACCGCTGCAGATTCACGATATTGACCATATCCTGCAGGTCAGGCATTAGGTACCCTGTCCGAAATTCTTCACGCTCTCTCTCCACCTTGTTCTTGAGCTCTAAGTACTTTGGAAGTGGAGGACGGCCCGCTCGTCGCTCGAGCTCGTAACGCTCGAGTTCGGTTTCCTCGCGGCTTACCCATCTGCAGTAACCATTTATTAGCGGTCGTGTCCCTGGTAGTATGGATGGTGTACGAACTGTGCGATCAGGTCTCGGGTCTTCTCAATGCTGAGTGGTTCAGTGACACCCTTCGTTACGACCTTGAAGTAACCGATGCGCAGCACTGGAGAAGTATAGTATTAGCCATCACCATATCTGAACGGTCAACTGAAAGAATCCTCATACTCTCGTGCTCCTTCTGTATGTTGCGAACCTTCGCCGCATGCTTAAGCTTCTGGTCCCGCAACGAGGCACGGTTCATTCGCGCGGCATTGCGGTCTCCGAGGCCATCAAGCGCACCCTTCTTCTTGCGGATCTTTTTGGAAACTTTCTCGAGGGCGATCTTGGGCATTCTGGCGGTGGTGGTTGTGGTGGGATGGATGTGTAGGGGAGCAGTGGTGGTGCTGCGAGCATGCAAGCCTTTTTTGCATGCGCTCCAGGCTTAGCTAGCGCGATAGTATAATTCATCTGGCGTCACTCGGAAAACCTCCGGATTTCACTACAAGCTCCACTCGGCTGATGAATCAGGATCCTGTCATCCCTCTCGCCTGCAAGAAATGATGATGCTCGCCACTTTATCTGTTGCCGTTCTTCAATCCAGATTCGCGAGTGATTTGAAACGGCTGCGCGATCGAGGTTAAAAATCAAAATGGATCAAGCTAGTGGGAAAAGCAGTGCTCTCATGTGCCATATTCTACTTACCAACCTAGTCGCGTGCGACGGATCATGGAACACGGGTTTCGCTTTGATGCGGACGCGCCTGGGTGTTGAAGTACTTTAGCGGCCCGCAACCCTTCTGTCAGGGCCTCCACCTCTGAAAGATATCTCCACCCCGTTTTCTGCTAGAAAATGGGTATCACAGGTCGGTTTTCGAGCTTGCCCTTTCTGCTGACATTCGATTTGACTGACCTGTGTCCTAGGTCTTCTTCCTCTTCTCAAGTCCATCCAAAGACCGGGCCACATTAGGGATTGGGCTGGGAAGACGGTTGGTGTCGACGCGTATGGATGGCTACACAAGGGCACGATATCATGTGCGGTTGATTTAGCATTGGGGAAACCCACTGTCAAGTACTTCACCCTTTTTCCATTCGCTGCCGAGTGAAAGCGACTGACGGACTGGATAGATATGTCGACTACGTTATGCACCGAGTCAGGATGCTACGGCATTTTGGCGTCACGCCGTATCTAGTATTCGATGGAGACTACCTTCCGAGCAAGTCCGGAACCGAAGTTGAACGCGAGAAGTAAGTGCGCTGATATGTCCAACACATCACACAAGTTCTAATTGTAATATAGAAAACGTGCACAGAGCAAAGCCACCGGACTGGAACTCCTCAAGCTCGGCCGCAGCTCGCAAGCGTACCTCGAGCTTCAAAAATCGATCGACGTGACCCCGATGATGGCCCGCCACATCATCGACGCGTGTGCCTCCCTCGGCGTGAAATGTCTCGTCGCCCCCTACGAAGCCGACTCGCAGCTCTACTACCTCGAGAAAATGGGAATCATCGACGCCGTTATCTCAGAAGACTCGGACCTGCTGGTGTTCGGCGTCAAGACTCTTCTCACGAAGCTGGACCAGTTCGGGGAATTTGTGGAGGTCAACCGTGAGCACTTCACCGCTTGCAAGGAAATCAGTCTGGCCGGGTGGACACAGACCGAATTCAGGCATATGTGTATTCTGAGTGGCTGCGACTATTTGGAGAACATTCCGACGATGGGTCTCAAGACTGCGTATAGCTACATGAGACGCTACAGAGATGTGGAAAAGCTGCTCCGAGCCGTCCAACTGGAGGGGAAGAAGAAGGTTCCTTCGGGGTACCTGGAGGCGTTCAAGCGTGCGGATATGACATTTCTACATCAGCGCGTTTTCTGCCCAATACAGGAGCAGATAGTGATGGCCAATGATCCGAGTCCGCAGGTGACCATCGACGACGAGATACTTTGTTACATTGGCCCGGAAATCGAAGCGGATATCGCACGTCTTGTTGCTTGCGGGCAACTCGACCCGATGACGAAGGAGCCCATCCAGATTGTTCCACTGCCCCCGGGGCCGAGCAATTCGGCGAAGCCATGGCCCCCGCCAAACCAGAAAGTACAAATGACGACGACGCCAAAGAATAAATCCATCACATCCTTCTTCAAGCCAAAATCAGAAGCACGCGCCATTGTTGCTACTCCGGTGCTGCAACCGAAGAATACGAATAGGATTGTTTCTCAGTCCGCGCCAGCAAAGACGACATCGGCATCAACCCCCATGAAACGCCCGTTTGATGCGACCACCACCTCTGCGAGCAAGAAACTCAAGACCACCGCCACAACACCCACCCCAGCAGCGGTGGAACGGAGCCCATTCTTCGCCACTCAGAGCCGGCGACCCATCAACAGTACACCGACACCGAAGCCGCGACCGAAGAAGAACATCACACCCGCGCTCACTCCGACCACACTCGCACTGCAGCAGAAGAAGAACGTGCCTCCCATACCCACCCAGACCGAGGAGTCGTCACCCAGTCCCAGTCTATGTCTACCACCCTCACCAGCCGCGATCGAATCTGCCAAGAAGGTCGCGCAAGGCTGGAAAGAAGCATTCGCATTCCCGAAGCAGGGAGGCGTAAAGGATCTCGCCGCTGTGATCGAGAAGCCACGGGTGCAGAGCACTGCGGTCCTTGCAATGACATCGCTACAGCACTTGGGTGCGAGGGCTCTCAACCAAAATCCTAGAACAATTCCCCCATCCAGGTCGGCGACTATGCCATTATCAATACCCATACTTGCAAAATCGGAGTCGGCGGATAGCAATGAGAGTGAGGAGTTCCTGTCTGGTTTTGATAGGTATGTCACGAGCGCAGATAATAGTCAGGACGTCGATGGGGTGTTCGGGAAGGGGATGTTTGATAGGTTTGCATACAGTAGGTGAGCGTGGCAGTGTGTAGTATAGCATCTGTATATGGCGTTTCTTGTGTTGGTTTGGGCCGGTTATACCTTCTCGTCTCTTGTTTTTTTTATCCAACTGTTCTTTATATTTGTTATTAGCATTAGGTGAAGTGGCGATTTATATATATGCACTGGATTATGAGATGGGATGAAATACCAAGTTCACGATGGCACTTTGGTGGGGACCTTCATTATCTCCATTGACACGCGATATCATCTCTTTGCTCCGGGGTAGTTACACAGTTGCAGCGCAACATCTGCGACCGTTCTCACCCCAGGCTATCGACGCCTAATAAATCATAACAGAGTCAATATTTGTCGCACTCTCTTGATATGATGAGGCGTACTAGTAGTTACCAGTACAGACTCGTCGGTTGGGTTGCTATGGTGATTGGGGTGTTTACATCCGCTTCCCCACACCGCGCCTGTCTGTTGTATGTGTGTCCAGCACACACCCGCAGGAGAATGCCCCCTCCCCAAATTAGGCCCAGCCAGCCCAGCCCACCAGCCCACCAGCATCAGCCGCCTGCCAGCCTCTCTACTTTCAACTTTACTTTTTGGTGCGGTGCCTGGCTGGATTCCACTTGACTCGATTGCGCGTCAGATCATAGCGTATCAATCAATCACATATTCATCACGACACGAACACGAACGAACGATTGCAACGAACGTGCTTGCTTGCCTGCTGCTGTTGCATCTTCCTCTCGTCCCGACAAGAAGAAGTCCGCGTCAACAGAACCCGCCACCATCAACATCAACAACACCAACTACCGCTGCCACTACTCCCTCCGCTCTACATCCTCCTCCTGCACATCATCACAACATTTAGCCCGCCGCTCCTGCATCCGCTTTGCATCCATCCTAAACACCCGTCACGAAACAATTTGTTTACACGTCGCCGCCGTCTCGAAATCCACTCCCGCTTCTCCTTCCCCTCCGACAACGGCGCAGCACCCACGAGTGCAGACCACTTCAACTCACCCGTCAATCGTCGTCTTGTCTGGTTAAGAGTGATCAGTAAGGCCGGGAATCTTCGCTACAGCATAAAATGGTTGAGCGAAAGATCAAGTTCGTGTTCGGCTTCCAACGTTGGTTCTCCCTCTTCGACGTCCTCGACCTCCGGAAGGGCATCGCGACAATAATAATCAAAGCTGACAATTGAACAGGGCTGGTGCCGTTCCTCGGGTACCACCATGTGTTAATGGTACTGATTCTCGTTGCTATAATCTTACTCTGTTCGTCGCAACTTTCTCCGGTGATCGCGGAGCTCTGTAGCTAATGCATTTACCTTACAGCACTGTTACTAGCAGGATGCTCGTCAAGTTCCGTGTTGATACCGTCGATATTCCTCATTAATCTCTGGTACGACCGCACGTCCCCCGTTTTCGACCCCGCGCAAGTCGACCCGGGCTTGTCGCGCGCGATCGGCAACATCGTGGGTGATGCTCAGCTGGAGGCCCGTGTCGGTTTCTTCGGAATCTGTGTCAACCCTGACGGCGGTTCGTGGCTGTGCTCCGCGAATGCTTCCTCTCTGGCCGCGCAGATCCCTTCGGACCAGGACCCCCTCAACCTTGTGTGGGTCGCGCAGACGTTCAAGGACAGCATCGTGTTTCCCTACCTCATCATCATCGCTATCATTCTCGCTACCGTTGTTTTACTACTACTCGCTACGTTCCCTGGCTACGAGGAGGAGTACCCGGGTGGTCCCAATGTTGGCCGGTTACCGTCTAGGGCTGTCAGCCAGATTGCTCTGGCGGTGATCTTCGTGGCTGCTATCTTCGTGCTCGTTTCCGTGCTTTGGCAGCATACGGCGTCCGTTGCAGCAGCGACTATAGCGGAAAACATGGGGAATGGAAGTGTCCAAACGGGAGTGGGTGTTACCGCGATGATATTAGGCTGGTTCGGATTTGCACTGTTAATCATCGTTACCATCGGTCTCCTTGTCATGTATGCCCCCCGCATTCTTTCCTCACTGTGATGCACTTTGCTAACGCTTGAAACAGGATTCTGTCCATGCACCTGGTTGAGAAGTTGACCAACGAGGAAGAGATCTAAATCTACACCCATCCGACACACGACGAACCTAATGAGGGCTATGCCAATTGTATTACAAAAAGAAGATAAGTACGGGTCAGGGGGTTTGGGGCTTGGTTGGTTGGGCAGGGTGTCATGAGTACGATGAGTGTCTCTTTTCATTTTCGGCGGTGGCGATTTCCTTGATGCATTTCCTTTGGGTTTTCTTTTCTTTTTCTTTCCTTGTCTTTCCTGGGCGGGATGGGGGCGATTCGGGCTTTGCAGTTATAACGAACGACTACGATGATGTGTTGGTGCGATGGGAGAATTTTGGGATGAGGATTTTTGTTTTGTTTTACGATACCATTTCCTATATCCACACACGATGGTTGCACGGGCTGGGCATGTACATGTAATTATGATAAGACTGCTTTTGAATGGTGCAAAGCAGCAGTAAGATGATGAACAAAGCTTGCACAAGCAAGCGACGCTTGAATTCCAAAATGTTGTCCGACGAATAAAGATGCCAGTGAATGCCCTACGAAATGTCCTCTTCCTGCTCCTCCGCTTTCCCAAAGGCGTCCTCGCCCTTCTTTCTCAACACATCCACTCCTGCCGTACCCTCCCATTTGTCACACAATTCCCTCAACCGCGCCAGCACCTTCTTCGCCTCATCCCCCCTTCCCTCCTCCACCAAGCCCCGAATCCTCTCCGGTGCCGCAAGCGCCCACTTCGCCGTTTCCACCCCCTTCATTTTCCCCCTTGCCGTCGATGGCCTCGGACTAGCCGCCCTCATCCCCTCCACTAACCCGCGACTCACACCCTCGATATGGCTCACCGCCGGCTCCAGCGTACTCGTCGTGGGAGTCAACGGCTCCATACTAGCCCTCATCCTCCTGATCGTATCGGTCGCGGCGATCAGTTTCGAGTAGTTATCATACACGAGCGCCTTGCGCTCGCCATCCAGCCCGCGGATGTCATTGATCAGCGTGTTCTCGAGGGTCAGCAGGTCACGCAGCGATTTCTCTGACAGGATATTGGTGATGTAGCTATCCGCTGAGAAGTCGTCGCGGTCGAGCGATGGCAGTGGCTCCCCGGTCGTCGCCGAGAGGTTGTAGAACTGCCGGAGTGCGTGCCGTGTCCGCTTCGGCGCGCTGCTGTTGCGCGGGATGTCGAGACTGTGTTGTGGGCTCGAGGATGAGGAGATGGGCGTGCTGGGATTGGGGAAGGGGAACGGTGGGTATGATGTTATTGGCGTGGTAATGGAGATTGAGGGTGCACGTGAGGAGGAGGGCGAGGAGGATTGCATTTTTGGTGTTCGTGGTGGTGAGGTCTGAGTGAGCTACCGTAGGTATTTTTGAGCTGAGGTGGATTTAAGGTTGCGTCTGGACCAGTCTTATCGAGTCTCCTGCATTGTTGGTCCCCACCACCAACCACGCAACCATGCTCGTTCCAACACCTTCCCAGCCCCCCCCTTCAATCGACGTGCTCCTCGAAATCCTCTCCACCCAACACCACCTTCACGCACGTCTATCGGTCCTGCGCACGCTCCTGACCGCTCTACAATCCTCGGCACACCCTCCCACGGGGAAGGCCCTAGTGCAATCCCTCAAATTCCGCCTGTTAGCATCCGACATCACGCTGTCCCTCCAGCCCTACGCGAACCTATGTCTCCCACCGACGCTTCCCGCAAAAGCGCCCGTATCCAGCACCCTCCCTAATGACGGCATCATCGTCCAGATGCTGGACATCCACGACATCAGCTCCTCCCGTAGCGATGCTCTGGACCGCCTGGAGATGGCGGAGCGCGGCGAGGTAATGCGCGGGCGCGAGGTCATCCGTGTCGTCCCCGGGGAAGATAATACCGCCAACGATACTGGCTCGGGTGAGGCACGCGCGGGAACGAGGAGTATGCACAAACTACTGCTGGAAGACGCGGCAGGCAGGAGGGTGTGGGGATTTGAGCTGGAGCCTGTGGTCGGTGTGAAAGTGGGGATGAATATTGGTGCGAAGATGCTGCTGAGGGGGTGTACGGTTGCGAGGGGCGTCGTGCTGTTGACCGCAGCTACGGCAACGGTGCTGGGGGGAAAAGTGGAGGCCATGCAGGCTGCTTGGATGGAGGGCAGGAAGAGGGCTCTAAGGGAGGCGGTAGAGGGACCGACGAAGACGTAGCTGCGGAGGGAGGTGATTGGGACCAGTGCGTAGATCTGGTACAACCCTGAGGTACGCGATGGGAACTCATCTGATACAGCTTGGGGCAGTGTACTCGATGAACGAAGTGGCTACATCATTACATGTGCTTCGTTTTGTGCATTCATTAGAGGAAGGAGCGAGCTCTGTGAGCTTCAAGGTGCACTGGTACTACTCCAGTGTGTATTGCCGCGCTCGCGATGTGTACAATACTGAAAGGCGGCAGTGGCCACTTGCACTTCACATTCAACCACATCCCATCACCATTCATCACTCGCTAGTAGCACAAATTATCACCCATAAAACATCGTATTTCATAATTTTCGAAAGCCGAGCACTTGACCCGGCTCAAGCACTCAATTGAGAGCAACCTCTAACTGTTGAGCATGATAAAGCCAGAATATGCGCGTGCCGGCAGGCTCTTCGCGCTAATTGGCGTGCTGCAGAATCAGTCACGTGCCATAAAGACCCGATGCTCACTCTACCTGTAGATAGCGCTTTTAATACCCATCCCAGAACCCTCGCATTTTATACCTTGGTCTCGCCATCATATCTTTTCAACTTTTTGGCTGGCTCAAGAGTCTTCTTCCCTTTGCTCCACCGGCGCCTAATCCACACTGACCACATCCCACCAAACTTTCACCACCGACCCTCCCCCCATCGCCGCCGCAATAATGTTCGCGCAGGCGGCACCGTCATCGGCCCGCGAGTACACGCCCGAGCATATGCAGCAGTGGAGCTCTCTTCCGGCGGACCCACCACTGCCGGAGCGCGAAGCAGTGCGCGCGATCCACGTGTACGATTTCGACAATACGCTCTTCTGCAGTCCGCTACCCAACTACAAGATCTGGCACTCGCCGACGCTCAACAACCTGCAATCGCCGACCTGGCTCGCTAATGGTGGGTGGTGGCATGATCCGCGGATTTTAGCGGCTACGGGCGACGGGCTGGAGGCAGAGGAGATGCGCGCGTGGCGCGGATGGTGGAATGAGAATATTGTACAGCTGGTCGAGCTTAGTATGCGCCAGAAGGATGCGTTGACTGTGCTCCTGACTGGCAGGAGCGATACGGGCTTCGCCGAGTTGGTGCAGAGGATTGTCAAGAGTCGCGGATTGGTGTTCGATATGGTCGTCCTGAAGCCGAAGGTCATGCCCACTGGACAGCAGAGTCAGAATACTCTCGCTTTCAAGACGGTGTTTTTGGCCGAGCTGTTGAATACCTACTCGGAGGCGCAAGAGCTACGGTTAGTCATACCCCGCGCCGAGTGGAAACCGGATGACTGACGTTAAAACAGAATCTACGAAGACCGAGTAAAGCACGTGCGCACCTTCGAGGACTTTTGCAAAAACTACGTCCAGACGACCTACAACCGACGAGCGCACCTCAAGACGGATGTCATCCAAGTGGCCGAGACCGCGCGATCTCTCGATCCGACCATTGAGCTCAAGCAAATCCAGACGATGGTCGATGAGCATAACGAGGTGCAGCGGTCGTTCGGTATGCGTGGGTTCCAGCCGTTAAGGATCAAGAAGACGGTTTTCTACACCGGGTATCTACTCAGTACCGCTACTAGTACGGCGCTGCTGAACGACCTGGACATTCCAACCATGTTGGCGAAGGAGAATGATGTCAAACTGATGGCGAATAACGTTCTCATCACTCCGAGACCGGCGTCGAAATCCGTGTTGGCAAAGACCGGCGATTTCGGGAGTAAGGTCGAGTTCGAAGTCGTCGGTGTGGCTCACTGGGAACATAAAGTTTGGGCGGCGCTGGTGAAGCCGGTGGATGAGAGTATTCGGGTCTATACGGGTACCAAAAGGTTCACACCATCTCTTCGTTGAAATGCTGACAGAAAATAGATAATCCGGAGCCGATAGTAGTGCTCGCTGTCCGACGGGGATCGAAACCCATCGATGCCGGCCGTATCGACAAAAATCACTGGAAGAAGCCGGCGCAGACGGTCCGCTTCAACACGGTTGTCGGCGAGAGACTTCTGCTGCGTATCGAGGAAGATAACAATGAAGGCGAGTGGGAGAGTCTCTTTCCTAGGCGCAAATCCTCAGGGAACATGGGGGCCAACCCCTCTGCACACCACAACAACACCTCCAGCGTTACTGATACGCTCCCCGGATCTGCTGGCGCACCATCGATGATGGCGATTCCCAGTTGGGGGTCGAGCGGGAGGTGGTGATTGGTGTTTTTGTTTATCATTTTTTGTCTATTCCCTTTTGGACACCCCCCATGTTCCTTCTCTATACTTGCCCTTTTTTTTCTTTTTTCTTTTTCCTGTTTTGGTTTCTTACTTTCTTTGTTTCATTTATAAAGGTCACCACCACCGACGAAATGATTACCGGGGATCTTGGGAAGGGCACCGAGGAGGCGGCGGCCGACGTGGCCGAACAGGCTTTGGAGGGCGAGGACGAGGAGGAGGCCGTGGTGGATATAACGGAGACGTGAGACATGTCGCGGACCATGGACCGATCGGTGCCGTGGAATCTATGGGCTGGCTTAACGACGTTTGCTGAGCGAGCGATATATGATTCATACATGATGTGTATGAGTTTGGGTTTTGGCGTACAAGGCTGAATGAATTTTTGCTCTGGGCTGGTAGGCTGTGTTTTCTACAATGTGTACTTCCCAGCACTAAGCTTACGGCCGTGGGATACTTCCTCGAATGTAAAAGTTGAGGACTTGAAACGTGGCATATAGCATCTGAGTGACAAACTGTGATGTTTGCGGCAAGTTCCGCTTAGAGTTTCGCGCTTTCAGGTGACTTTCTTTAAACAAATCAAAGGCTGGGCACACTTAGAACCGCGTCCTTCCAACTTGTCGACCATATCACCACACATCAACATCAACTTCGATCACCCGCAAACGACACACTCCACTACCGCTGCCGCCGCCACCTCGCACGATGGTGCAGTCCATATCGCGCTCGCTGCCAACTCCGGCAGCGAGACCGCCGCCCCCTCATTACCAGACGATACTTACACCTCTGCTACATCGGAGGTTTGCACACGCCTGCTTGATTTCACTCGGCTTTTGCTACCTGGAAGCAATCATCATAAGCGATAAATCGAACTGTGAGCCTCCTGCTCTCCCAAAGACGACAGTCGAATTTGTACTGACGACAGGTGTTGGCAGTTTTTTGGGTGCTGTTCCCGATAAGCATGACCGGGCTGAAATGCTTTGTGCTGTTTTTCCTGTCGGCTATGCCACTCTTGATCTTGAGGATCGCGCAGCTACACGGTTGGTTTTACTTGCGGGGGGAATTTTGGAGGACGGAGAGACGAGAGCTCTGCTAATACAGCTTCTGCCAGTTGTCAAAAGAGCGCACTCATCCCCGTTTCATGCCTTCCAGAGAGCGATCGGATCTTTTGCGACTTACTCGGCAATCTTTACCTACGTGTTGTCTTCGGTGGTATTCATGACGCTGTACTTGTTGTCTTGCGGCCCCGAAGACCAGCTCGGTGTTGTGGTTGAGGGAAGGTGCGTACACATTGGTCAGATGGTGGTGAAGGAGCTGTGCTGACTGAGGATTGTAGGAGCTACGAACGGCCAAGGCTGAATGAGAGGTTCCTTTATCTGGTGTTCTTCTCCGTTTTCATCGGTGTCTTCCGCGGTTGCGCACATGTCTACTACGACAGGGCGAGATTGGTATTCCCCGAGGTTCCGTATGCCTCCTACAAGGACGCCGGTGCGGCTCAGATCCCTACTGTGGCGTGGAATGTGGGATACTATGTGTCTTTCTTTTCTATCTTCGGTCCTCTCGTGTACTTTCCGTTCCGATATATCCTTTGGTCCCACACATTGGCGTTTGCGAGACACTTTTACTGGTATGCTTGGTTGCGCTTCCCGGGTCATTGAGGGTATTGACTGTATGCCAGGTTGAACCGCTCGGCTGCGCTCCCCTCGTTTCCGGTTGGACCTACGCTCTTCATTCGGTCTTGTTTCCTCGCGCTCATGATCGTTTTATCGTCTGAAGTCTCCCATGCTGCTTTTAACGCCTTCTTTACCGAGGATCCGTTCCAGGGCGGCAAGACGATCACCGACAAATCGAGCGATCCTAATGGAACTCTCATTACTGGGCTCCGTACTGCCAAGGCCCCATTGACACAGGTGCGTATCTATTCTCGCTTCCGAAGGAACTGCGAATGGCTAACCGTGAGCACAGCCGATGGCCTTCGCGGAATTGAACCACATTGCCCACAACCGTCCCGACCGCCGACGCGCCATCTTCGCCGATGTCGACCGCAAGCCATCATCATGGGAACACATCCTTAATGAGTGCCTGCGAGCTGTCAACGACGTCGAGATCAAGCTGACCGAGCTCAAATCCCCGCACACCCCAGCTGCTGTCTCCGCACCACCCACGCAATCTTCTGCCCCAGCGCACAACAGTCCGCCTCCGATCCCGATCAACCAGGCCAACATCCTGGTGAAGACAGGCCCCCGCTCTCCCGGTCGTAACCTACTGGATATGGTACAGGCTGGTGATGGTTCCGCGTCCCCGAGCGCCGCCCTGCGCAAGCACTTGTCAATTCCGGATTCGTTTGATCCGAGCAAGGCGACGAAGTCGGCTTTGGACATAGTCAAGGAGCAGATTGAGCCCATGCTGGCGTCGTCCTGTGGAGAACCGTTTAGGCAGACTGTTCAGCGAGTGACTGCCGGTGCTATTCCCAATGTGCGGGTTCCGATCGATGCGGTTTCTGGTATTTCCCTCCTCTTCCCTTCTGCAGCCATCACAGGCTGACCCATGCGGTAAATAGCACTTGGAAAACTAGTCATCTCCTCACTCGATGAAGACGACTTTGGTGTCGTCCAGGGCCACGTTGGTAGGATACTCCAGAGCTTCTGCGCCACGTTGGAGACCCTCGAGAGCTATACCGCCAATCCCCCATTACACTGGACCGATACCGAGGCACACCTGGCGACCGGAAAAATCTGGCTCGAGGAGCCTGAGGCCTTGATCGCACAGCTCAAGACTACCATCGCCGATATCGCCAATGCATTTGCGCCGTTCCTAAACCAGATGGAATTGCCCAGTGATGTGCGGAGTAAGCTGCCTCTTGGTATGACTATGATCTAAAAGAATTGACAAGCGATATTATCTTGTATGTTGGGCAATTTTTCTGCGTTCGGTTTCAATTGTAGTACTGGTTGCGGTTGGTTGCTTGGTACTTTACCTACGGGTGGAATGGATTGGCGTTTGCTTTTTTTTCCCTTTATGTTATGTTTACTCACTATACTCATTCTCATTTCTGCATGATGGAAGGACGGGGATTCTTTCTTGTAAACTTTTTTTATTGCCGGTTCCACGGGTGTCTCCGCATCGTCTATCTATCGAATGATACAGATACTTTTACAACAGAGTTGAGACCCTACACCAAAGAAAGCCCCTCATACTCCCTAACCACAGGCACCTCTACCTCCACCACCTGCCCACCCTCCATCAAATGCGGCACAAAAACCGTCGGCACCGCCTCCTTTAGCATTGCCAGCAACTCCACCACCGCCTGCTGCAGAGCACCGGCACTCTCCCTCATGCCTCGTCTAAACATCGCCTCGACCAGCCCCGCCATCTCCTCCCTAACACTATCGACCCGCTCTACAAGGCGACGCACGGAGTTGACCAGATACTCCTCTTCGTAGACACTGCCCTTCTTGCCGCGGGCGCGCTTCCGCTCGTCTTTCCGGCGGTTCTTGGAGGTCTTCCTTGTCTCGCCCGTCTGTGCGGTTCCGAGGGAGGCACCGGTGTAGCGGGTAAACAGCGAGGCGCCCGACGTGCTGGCGTTGGTCGGCGCGAGAGAGACATTGTCGGGTGCGTCGGCCTCCGTGATGGCGTCGAGATAGGCGAGCGGGTCGATGCTGGCTTTTTCGCGGAGCTCGGCGATCCGCGCGGTTTGTGCCTTGAGTTGCCCGCGGCACTCGGCGAACAGGCTGGATGACGAGGCGAAGGCGTCTGTGAGCGCGGGGTCGATGATGGTGCTTAGGAGTGTGGGTTGCTTGTGCAGCATCACGGTCCGCATGGCCTCTGAGTAGTGGGTGCCGGCGCACAGGGCGGCGGCCGCCGAGGGCACGTCGGACAGATACGAGAGGTAGATTGTTGCTGCTTCGCGGTGGAGTTTTTGTTCGGCCAGGGATTCGGCCAGGGAGGCGGCGAGAGAGGGGAGGTCGGACACTTGGGCCCGCGTCGCGATGAAGAGACATTCTTCCCATTGTCCGGCGTTTTGGTAGCTTTCTATTGCCAGGGCTGTCTCGTCCAGGTACTCGTATGCTACATCCAGATACATCAGCCATTGAGCCCCGCCACATTTGCCAATCTTGAGACCAACCAAATCCTGCCTCCTTGAACCGACTCATAGCATGTAAGAAATCGGCATAGTCGCGCATGACAGCTTTCATATGTTCCGGCTCGTATTTGTACAGCTGGAGGGCTTCGGTATACAGTTCCTTCCGAATAGCGTACCTTCGAGTCTCCTCGAAGCTATCGCCGCCCATGTCGAATAAACTTTGTAGCGCTTTCGAGTACCGGCCAAGCTTATCATCGATCGTGAAGCGACGTCGGAGCTCGGACATTTCCTGGAGGCTTTGTAGGAACGGAAGGTACTCTCGTGGGTCCTATCAAGCTCAATTAGCACGAATAACGAGCGAGTGAGTAGTTGTGACGAACCTTCTGTGCCTGTTGTGCAATCATGATCGCTACTTCCAGATCATATATTCCCAGAGCAGTATCATACAGCTTATTAACATCGGACAGGAAACATATATGTGTAATCGCTTGTTCGTACAACTCCTTCCCCTTGAGCGATGTAATCAAGCTCAGCGCCGACTCGTGGTCTGGCGGAGTCTTGCATACATATGCAGTGATGATGTTTTGCATGTGTTTAGAGAGATACTTTTTCCGCAGGACGTCGATGAAGGCATTACAGATGGTATTGACTTTGTTAGTAACTCCAGTAGCAGAAGGTTTTGTTTCCGGCAAGAGGGATGTGACGGAGGGCAGTGTCTCCCTGTACATAGTCTTCGTCACATCTTCTTCCCTATGTCCCAGTTAGCGGGTTCTTTCCCCCAGTAACAGGTGAAAGTCTATCAGAGCATACCGTAATTGCGAAAGTACCAGATCGATATATTCAATCTTCTTCAACTGTGTGACAAACAGCTCAATGCACTCCAGAAACTGCGCGGGCGCGTAATCATGCAGTAAGTTAAGGTCTACACGGTTATTTCGACACGCAAGGAACGCTTTCTTATAATTACGAGCTTCAATGCTTCTGCGTATTCCTGCCAGCACGAGGGCCCGAGGGTAGATGGCTTCGAGATTTCCACGAGGCATCTGCAGGACTAGCGAGAAAGTAGAGGGCATCACGCTGACTATGCGCGAGCCACGCTCGATGTTTCGGCAGCGCTCGTCACCGTTGGCTTCATCGGAGGGCACTTCGAGATCTACATTCCGAGTTAGTGGCTGGAACAGAAATTTCTGAATTGACAAAGACCTACCGTGGATGCTGGATGCCAAGTGAATGAATTTGATTACATGCTGACTGGTCGTGAATATCAAGTGCGAATCTGTAACGGCAAACGATGTGCACGACGAAGCCAGCAGTCGTTCATTGGCGTAAAGACGTCCAGCCTCCGAAAGACCAAACACGATAATCTCAACTCAAAGTTAATAAAAATCCTTATGGTGGGCACTTGCAGAGTCCTACCTGGCCCTCTAGAGTGACGGCTTCCATCCACGGACATTTTGCGGGGAGCGCGCAGACCGGATAATTCGTTCTGTCCTCGAAATTGTATCGAGTCACAATTCCAGTCTGGCTCTGACGCAACACCCCTCCAAGTTCTCCAGCAGCCTTGATGTTGCACACTGACGAGTCGATGGTGAAAAAGTGGAGATTCTCAGCGTCTACTGGATTGCTAAGCGTTACTCGGCGCAATATATTTGCATCACCTGCATCCTCTCCCAGCAGGCAGATTGTCTCCTCATCGAGGAAACAGACCTGGCGAAAGCTTTCGCTGCTTGAAAATGTGAAGAGATTTCGAGTGACTTCAGGATCCTTCGCTGGCTTGAACCCCCAATCGATGAGATCCACACTAGTGTGCTGCAGGACTGCAATACGGGTGCCGCTTGGGCTTATTGCCACGTCAACAGCTGTGGCGTCCAGTCCCGCATCACAGAATGACATCGGTGGTGGAATATTGGCGATTCGAATCGGCGTCAGTTTAAGCTTGTCTGCGTGCGGGATTGTGAGAAATCAGATGCTTCCTCTTCATAGTGGGGTACACACCTCCGTCCACCACACCAACAATGCCGTAATCATTGGGCGCGACCAACGACCCTGAGGCAGTGTTCCATACAAACGAGTTGAATTTGACCATTTCTAAAGCCGCATCAGCACTGATCGAAATAGGAACGACGATTGACGCCTGAGTTCTTACTGGCCGAAGTAAGGACAAATTGCAAGGGTTTCTCGGGGTGCCATTGGAAACCATATTTAATTTCTGTAGAGGAAGACGATGAAGAGGGGACCATGAGCTCCTGCTTTAGATACCAGTGATAATTTCCCGTGCTCCACAGCTGGACTCTATCGGCGAGGCCAACTGCCAGCACTGAGGAATCTCCGTTCCAGAGCATCGAATTGACCTTGAGCTCAGTCGATGGCGTCTTCTCTCCTGTCTTGAGAGTAAACTCTCCATGACGAAGACCATTCCGTTCAAAGAAAACAACATCCACCCCGCTGGGCTTCCGCTGAATACCGGCGATCAGGTTGCCGACTGGCCGCCAGCTCAGCGGTGATTCTAGTCCATCTACTGGCTCGCTAACACTGTCCAACTGTCCTTCACGACTGTACACACGGACCATTCGTCGTTCCTGGTCCTCGATCGTAGACACAGCCAGGTATGCACCATCACCCCTCCAAGTGATCACAGTCTGCGCGTCGTCCCGCGGACTAAGCACTCCCGAATCCACCTTCTCCGGCACTGTAGGATCCCTTAGGCCTTGCGCCTTCGCATGTTTCCCCTGGAACTGTGTTTCTGCTTTTCCCCAGCCGACGCTCACATGTCTCGACGCTTTGAAGTCCTCGACTGAAAATGCCACTTCCTCGATCGGCTCGAACTCCCTCGTCATCAACAGTAGTGTCTTGGTCTTTGTCGCAATGGCCAGCACCTCTTCGTCGGGTGACCATGCGGTGGCCGAGATCCCGCTCTCGATGGACCCAACAATCTCAACCTCCACACCTATGTCCTGTTCGCGCACAAGCACTATATCTCCGCCTGAGAAGATGACGCATGTAGAGGATGTATCCGGGAGGTAGAACAAGCTGACGATGCGATTATTCGTGGCCTCGTCGTCGTCCGGTATTACCGTGGCCTCCCATGAGGTTATTGGCGTAAAATCTCCATTTGCCTACAATTCCCTCCTCATCAGCGGGGCATCCCAACTCCTCCGATATTATCTCCAACTCACCGTAGCCCTCATGAGCTCTACCAGTCCCTCCCCCTCCGACGGCCCAAACGCGCATATTAAACTGTCGGTGGAAACATCCCACGTGGACGCAGTAATAGGCGCATCGGGGAAGATGGTGGCTTCAACGGCGACGGTGCGCTGGTATGTTTTCAGTAGGTTGCGCATTGTGGGGTTGTGGCCGTTTGTTTGTTTGTTGCGGTGAAGACGGCTGCGACGTGCCCCGCTATAATTTTTGGGTTAAACATGTGCCCCACTACTGGGTGGTACAACTATGACACACGTAACCACACTCCGACACAAAAGCGGAGCCGCATTGCGGCATAAGCTGAACACTTGAGCGAATTCATCGAAATCATGTCACTCGACAGGAAATTCTCCGAATTTTGAAGGATTTGAGTCGGAAGGCGCAAGGCTGGTTGATTGGAGTGGAGTATTCAAACGTATTTGTAGCCGGTGGTCTGTTGCCGCCCAGGGCGAGGATCGATGACACACTACTATAGACCGTCGGTCTTCACGGTCAGGTTGGCTTCCGCATGCCAATAAATGCGCAAGTCTTAGCCAGCTCCAGATGAGAAGCTGTTGTTGTGGCCACATTCCGCCGTCGCCGCCTACGCAGTTCGATTTCAACATATGCCTCAGAAAACTACCCCCTCGATCTTTCCCAACACACAGGAAGGCAACACGCATGCAGAGTGGGTACCAATGAAGATCGGTTCTATCCATTATGATACAAAGTTCGAGCATAACGAAACCCAGCACTTGTGCTCGAAGCAAGCTGCATGTACCACAATCACCCTGGCCCCATCTACCTCACAGTCGCTCAAGAATGGTGCCACGTTATACATCTAGGCGTTCTTCCTGAGCTGGTAGACGGCGATGCCGAAGGGAAGTCCGAAGCCGACGACTGTTCCGGGGATGTCAGGGTACAATTTGAGTGAAGCTGAATGGCTGAGTGAACATACCGCAGAAAGAGACGTATCGGACGGCGAACCACTTGGTCAGAGGGTTGAAGGGAAGGTTGCTTCGGGGACCCTCGGGGTAGTGGTATCCGCCCATGCGAGCCGGAGTGACGGAGAGGTTTCGGCGGGCGGCCACAAAGGGGCTCTGGCGGGCGGCAAGGGCCGAACGACGAATAGTTCCGGAGATCATGGCTTGACGCAGTACGAAGTCAGCAGGCAGACGGACGGCAATGATCGGTAAGGCGGGGTTTTCCGGACTCAAATCACAGGCGCTGAATGCCGAGTTCGAAATTTGGGTGTGAGCTCGAGAGGAATGAAGATGCTTACCGGAATGCTGGCGGGTTGGCAGTGTGCTGAGACTGAGTGGAGATGGAGGACTTGGTGGTTGGTGGTTTGGTGGAATGGGGCGATGGGCTCTGGGTGGAAGCGTTTCGGGATTTACCCAGCCAGACCAAACAACCCTAGACGACTAGCGCTTCTGTCTCTCCCACTTGCTCAGAGGTAGAGTGGAAATCGGCCCAGGCCCCCTGCTGGCATTCAATCAATAGAACGCTTGGCTCAGTGCGTTACCCGGCCTCCGATTGCCCGCCTGTGGTCCCACCAGCCCTCGATCCCACCACGAACAAAAGCACACTAAGTTCTGGGTTCTACATAAGTTTGCCGCATTAGCTTCGATTAGCGTGAAGCCTCCAGTAGTCGCTTCTCAAAGTCTACTTGCTTCTGAACCTCGTCCTGGATCGGTCGCGATCTCTACTGCAACGTACTGATTCACATACAACCCCCTCCATTTCACTCTTCGATTTCATTCTACCACTCTCCCCCGGCGGCCATGTTTGACGACGACGAGCTTTTCGACGTGTTCGACCAGGACGCCCCACCACCAGCGCAAGATCCCAGCGCTGAGCGACGGCCGAGAAAAAAACGCAACGCAAATGGCAACGGCCGTGCTGCGGGCGTAGACGATGTCGCTGCGGGAGAAGCCATGGCGGTGGACTCGGCTCCGCCGGCGGACAACCCCCACCAACAGCAAGCACAACAGACGGACGATCTGCCACAGCCGTTGAATCCACCGTCCCCAAAACGGCGGCGCCGCACTCCTGCGGATGGCGCCCCTATCGTCACCGATGCCTTTCAGATTGAAGCTGTACGGGAGGTGCCGGCGTCGGGTGGTCTCACTTCGCAGAATACGGAGGGTCAATCCATCATCATCCCGCATCAAGTACGACATCAGGTTTCGCTTCCGTTAAACTACAAGTACCTACCGATAGAAAACCACGTTTTTCATGATCCTCCAGCACGCAAATACTCCTTCGAGCTGGATCCCTTCCAGAAGACGTCAGTAGCGGCGATAGAGCGCGGCGAGAGTGTGCTTGTCAGCGCCCACACCAGTGCGGGAAAGACGGTGGTGGCGGAATATGCGATCGCGCAGAGTCTGCGGGACAACCAGAGGGTGATTTACACCAGTCCGATCAAGGCGCTGAGCAACCAGAAATTTCGGGAGTTCACTGCGGAATTTGGCGATGTGGGATTGATGACGGGTGATGTAACAATCAATCCGTCTGCGACCTGTTTGGTTATGACCACCGAGATTCTGAGATCTATGCTGTACCGCGGATCGGAGGTGATGCGAGAGGTGCAATGGGTCATCTTCGACGAGATCCACTACATGCGAGACAAGGCCCGAGGAGTGGTGTGGGAGGAGACCATCATTCTGCTGCCCGACAAAGTTAGATATGTGTTTTTGTCTGCTACCATTCCAAATGCCATGCAGTTTGCGGAATGGATCTGTAAAACACATACACAGCCTTGTCACGTAGTCTACACCGATTTCAGACCTACGCCACTGCAGAATTATCTATTTCCCTCTGGCGCGGATGGCATCCACTTGGTCGTAGACGAGAAGGGCATCTTCCGGGAAGACAATTTCCAGAAAGCCATGGGCTCTCTGGGTGACGCCCATGGCGAGGACCCGTCCGATATCAATGCAAAGAGAGGCAAGGGGAAGAACAAGTGGCAGGTAAAGAAAGGAGGAAATAAAGGTATTGCTTCTCATTCCTCGTTGCCGGACAATACCGTGCTAACACATGACCAGGTCCCACTGATATCTACAAGATCGTGAAGATGATTATGATCAAGAACTACAATCCTGTCATTGTCTTTTCCTTCAGCAAGAGAGAGTGCGAAAACCACGCATTATCCATGAGCCAACTTGCGTTTAACGACGACGCCGAGAAAGATATGGTCGGGAAGGTCTTTGAGAACGCCATCGGCTCGCTATCCGAGGAGGACCGTGGCTTGCCTCAAATACAGCACATTCTGCCGCTATTGCGCCGTGGAATTGGTATCCATCACTCTGGACTGTTGCCCATTCTCAAGGAGGTGATTGAGATCCTTTTCCAGGAGGGCTTGATCAAGGTCCTGTTTGCGACCGAGACCTTTTCCATTGGATTGAACATGCCGGCGAAGACTGTAGTCTTCACCAGTCTCCGGAAATTCGATGGAAAGGAGCAGAGATGGATCTCTCCTTCGGAGTTCGTGCAGATGGCCGGTCGTGCAGGTCGTCGTGGTCTCGATGACCGTGGTATCGTTATACTTATGATCGACGAGAAGATGGATCCACAGGTTGCCCGTAACATCGTCAAGGGAGAGCAGGACCGCCTGAACTCGGCGTTTTACCTGGGATACAACATGATTCTGAACTTGATCAGGGTGGAGGGAGTTTCGCCCGAGATGATGCTTGAGAAATGTTTCTATCAGTTCCAGAATACTGCCGGTGTATCTGTGCTAGAGAAGGGTAATATATCCTTTGCATTATATGGTGTGATTATGATGCTAACGACGAGCTAGAACTTGGCGAATTGGAACGGGAAAAGTCCCTTATTTCGATCGACGACGAGGCCACGGTACGAGAGTACTATGACTTACGGCAGAAACTTGACATGTATGCGAAGGACATGAGGGATGTCATCAACCACCCAAGCTATTGTCTCAAGTTCATGCAGCCCGGCCGTCTCGTCAAAGTCAAGTACGGCAATCACGATTTCGGCTGGGGAGCTGTCGTTGCTTATTCCAAGCGAGCACGCGGCAAGGTAAGCACCCGATGGCTTCGCTATTCTTGCTCACACTAATTCCGTCTAGGAGGAGTTCTCACCCCAAGAGAGTTACGTTGTGGATGTCCTCTTGTGCGTCGCGCAGGACGCTCCTACATACACAAGGTCGAATCCCGACTTGCCACCGGGCGTCCGGCCACCTGCTGAGGGTGACAATGGAAAGATGGAAGTCGTTCCAGTGTTGCTCTCATGCCTGGATGGTATCTCAGGACTCAGGATTTTCCTTCCCAATGATATGAAGCAAGCCGAGCAGCGAAATACCGCCAGGAAGAATATTGATGAGATCAAGCGCAGATTCGGTGATGGAATATCAATCCTTGACCCTGTCGAGAACATGAAGATTACAGACGATTCCTTCAGAGCTCTTCTCCGCGTAAGTCCCTTTTAGCTGGAATGCGTGTTACCCCGTAGCTAACTTGCTTTTCAGAAAATCGAGGTCCTCGAGTCGAAGTTGCTCGTGAATCCCTTGCACAACTCTCCTCGTCTTGTCGATCTCTACAACAAATATAGCTACAAGATGGAAATCACCGAGAAAATGAAAGCTACCAAGAAGAAGATCACGGTTGCTCATTCAATCATGCAGCTGGATGAATTGAAGTGCAGAAAGAGGGTGCTTAGACGGTTGGGGTTCATCAGTGACACTGATATCGTTCAGCTCAAGGCGAGGTTGGTCACTCCGGATGTTATAGGTATTATGGCCGTTACTGACGTATCTACAGAGTTGCCTGTGAAATCAGCTCCGGGGACGAACTGTTGCTTAGCGAGCTGCTGTTCAACCGGGTGTTCAACGAGCTTAGTCCTGAGCTGACCGCCGCACTTCTCAGCTGCTTCGTCTTTGAGGAGAAGAGTAATAATGAGCTGCAGTTGAAGGAGGAACTTGCCGTGCCGTTTAGAGAACTGCAGGCGCAAGCCAAGCTGATTGCCAAGATATCGACCGAGAGCAAGTTGGCCGCCATGACAGAAGACGAATACGTGCAGAAGTTCAAGCCGCAGTTGATGGAGGTTGTCTACGAGTGGTCGAAGGGGGCTTCTTTCTCGGCTATATGGTGAGACTTCCAATCCTTTATCATAAAGTTTATTATTTGCTAATACTTTTCCAGTAAAATGACCGACGTCTACGAAGGCAGCTTGATTCGTATGTTCCGTCGTCTCGAGGAATTGTTGCGACAAATGGCTCAGGCTGCGAGGGTCATGGGCAGTGATGAGCTGGAGAAGAAGTTTGAGGAGTCGCTGTCCAAGGTTAAACGAGGTGAGTTATCCCCATTACAGAATAAGCGGACCTTTCACTGACACCCTCTGTCTCTTCAGACATCGTTGCCGCTGCTTCACTCTACCTGTAGATGTGTCGACATATGAGACAAGTTTGTATATACCTTACGCCTAAACTGCTCGGAGTTTTTGATTGCAAACGGTAACCTAATGAACGAACGTACGTACGGAGAGCCAAAGGATTGTCATGATTGCGTTCTTTATTTCGGGGGACCTTACATGCTGGTTTTCGTGGTTGATTTTACGTGTGAAGACGTCTCTCTTATGGTTCTTTGTCTGGACTTTCCAAAAAGCATGGCCCTGCATAGAGTAGATTTAGTCTGGGGCTGTTTCCTTATCCTGAAGCGTTGAGATCAAAATTGTTCGCATCTGCAATGTTCTGTGCTGCAGAAACGCCAAGACAATGACCCAATTTACACGTTGGTAGCGTGGGTTACCCGACAGCGCGTATCGCCCCAAGTCGTCACGTCTCCCCGGCGACCTCACGCGTTCCTTCCCACAAGCTTTCTAAAGCTTACCTGTAATCTCAACAGCACACTGCAGCCATGCATCCAGGCGACCAACACAAGCTCCCGGGCTACACCCAGAATCCGTACGAGGAGAAGCAGATATCACCCTACACCGCGATCGAGATTGCGACGCTGCAGGCAAAGCTAGATCAACAGCTAGGGCCGGAATTCATCTCGTCCAGGCCGGGTGCGGGTGGAAAGAAGGTCCATTATATCCAGGCCGAGAAATGCATCAACCTGGCGAACCAGGTCTTTGGCTTCAATGGATGGTCGAGTAGTATCACGAATATGGAGGTCGATTTTGTATGTTGCCCCTCTCCTCCCTCCTCCCCGTCGCGAGCTAGATGGCATGGCATAGATGAGGAGGCTGACCGGTAACTGGATAGCTTGATCAATCGAAAGACAGCAAGTGGAGCATCGGCATATCAGTCACGGTTCGGGTCACACTCAAGGACGGGACGTTCCATGAAGATGTTGGGTACGGCCAAATGGAGAACGGAAAGAAGGCACAGGTTTTTGAGAAGGCAAAGAAAGAGGGAACCACAGATGGTCTCAAGAGAGCACTGCGATCGTTCGGAAACGTCCTCGGGAACTGTCTCTACGATAAGGACTATTTGGCAAAGATCACCCGAGTGAAGGCACCGCCTGTGAGTCGGATCGAGTGCTGGATGTCGTTGTTTCGGTGACTGAGACGTGTGCAGACTGTGTTCAACGAGAAGAGACTACACCGACATGGCGATGAAATGAAGCCCAGCCCTGTGGAACAACAAACAGTAAAAAACGAGTCGGTGACTGCTCCCCCGACTTTGGCCACGAAGGAAGTAGCTACCCCCCTAGGTATGTCACAAAGCTATTCTTGCAGTGTATATACTGGGCTGACGCTTATCAATTTCTCCCAGAGCCATTTGACGAGTACGGTGGAGATGAGCTCGAGGAGTTGGGGATATTTGCTGGAGACGACAGTGTCTTTGACGATGTGATGCCCGACGAGGTCGCCGTCGACGTAAGGGATAATAGTCCTATCGATACACCATCAAAACCTGCTCCTGTACAAAGCACAAATTATACACGACCCCAACCACAGCAACCGCCACAATCTCCAACCAAGATGCCTCAGCCGCGTCAACAGCCAGCACCAGTGCGTTCGTATGCACCTCCTCCACCAATCGCTGCCCCTCTCAGGCCGGGTCAAGGCACGAACTTGGGTCCTCAACAAGGCCCAGGCCCACATGCTCAGTCAAGGCCGGTGTCTAGGCCTCCAGCTCAAGGACCTCAAGGCCGCCCAGGTATGCCACCTACCAATCGAGCAACTCCTGGGGCGACCACCACCCCGCGACCTCAACAACCTCCCCAGGCTGCCCCACGGGCCCAGCCGCCGCCTCAGGCCGCTTTACGAGCCCCACCACCTCCCCAAGCCGGCCCACGTCAACAACCTCCTGCTCCAACTGTACCGCGAGCTCCACAGCCTCCTCCCCAAGCTGTTCCGCGAGCTCAACCACCTCCCCAGCCCACCAACCACCAGCCCGCTGCCGCACCTATTGACCCTATGCCTCAACCCCCAAGCACCCCCTCCAATATCCCGCACAACCCCCCGATAGGCTTCTTCACCGGCCGGGCCGCCATGAACCTCAAAAGCGAGCAAGACATGATCCCCGACGCGGCACCAGCTTTCAACCCACACCGTCCCACCACACTCCCCCGTTCCGCAGGAATAGACCACAGCAAGTCCTCGCCCGTTCCCCGGAAAGTTCTGCAGCAGGGTGGAACACCCAACTTCCAGCACCCAAGCTTAACCCCCGGACGACAAATCGGCATGCCACCTGGACGGGGCGGATTCCGTGCTCCCGGACTGGCCGCGGGAACGAAGCGGAGTGCGGATGCTACTGGGTACATATAACTCCACCCCCCCCCCCCCCCCCCCCCCTATCAAACCTCCCAGATCTCCCGTCCGTATATAAGCAATAACTAATTCAATCTACCAGCGGCAGACCAGCATTGGGAAACACACCTGGACACCAACTGAACGGCCAACCACACCCGAACGGAGGTAACGATCCGAAGAGACCAAGGAACTGAATCGATGTTTGATTATTATTAATATTGTTAGGAGCATTTCTTTTTGCTTGGGCTTCTCTAGAGGGCGTTCTTTGATGATGCTGGTACTGAACTTAGGGGGGAATTTGATCGGATGCTTTACTTCCACTTTTATTTTTACTTTATTGCTAGCTTGTTTGTTTGTTTGTTACATCTTGCTTTACCTTATAATGTTTTTCTGGCCTGTTACTCTCACATGAACTTTCATCACATCACATCACTAGAAGCGTGTTAGGTATGGTCAAAAATTTACTTCAACTCAACACCATCACCACTAAAGCCTGCCCCCCCTTAAGAAACACGCAAGGAAAGGAAACAATACAACGGACGGGCGGAGGGTATGCGCTTTAATACAGCAGCAGACAAAAAGCAGACACAGAAAGGTAAGGGAACAAATATTCATGAGGTATTATAAAACAGGCACAGCAACGACATGTCGGTCGCTCGTAAACCAAGAAAGAAAAAGAAAAAAAACGGTGCAAACAAAAGATGAGTTCGAGGTTGGTTTGATCTGCTTCCACTCGACTTCTCTCTCCTCCCCTCTGACCCCCTGCTACCAGGTACACAGCTTAGTACCCGTTGATCGTCATCCTCTGCTGCGAGCCCCGGCTCAGCTCCCTGTCAGCGGAAGGAGAGATGGGCCTGCTGCTTCCTGCACCGGCGGCGCTCGACTCCTTGAGGGCCAGCAGCTGCTTGGCGCGGAAGGTCTCGTAGTGGATCTGGGAGGTAGTCTCGATCAGGTCCTGGAGGTGTGTGCGCGTGAGGAAGTTGCGCAGGTAGACGAATTCACAGTGGGCCTCGTTCTCAACTATCAACTGTTAGACTATGAAAAGTAGGAAGGGAGGAAGATAGGTGAGTACCATTGATAACACCCCATCTGTTCTGTCGTCCGCGCACTTGCTTGCCCTCAACGATAATGGACTTCTCGGAGCCCACGACGGCGAACGGAATGATGTTCTTGATCTGGGCGTTGAGCGCGCGCTCCTCCTCGTCGAGCTCATCGTTGTCGTAGGGGTACATCTTCAGGTTGTGGAAGGCGAACTCCTCCTTAATTCGCTCCTTGAATGCGGCGCGCTCCTCCATGGTCAGGGAGTCTGACTTCGCAATGACGGGAACGACGTTAACAACGTCGGATAGCTTCTTCAGGACTACGATGTCGATAGGCTTGAGACTGTGAAGGGCGGAGAGTTAGCGGGGCAATTATTGGTGGAGAGGGAGAGTAGCATACGCGTGTCCAGAGGGCTGGATGAAGAACAGACAGCAGTGAATACGGGTATCCTGGATGTACCGTTCCCTCTGTGCAGTGAGCTCCTTTCGGAGGTAGGCAGAGTGCTGATCCTTGATGTACTTGACGATAGGATCCCAGCATCTGTCGTTGTTGACTTGGTCTCCGTAACCGGGGGTATCGACAATATTCAGGCGAAGCCTAACGCCATTCTCCTCAATGACTATTGAGTACGATGTTAGAACATGTTCGTAGCTATCGTTGACCAGTGTCCTTACTGTGGGAAACGGTCTGAATCTCGGTGGTGGATCGCACGGGCTCATCGGGGGTGAGACGGCCCTTCGAGTCGATGAGGTGCGAAGCAAAGATGGTGTTGATCAAGGTCGACTTTCCGAGACCCGTCTGGCCTGCACGACAACATTGTCAGCTCTCTCCAACTCCCGAAATAACAGCAGCCCAAAGCTTATTCCGACGACGACGGGGGCAATGCATACCAACGCATATCACGTTGAACTGGAAGCCACGCTTCAGAAGCTTGCGCTCAATCTGCGAGGTAATGCTGTCGAAACCGACATGGCTCCTGGGGAAAACGACTGTTTGGGCCATTGCGATCGTAGAGGTATTGACGGAGGAATTGAGCCTTTTTTGGTGGGTCAGACGTTTGTTGGCAGCAGGATGACGAGGGCTAGGGAGGGAGGGCAGGTGCTGGAGATGGGGGGGAGATGTAGGTAGATAGTAGTTGTGTAGGCGAGTGAGCAAGGTGGACGACGCGAAAAAGGGGAAGCGGAATGTCTGGGGGGGGGGGGTCAGGGTTCAGAGTTGTTGGTGGTTGTTGCCAAATAGCGCTAACGGGGGAGATGCGTTTGCTGATTGGCCAATCGTTGGATCAGTGACCAAAAATCCCCACGCCCGCAACCACCACTACCACACCATACATCGACGACACATCGAATTGGACGTCAGATCCGTTCATTCAATTTCCCGCCACTGCGCCAACACTCTCCTCGCACTCGAGTGTATCTCTTCTCTCCGCGAAACGAAACAGTCATGGCGACCATGGCGATGTCAGCTACCCGGACCAGCACATTCTATGCGCTGAAGTCGTTCCTGCCGCGGTTGTCGCTGCCCGCCTTCGCCGTTCCCGTGGCCATACACCTCAACATTCCGGCGCTGCTCCCCGGCATCTTCGAATCGATCCTTCGCGCCGTCCCCAAGAAGAAGCAGTCTCACTCCAGGAAACGTATGCGACAGTTGGCCGGAAAGGCACTGAAGGATGTCAACGCGCTGGGCAGGTGCTCGTCGTGCGGGAAGGTCAAGCGGTCACATATCCTATGTGAGCACTGTGTGAGGGGCATCAGGGATATGTGGCTGGGAAAGGGCAACAAGGCAGAGGGGGAGGCGCAAGAGCACGCTTGAGGTGGGCCGAGTGAGGGGTACGCGGGTTGGGGACTGGAGAGTTGTAAAGCGATGGGATACGTTCATACTGGGAATCGGGACGGCTAGATCGACGGGGTACGATCGATGTGTATTATAACTCTAGAGCGCCGGGCGGGTTTGGTGATTGGCATATCGTAAACTTCTCGTCAAAATGGTTTCACCTTCTTGGAGTGCTGTCACGTGATTCATTGGTGGGGCTGTTTGGTGTAACCTCGAGCAACAGCTTCATTACTCTACACGACCCTAAGCCGTCGCCTTGAGAACTTCACCACATCCACCTCTTCCCCCGACATAAGCCGGCCTCGCTCGCGCCTGCTTGTAGCAATGGTAATCGATCAGCTCTTCGATTTATTTGTGTTGCTCTCCCGCTAACTCAGCAGTAACAGTCAAAACAATTCCTTACAGCCCATGTCGCAGAGGACGGTGCGTGCTCCAGTCTAGTCTACTTTTGCTATCAACGATCTTACTGACGTCCTACTCGAACGAAGCCCATGAGTTCGACATCTTCGGCGTTGCTTTGACCACTTCCTACGTCGTCACGGTCGGAGGCGATTCCAATGTCAAGTTATGGCAGACTGGTACGCAGGAGCATTCCCTAGTACACCAGTTCGCCGGTGCACATCCATTGGGAGCCCATCATGTCGCAGTCAACAGAAACGACGGTTCTCGAGCAGCAACTGCTGGATTCGGCGGAGAGATCATTCTGTGGGACCTCGAGAATCTAGAAAAGTTGCACCAGATCAAGGGCCAGAAGGGTACGAGCTTGAGTGGGGGGCCTGTCCAGCCTGAAAGACGGCTGACCATTGTCGCGCACAGGAACTGAAGGAACATGGGCTGTGGCGCTGTCGCCCACGGGTGACCGGCTGGCAGCGACGACCTGTGACGGAAAGATCAATGTCTGGGATAACACCAAACCGCAAGAAACCTTGATCACGTATGTGACGAAGGGAAGCTTTGGAATGACTGTCGATATCGTAAGTACCCCCGGTGTTCAACTTCCTCTCCGAGTTAACTGAAGTCTATGCAGTCTCCAGATGGACACCTTATCGCGTCGGGACACGAGAATGGTGGTGTTTACATCTTCAATAACCTCACATCCAAGATTCATCACTCCCTCCATGGTATGTATTTCGTACGTCTACGGAAAGAGTAGTTCTGACTTGGCTTATCGTTAGGTCTGGTCAAGCCGGTTAGATGCGTCAAATTCTCTCCCGGCGGAAAGCTCCTCGCCGCATGCGGCGATTCCACCGTAGTTGCACTGTTTGATGTCGTATCTGGAGAGCAGGTTGCAAATCTCGCAGGTCACTCAAGCTGGGTGTTTTCCGTTGCCTGGAACTCTATTGGCGACCATCTGATTAGCGGGTACGAAACAACAGAAGTCCGACCAATCCCTATGATCGCGAGCTGACAGCTAGATAGCTCCTTTGACGGAAAAGTGAAGGTCTGGTCGGTGGACACTGGCTCGTGTGTGGCCACCCAGAACGAAGCTACAGCCGCTATACATACGGTGCAAAGCATCCCAAGGGGAGCGGGTATCGGAGAAGGATTCGTGGCTGCTGGTGCGAACAAGAGCATATACTACTACCGTGAGTCGGCCGGGGAATAGATGCGAGTGGTTTGAGTATAGAAAGCCTTTGTAATTGATCTGCGGCGTGCGTAGCGCCGCAGCTGCCAGCCAGCATCACTTCTATTTTTACGTGAGAGCCGGTTTCTATTTTAGCATCTAAACGCGTCAACCGCGCGGTGATGAGCACGGCTGCAGTGTGCACGAGTGAAACATGCGCTGCGCTACCTGAGACAAGCCAGGGTCGAGGCTGAGCCATGAATCTCCTGAACTCTTCTAATCCATAATCCATCTCTCACCGTTCGCCCACCACCCATTTAGAAGCACCGCCTTCAGTCACTCCTTCGAAATCGGATACCTCTCGTCGTTCTCTTGTTCTCTTCGTCTGTCACTCTTCCTTCAACTCCCATCTCACTCACACCCCCAACACACCCACCAACACAACTCCAAACCTTCAACACCCCAGTTTTACCATCAACCATGTTTAAGCTTAAGTTCCTCGCTACGCTTTTCATTGTGGGTCTTGCGACTCGCGTGTCATCCGCGACCCCTCCCGTACGTACAATCTCAAGCTATCTCTGCAGATGCGAATTAGGGTTGACAGTTCCCTAGGCTTGTATTCTCGCTTGCGTCAACGAGGAGAAGTCGGTCAGCGACATCAAGGCAGTCTGCGCCGCCGAGTCCGCCCAGGAATGTCTTGCCGATAGTTGCGACAGCGGCGATTACAGTACTGCTCGCACCTACTTCGAGAATATCTGCAAGACTGGCGGTTATGAAGTCGGTATGTTCATCAAGACAGCCCTTGAGCTCCCTCCCGATCTGACGTGTCGACTAATGCCCTTCCTCGTCTATTCTAGCTAAAGCTGTTTCTGCTACCGCCAGCGGTACTGCTAAGCCTACTGCCAGCAGCGGAGCTTCGTGAGTTACCCGAAACATATGTGGCTAAGATGGATATAGAGATCTGACTGTTAAATAGTTCTACTCTTGGTACCGCATCCGCCAGTGCTTCCGCTGATGCCCCTAACGCGTCTTCCAGCTCTGCCGAGGGTGCCGGCAATCGCATTATCGGCAATACTCCTCTATACGTTGGCTTGACTGCGATGGCCATCTTCGTCCTTGGCTAAGGCACCATACCTCCTAAGTCCCTTTCTTGCGGCGGCAGAATACCACCATCGCGTGTACAGCATTCTTCACTGGTGATATTGGGCAGCATGGGTAAAGGTTAGCATAATAGCAGGTTCGGATAGAGGTTGTCTTCAGTGCGTTTGAGAATAGAGGTGTTTCTAAGGCGGGCTTTTGATTTCCCTCGTGCTCCCTCTATCGTGATCCGTACTGTACAAGTGTGATATGTGCATCTCTTCCCATCATCTTCCCACCAGCTTCCCACCACCTCCCCACCAGAAACGAGTTTAATCGGATTTGTTGTCTTTGAGATGATCCACCATTTTCTGCAACTCGGACTCTCCATCCTTCCGGAACTGTGTCACCTTCTTGATGTTCTTGAGCGTGAGGTCGGACAGGTCCTTCCCCTCAGTCGCACACCTTGCCACCGTCTTCGCCGTCAACGCGAATCGCATATCCTTCGGGCCGTCCACAAGCTCTAGGATAGCACTCGGCGCCTGATCCGTCTTCAGAGGTTCGATCCTCAGTACCCGCGTGTACCCTCCAGGCCGCTCCTTATAACGCTCCGCGATATCGCCAAACAATCTCGGGACCATATCTAACGGTGTCTAATATCGATTCCGCGATCAGTCACCCTTCCACCTTTTCTCCCCCCTCCCTCGCGCACGGCAACGGGGCAGAAATACGTAGAGAATCTGCTCAGCGCGTAGCCGCGAGGCATTGGTTCCCTTCTTTGCGAGAGTGATACATTTTTCGGCGAGACGCTGCGCTTCCTTCGCTTTCGGGTACGTGGTCGAGATCGATTCGTGTTCGAACAGCGAGGTAACGAGGTTGCGGAGGAGGGCTTGTCGGTGCGCGCTGTTGCGGCCGAGCATGCGGTGCTTTGTGTAGCCCATCGTGGTGGAATTGGAGGCGACGACGACGTTCGTTCGTGGAAGACGGGAATGGAGGTGAGCAGTGAGAAATGCTAGTTGGAAAATGGTGGGTTTTGAGCCGCCCCCGCTGATGTGCTAGTGGTAGTTAGTGGCCCTGCACCATCGAGACATCCCACCGATGCACCACTAGCTACAGACGACGCAATTTTGGTCAACATAAACAACGGTTACGGGCTCTCTACAATTTCTAACTATCAATGTTGGCAATCATGCCAATCTCACGCAACATCGCCGTCTGCGAATCCTCAGGTCCCAGCTCCCTATCACTGTTGGCATTCATGCCAATCTCACGCAACATCGCCGTCTGCGAATCCTCAGGTCCCAGCTCCCTATCACTGTTGGCATTCATGCCAATCTCACGCAATATCGCCGTCAGCGGATCCTCAGGCCCCAGCTCCCTCCTTCGCCACAAACTAAACTCCTCCTCATCCACGATATCGTCTCGCGCTGCTCCCCCGCTGTTACTCCTCTCAATGAGCTGAATCAACCAGCCGAATTTCTCGAGCTGCTCTTGTCGATCATCATATTTAATATGGCGACCCTTAGTCGTAGGCTCCCGCCGCTCATCCGTAGCCTTGCTCGGTCCTCTATACTCGTCGGGGATGGGAATATCTCTTCCCTTGACTATGATTTGAAGGCTTAACCTGCTGGAAGAGAGAGGCACGAGGTGGGGGAAAGCAGCGGTCTACGTACTACTCGGCGGCTCTGACGCCGTGCCATCTTTCACCCGTTCCATCGTCTGCCTGACCACATCCAACACTGTATGGTCGGAGGAAGATAATCGGTTGACATCAGCACCCGCGCGAATCAGACATCCGCAGTGGTTCTGTCGACGAATATTACCAGCTGCAAGTTGCAGTGCCGTCCAGCCGTCTCCGTTCACTACATCCAGGTACAATCCCTCGCTGAGCTTCCGTCCTGTCCGTGGTACAAACTCCAGGAGAAACTCCAAGAGCTTCGTTTCCGGCTCCGAAACTGCGAAGTGAAGGAGTGTGTCACCAGAAACCGGGCGCGCGATCAGATGTTCGTCGTATTCCAAGAGGAGGTGAAGGAATGCTTCGTGGTGACCGACTGCGGCCCAAGCTGCGGGGGTCAACTCGTCCCAGAATGTGTCTCCAGCCAGATTCCACCAGTCGCAGGTGGCGTGGAAGTTCGCGCCCTGGGCGAGCAGCAATCGACCTGGTTCGAGGGAGCCATATGCTGCCGCTGTGTGTAATGGTGTGAATGTGCTCATATCCTGGGCTTCGATGTCTGCACCGAGCTCCAGGAGTTTCGCTGTGGCACGAGTGTTGTAACTTTGTATCGCGAAATGTAGCGGAGTCCTCCTGTCTGCACTTCGTTGATTCACATCCGCACCCGCGGCGACGAGGTCAACTGCTATTGTGTTGCTGCAGAAGAGCGTGCTTCGTGCCCACTGACCCAGCGGCGTCTTGCCATCTCCTGCGCATGTCGAGTTTCCACTACACCCGTGCCCGAGGAGGGCTCTGACAACAGTCTCGTTATGGTTTCCTGCAGCTGCTACAATTGGTATGTAATCGCGCTCTGAGTCACCTTCAAGCAATTCCGGCGCCCTCTCTGCAACGAAATCGATGGTTGCTACTGTGGATTGACCAGCTCGTACCCCAAGGAAGCCATCGATAGTGTCTATGTGGTACTGCGGCAACATCGCCAGCCACCACACTGCAGCGCCTAGCCAGTCCAAACATTCGAAAGCACCAAGCTTTTCCAACTCCTGCAGAATCTCGGATGATTGCTGGGCAATCGCATATTCAATGGGCAACGAATCCGCCGATCCCTCGAACGAGCACAAATCTTCCATTACATCCGCATGCTGAAGGAGATTCTTCACCGCCGCAAGGTTGTAAGCCCGAAATGCAAACGTTAGCGGCCCTCCGAGGGGGAATCTTCCGTGGATTTCAATGCACGGGTGGTCCCAGCCCATGTCGTCGTCGAGTCGAGCGCCGGCAAGGAATAAGAGGTTGGTGGTACGAGGGATGTCTGCCGTGTCAAAGGATATGATCCAGTGGATGGCGGAGTCGCGGATTTTTACGCCGTCGATGTCCAGTGTTTGCGCTGAGGCGCCGGATGCGATGAGAGTCTGGTGGTGTTAAGGGTTGGGAGAACAAACAGCAGTAGAGAAAGACATGCCTCCAGAACGCCTAGGTGCCCGCCTTTGCAGCACAGAACCAGCAGACTCTCCCCAAACTCGTTGCAAGCGTTTGGATCCCCACCGGCTTGTATGCAGGCTTCTGCAAGCTCCTTGTCTCCATATATCGCCGCGTTCAATAGGAGGTCGTCAACATCATCTCTACCCTCAATGGGCTTTCCGGAACCGATGCACGCTGGAGGTTGATTCGGATAGAAATACTGGTTAAACCCACCCCTCGAATGAAAGTCCTGTCTCGCCTGGATATATAAATCCGCATCGATGGTCCGCAGGGTCTTTTCCGCCGTCCAGGAGCCCCACGCAACAGCTTCATACAGCCAATCGAGTTGCAAATCTTCATCGATGTCGAGTGGACGGTTATGAGCCACATGCCATGCATGAACTACCGCTTGCGCGGGGAGATAATCCGCTTTTGCGGACTGCACGGCGGCAGATAACATCCCATCGATATCCGTGGGGCCTCCCAAGCCGAGAGACCGTGCTAGAGCCAGCTGGAAGTATGTGCGGCCACGGGTAGGGCCGCGGGTGGATTGCGTCAGGTCCGTTATTATCTGTTGTTGTACGTCCAGCGGGATCTCATCCTCGTCTTGCCAGCCGAAGGTTACGTAGTGTGCGTCGCTGAGATATGTCTGGAGGCTGTGGTCTATTTCTTTTCGTGTGCGGCCGACTCTCGGAGGGGGCGGTGGGCTTCGCAGAGTGTTATCAATGGTTCTCTAGATTGGAGGGCAACAGACGGCATACCTCATTTCGGAGTCCACTTCGAGGATGGTTTCGACCATGGAAAGTTCTGAGCACCGCTCCTCCGGGTTATATGCCAACAGCTGTCTACATGCCAGCTCGAGGACGGCTTTGAACTCCTCTGGTACATTCTCATCCTTCTGGATGAAATCAACCCCGCTCTGCAGAACACTCTCATCCTTCGCACTCCAGCACTCCCTCAGTTCCTCGGCAAAAATATGCAGCAACAATAGACCTAGTGAGTACGCATCACATCTACCCAGCATCTCAGGATGTATCGGGTGTCTCGATTGATCCTGCGTCTCGGGAGCATTGGTTATATCCGTGCCATAATACCTCGTCTGCCTATCAGTCGGCAACGAGTCCAGGAATATACACGAGCCGAAGTCGGAAAGTTTCGCCATATACGGTTGAGCGATATCCAAAACCTTTTCGCCTCGTACGAGCAGAATGTTATCCACCTTAACATCCCCGTGGATAATCCCCATATCATGCATTGCCACGAGTCCGCGGGTCACGTCCAGTATGATTGAGTACTTCTCTTCGCCGTCAAGATGGGCTTCTGGACAAGATGGACCGAGGAGGCTGGAGAGTGTGCGCTCTGCATGCCGTACGACTATTGCCGGGGTGTGAAGGTATGGGGATCCAGGGTCCTCTATTAGATCGTAGGCAATGAGGTTAATGATATGCGGTTGGTCCCGCAGAGCGCAGAGCGCTTTAAGCTCTTTGTAGAGTTCGTTTGCTCTCCTCTAGACTATTTATCAGTCGGTGGAGATCACAATGTGTGGGGAGCAAACCCGATCCGCAAGGCCACCGAGATTTATGTTCTTCACAGCGAGCAGGCCTTCGTCAGAATCGATCCCCTTACCGTCGTAGACGGTAAATTGGCTACCCGCACCGAGGACCCTGGTGCGATAACCGAAGTGTTCGGATTGGAGTGCGCGTGGGATCTCATGGTGAGTTACTAGCGTGAGGAAGTCGCTTACTGTGCGGATCTCGAGAGGGTGAGTAGGAGCCGGTAATTTGGTCGGGGGACGGTTGGAGTGGAACATGTTTATTGAGGGATGAGGTTGAGGATAACAGTGCTGAAGTTGACGGTTAAAGGTGAGATGTTTCCCCCGCTGTAGAGTACTATCTCCGTAGAACATCATGCACACTGCACGACTCATTGCTTTTTCACGAATCACATAAGATGACAAGATCATGGATGATTGATTGGTGGCCAGCTCAGGGATATATCATTATTACTGCAGCGTCTCAAGTACCCCACTTCACTATCCAAATCTCCAGAAATCCCATGGCCGAACTCGCTCTCGGCATAGCCTCCATCGGACTGACCCTGATCGACGATGCCATCCGAGTGCTCCAGTACTTCCGGCTTGTGCTGGCGGACTCCAAAAGCCTCGGCGCCGACGCCCGCAAGATCAGCACGCAGACCGCTGTCGAAACCGCGCGGCTGCAAGCATTCCGCGAGTTCCTCCATGACCCCGCCGGGACGACAACTCGATTTGAGCTCCTGCCACAGATGCATCAAACTGCGGTTGTCGGCATGATACAGGAGCTCGATATCCTCTTTGCGGCGTATTCGGCCGTCGTGGTCAAGTATGGGTTGGACTTGGACGTCGATGTTGTGGGTAGGGTGGATGTGGCCGAGGAAATGGTCCGCCGGGCCACACTGACGAGTACGCAGTTGCAGCTTGGGGCGAGCTGGAAGGCGAAAGCAGCTTGGGGCCTGTTTAAGAAGAAGAATATTGAGGTGGCTGTGCAAAGGCTTGAGGAGTGGAATAATAAGCTGCAAAACTTCCTTCTGTGCGGTCTGTGTTTTTTGGATGATAAGAAATTGATGGAGTTGAGGGACGGGACTACTATGTAAGTCCCCTCTGCAGGTGCTACGGAAGGGAGGGTGGGGTTGTTGATGGGATTTCATGGCAGGGAGAAGTTGCGGCTTGCGCCTGGCCTGCGACTGCGTGCGATCATCACTGGCGCCAATGCCTCCACCGTCGATATCGTCGAAGACGGAATGGTTCTCAGTCCACCCGTGGCGAATAGCTGTCTCCGGACCGTCAATCACACTGGGGGAAAACCAGAAACCGTCTACGTAGAATACAAACCTTACAAACCTCGACGCGGGGCCACCCAGCCCTCCGATGCAATGATCCGTCGAGTCCGGGCCCTCGGAAACCTCCTCTGCCAGCCATCAGCTTCAGATGCCGGGTTTCACACGTTATCGTGCAGGTGCATCATCAAGGAGAAGGACCACAACGGAAGGGCATTGAATAGATACGCATTCCTCTTCCGTCTCCCGGACGGAAACAGTGGGGAGCCCATCTCCCTGTCCGCAGCGATCACAATCCATCACTCCCATCGTCCGACCCTCGGCCAGCGCTTCCAGATTGCAAAGACACTGGCAACAACAGTCTTCCAACTGCACTCCGTAGGCTGGCTGCACAAATCCATCCGCAGCGAGAACATTCTCTTCTTCGGCGCACCCGGGCAGATGTACTCGCAGCAGTACCTCGTCGGCTTCGAGTTCTCGCGCGACGAGAACGACACCTCGACCATGGAGCAGGACGACGCGCTGGAACGGAATATCTACCGACACCCTGACCGGCAAGGCCCACCTGACACTCGTTTCTCTGTGCTACACGACATCTACTCCCTCGGTGTTATCCTGCTCGAGATAGGATTGTGGCGGCCGGTAATAGGCTTCGAGGCGTTTGCGGACATGGATCCGGATACGGTCAAGGAGAGGCTGCGGGAACATGCCAACGCAAGGCTGCCGCATTATATGGGCAGGAAGTATACACGGGCTGTGTTGGAGTGTTTGGACCAGACGCTGGTGGATGGCGATGTGGTGGCGCTGGGCGGTCTGGAAAGGTTCAGAGAGAGTGTGCAGATTGCGTTTTGTGAGAAGGTTCTGGGGGAGATTGAGGGCGGAGTTGCGTTGGAATAGTGGTGGGCGGGCCGTCGTGATTCCGAACAGTCGCTTTTGAACGTCTGTTTGATTATCGACTATCATCTATAGATCTGTCTTACGTCCGAGGATCTACATATGGGTTTCTGTGCTTTGCGAGTTTCTCGGCCCGTGAGAGAAAATCACATTCATCGCTCGAATAACGAGCGATACCCTGTGCGCAATTCCAAGCAGAGCCAAACTTCCAGTCCAGGTTGTCTCGGAGACGTGGATAGTGTTAGTGAGACTCACGTTACTCTAAACCCACTATAGCCGACTAACCTAGTAAAGACTTGTGGAATTGTCGGTGATTGGTGCAAGGTATTGATGCTTTTGAACTGATCGTGAAGATGAGGCTAGGTCTCTACCACAAAAGTAACAATGACGACGATAACGACGACTAGCCTATAGCGATATCGAGAATATCAACGGCCTGTCTAGATTATGGCGACCATTTGCCCGATCTTTCTTGCGCGGACAGTTAAAACGCGACGTGCAAAATGGCTGTCCGGATGGAATAACGAGTGATGATAGGTGAAACAGTGACCGTCAAATTGATTATAATCGGGCTCCTCGACTATAGAACTAGGTACATACCTGTATTTGCGGAAGTGAACTCTATAAAACGAGATTAGAGAGTTTCCCTAGGCGGGCCTTAGGTTCCCATAACTTTCTCTCTTGCAATCACCCTGTCTGATGTCTCGGACCGACATGTGAGCCGGGTCTTGGCAGCCCGCGGACCATACCATGGCCACAAGTGTCCTCGACACATCACTCACGACAACACCCGCGCCAATGCCAGCAAAACGAGGCCAACCGGTAGTCGACATCGACACCACTCTCAAACGCGTATTCGGAAAGAGGTCTTTCCGATCTGTCCAGCGGGAGGTGATAGAAGTAGGGTTTTCACAATGCGGCAAAAAACTTTAATAACACGTGACGCTGATGATGTAATTAGGCGGCGCTGGAGGGTCATGATGTTTATTTGCAGGCATCAACCGGTAGGAAATACCCGCCTTTTTGTTGATGAAGCTGGCTGGATGGGCAGTTGATGTGTGCGATGGGAAGGTCTTGGGAAGAGCCTGACCTTTCAGCTCCCCGCCGTGGTCGTGGACCATGGTACGACGATAGTTGTTTCCCCATTGCTGTCTATCATGGTAAACAGCCCGCGACCTCTCTGCACAATCCGAAGGACGCTGAGGAATTTAGGCAAACCAAGTAGAAGCTCTCCTTGCAGCGGGAATCAAAGCGGCAAAGTTGGATAGTTCCATGGACATGCAGGAACGCAACGAGATCTTTAGAGACCTGGAAAGCGGACGTCCCACGCTGCGACTGCTTTATGGTACATATAAATACCGTTCCATATGTACTGGTTAGTACTCTGGATCTGACTTGGCATAGTGACACCGGAGCTATGCACTACCCCCGGATTTCGCGCAAAACTAGGGGTGCTGCACAAAGACGGAGAGCTGAATAGGATTGTAGTTGATGAGGCACATTGCATCTCTGGTTCGTGGCTTCGTTTCACTGGAGGCAGATGAGGATATGGGAGATGCTGATGAGTGGTAGAGTGGGGACATGATTTCCGTGCGGCGTTTAAACAGCTGTACTGGTTCAAGTGCGAGTTTCCTTCTGTTCCGGTAATAGTGAGTTTTCTTCAAAAAAGTGCGGTTGGTCTGGATAAGAGGCGGTTGATGGCTGATGAAATGGCGAAAGGCAGTAACTGCTACTGCTACTGCCAGGGTTCGAGAGGATATCATCAAGATCCTGAGACTACCGCCACCGCCGCAGTTGAAGATATATCTCACTCCAACATCAAGTACCTCCTGTTGCTGTGGTCCCGATGACTTGCGACGTGCTGATATCAGGGTTTTCAGGGTCAAATCTCCACTACGAGATCCGTTACATAAACGACAGTATCAACCCACTCGACGAGCTGGTGAAGTGGTTGACAGGTGTATACAAACGACGGAAGGCTCGGGACGGTGGGGCCGAGGAGAGGCATTCGGCGGTTTCGGGGTTGATATATTGCTCGAAGGTATGCGTTGCTTGTGGTTTGTATGGAGTTACTCTGCTTATTGACGATTGGCTGCCCATAGAGACAAACGTGTGAAGATGTCGCCAAAGAGCTGCGCGGGCATAAGATTGGTGCTAGGTCTGCGTTGCACCCTGTTCCAAAAGACATTTATGTGAAGCTGACAGATATTTTGCAGACCATATCATGCAGGACTGAGCAGTGAGTTACCTCAAGGGAACCTTCCCTCGAGGTGATGACTGATCGTTAATAGACGACGAGAAAAACGACACGACGCAGAACTGGCTCCTCGACAAGCTAGGCTATGACATAATCGTGGCTACGACGGCATTCGGCATGGGAATCGATAAGCCCAACGTATACCACCCTCTCCATCTAATCCCACAAAATGCATTTAACTTAAAATCAACAGGTCCGATTCGTCGTCCATTGGGGTGTCCCCAAGTCGTTCGAAGGGTACTATCAAGAGGCCGGACGTGGCGGCAGAGACGGCAACGCGGCCCGTTGCATTCTCTTCTACTCACGAGAGTCCCGGGACCGTACGGGATACCTTCTCCAGCTTGAGGCGAGTAAGCAACAGGGCGTCGGCGGTGGCGACGCGCAAATACAAACGCAGAGCAAGCTGAAAAGCTATCAAGAGGTCCCTCCTTTCCTCTCTATCCTACTCTCGCTAGTCACTGACTACTATCTGTCGCCCCACAGCTGGTAAAATACTGCGAAAACACATCTACATGCAGACACCTGGCGATATCACGGTACTTTGGAGATGTCGAACCGCCGGAATGCGACTTTGCTTGCGACATCTGTAAAGACCGGAACGCGGTAGTCTCGGCGAAACGGAATGGCCTCGCCGCAGAGGAGTGGGTTAGTACTCAGAGGGAGACGAATATGGACTACTACGGTGGGGTTGATAGTTACGAGTAGAGTCACATTACTGTAGTAACAGTCGAGCATGTCGAATAGAGAGGATCAGTGACGTTTGGGCGTACAGAAAGTTGGCTTAATCTGACTGCCTTGGACCAGTGGGGAAAGATGATCTGTTTCCGGCCAGTCCAGAAACCGCAAACTCGTTATGCACTCGTGTTAACTGTCAAGAACACTGTGGTTCGAGAATACCGTACGAGTCGAAAACACCAAGTTCCGATCCCCCGGATCTTCACGATACCTACCTTCCTCTCCGACAGGCAAGCCAATCGTCATCGCTGGGAGGTCATCAGTAAAGTACTTGTCCCCCGCTGTGCGCAAAAAAAAATACCCCGCGTCAGTCAAATCGTTCGACGTCGTCCGACTCACCCTTCCACGGTGCCGGGACTGTCCGATCTTCGGCTCGCTAAGAGGTGAGACACATTAGCCGCGACGGACGGACGTGGGTTGCAGGTATCAGCAACCACACCACCCACACACCACAACGGTCGTTCCCTCTCCTGGGTAAAAGTCACCGGAGCTGGCCGATACGGAGAATGGACGTGAGAATGGGGTGACAGTAAGCATCGTCGAACCACCACCACCAGGCAACGAGGAATCACACGATGACAGGGCGACAGGTTCCGACTGCGGTCGTTGGACACCGTAGACGTAGACGAGATCTGGAGGATGGTCCGTAGAAGAGACGGGAGCACAGGTGTCGAATAGGAATATATACTGCGGCTACCTGCCTGTCCAAATCTGCTTTCATCCCATCATCATCAGATCACACAAACATCACTCGCCTCACAACCACACACACACAAAAACCTCCTTCTCCTCCTCCTTCAAATAAAATGAACGCCACTCCCCGCCTCCTCGGAAAGATCCTCAAGGCCGTCGGTCCCAAGGAGCCGCATCCCTACTTTATCTACCCCAAGACTGCCGCGGCATACCCCATCAACCCCGCGTTCTTGAGTCAACGGTTGGGTCGCACTGCTGGAGCGTAAGTTGATTCTTCCCTAGATGATTGGTCTGTACTGGGGGATGGTGGCTGATGGGATGATTGCAGATATGTTCCATTCATGGGAGTGGTGTTCCTCTGGCCTTTTGCGGCGCAGTACATTACCACCCAGACTGGTGGGCCATGATCGGATATACAAGTAATCGGTTCGGGAGGAGTTTGTTTTCTGTTTTCTGTTTCTGTTTCTTGTTTCTTTTCTTTCTGTAAATGGTGGACTGGAGGGGTGTTTGGGTTTTTTGATTTTGATTTTGATTTGATGCTCGCTTTGGTCCTTGGGATGGAGTTGGGAGCACCGGTGGGAATAGTGGAGGAATCATGAGGGATGGGAATGGCTATTATTTATCGGACGGAATTTGTATAGAGTTGGAAACAAATCTAGAGCTTTTGGTCGCTATCGAACTTTCTATCGTACCTATGAGTTGAAGACGAATCAGCGGATGCTTAACGATATGTACAGCCGTAAGAGAGAATCTAGGGAAACACAGGCGGAGTGGAGGACTGGAGCGCAAACTCCAAGCTCAAAAGCAGAGACATGATCCTATTTCGCGCTCCGCCGCAATCCACTCCTCTCGTAGTCCGCCCTTTTCCCCACCCCTTGCTCGCCAAACAAAACCGGCAGCACTCACCCTACTTCTGCAAGTTCCTAACGATGTTCCCGACCATCTCCTCCACATCCTCTCTGATTTTGACCTGATCCAGACTCGTCGCCCACTTCCAGACACCCTCAAGCTCTGCGTTCCACCGGTCCTTGATCGTCTCCACAATGCTAGGTCGCGCAAGATACGGCCGCGGCGTCTCGGGAATAGTGGCAGGCTTCCGGAGCGCCTCGAGACGCGAGCGGCATTCCCGGAGCGTGTGGGAGTTGCGCGCTGTGCGCTCGCGCAGAGAGGACGTCGCAAGGTAAACGCTGAAGGAGGTGAGGACTGTGCCGCCGACCTGTTGTTGGGCGTTAGTAGGTAAGTAAGTAGTCAAGAGAGCACTGGAGCGGAAAGCGTACGAGTCCGGCGAGGCGGGCCATGGTTGCTGTTGTGCTTGGTGGTGGCGGTGGGGTGCTTGGTGGTTTGGGTTGTCGCGGGAGTGCTGCGGAAGAACCCGCAGACCCGCCAGTCAATCGGTAATTAGTACGTGCCAAGGCCGAGTGACGCATGATATCACCAATACCGGTATTTACCACCTTTAAGGCTCCATTCACCTATGGTAGTCTGGCTGGCTGGCGGTTTATGACAGACTAAATGGACGCGGAAGCTATTTCGTCACATAAACTCACTCATCGGTTGCTTCTACATGCCGTATGCAATAATAAATTGATCTCCCTCTCTCTATCCCCATCCTCCCATCCCGTAATCAACTTGACCGTATCTCGAAGAATTCTATATATCATACATGAAACAAATCCATTGGTATCACTGAAAGCGTACAAAAATCTAAAACGAGCTCAAACAAGTAGCTTCCCACAATACTCTTGTGCATATGCCCTATACCTCTGGAGCACATCCGTCTTCGCCAGACCGTCCTTCTGCACACCATACGCATAATGCGCCGCAAGTGCCTGCCCATTAACCACCACATCTGTCACAAATCAGTATGCCGTGTTATGGAGAAACGGGGAGGGAGGGAACTAACGTCTCTTAGTAAGTCTAGAAACAACCTGTGTAAGATGGGCCTCATCGTCCCTAGGTATCGGGAAAGCCTTGATCACGTCCTTCCCCCAGATAGTCACCATGTTGATGCTTAGGCGCTCATAGTTCATATCCCAGGTGTCAAATTGATACGCTGCCAGCCCTGTCGCGCCTTTCTCGGCGTTCTGGAAAAATGAGTAGTGCTGCTGTGCCGCCACTCGCCAGTCGTTCCATCCGGGGCCGAAGGCATTGTACTCTGTCCCGGAGACGGGGGTGAAGTCCATACTGACATCAGCGGGCAGCCAACGGTGCGGGTGAGCGGGGGTTATGTAGGCGTCTTCCGAGGCGATGGAAGACTTGATGCGCGGGAGTTTGGATATTTTCCAGTCTGCGAGGTGAGCAACGGGGTTGAAGCCTTTGGGCGGCGTCATCTCTGGAAGGAAGGGGTGCACGGCGCCCATACGTGTGTGCACCCAAGATAGCTCCGGGTTATTGATTACGTTGGCGGAGATCATCAGGTACTCCGGATGTGTGATGCGGTATTGCACCAGCTGCGGGATCGCATCGTCGTGGATGTAAAGCTGCCGCCCATTAGCTACTTCCTCTCGAGGGAACATGGGGAGCATACAATATCATCGTCGATCTTGATATAAAGCACATCCGATTCCACACCCTCCCTACTCTCGTCAGCCTCCCATTCCACCCCGTCCAAAGCTGCACCCACCAAGCATTATGAAAGTCTAGCTTATCCTTGGTCGGCTTCATCTTACGACCACGAACGTATCCCTCCGGTTCGTTTTTCAAAATCTTCTCGAGCGCCGCGAGATCGTGCTCATCCGCCGTATTGGACACAAACACGACCTTATCCAAAAACCCGCCATTCTTGACAAGATTTTTCTAACCCTCTTATCAGCCCCCTCCCTAGCACCTCTTTTCCCAGATAGACTCACTCGTAGATAACAATCCAGCACTTGCACTCTATCCCACCTCCCATAGAACACCAACGCATGAACCTTGATCTCCGGGGGCTTCTCATACGTCGTTCCGTCGGCGAAGGTATACGCTGGGCGGCCGCCCTTCCACCCCTTCCCTGTCGCAAACACGGGTGCTGGTATGGATGGCGAATCGGGTTTCTCCTCCGAGGTATGGTAATGCCGCGGCGTCCATGCCCAGATGCCCGCGAATAGGAGGAATATGAAGCCGGCGCCGACAATGCCCTGCAGCTTGCGGTTGGTCTTGAGGTGCGTGCCGAGTTGTTGGTACTTGTAAGTGTATTGGGGCGCCATCGCGGCGACGGGAAGCAGGTGTGTGAGAGGCGAAAGTGCTCAGGAGGCGGCGGCGGTGGGAGAAGCGATATTTATCATGAGACGGAAAGGGTGCTCACAGGGCAAGGTTAAGGGCACAGCTCAGGACAATCTTTACGGAGCTCTGTGCGACGCGTAGGCAAGAATATGCATCCTTGTCGGATACGAAGATCTATAAGCGTCGCGATCTGCTTTGCTTTTTCTGCGACAACTTATGATACTAGGTATACATTTTAGCTTTTCGAAAGTCTTCATGTTCATTGTGTAGATACTAGGTATACATTGTATTCATTCAAGGATAGTTCATGTTGTTTCGTCATTTAGTCCACAGCTGAGTAACGCTGGTGTGTTGTGTTGCCGTCGTAGCTCAGCCCTGCGGAACCAAACGTGTCACCAACTTTTTAGAGCTCCAACTGAATCAACTCTCTGGCCTCCGTCGCCGCACACACCGCCTCACAAGCACAACTCCGCTCCACCCCGCCGCGCCAGACCACACCATGAATATCTTCCGGATCTCCGCAGATCTCTTCCACCTAGCGAGTATCTTCATCTTGCTGTATAAGATGAAAACATCGCGGGTGAGTGCGGGCTGAGAGGGGGGAGGTTGGATGAGGTGGGTGAGGGATAGGTAACTGATGTGACGACGATACTCTAGACGTGCGCAGGAATCTCGCTCAAATCGCAATGTCTTTACCTCGTCGTCTATGTTACACGCTACCTCGGTTCGCCTCCTCCCCTCACTGTCTCCGGTGTGTTCGTGGGTGCGGGGTGAGGATAGGTACTGACCAAGTCAGACATCTTCACGACCTTCAACCGGTCCTACTACAACGACCTGATGAAGATATTCTTCGTCGCGTCTTCCGCCTACACAATCTACCTGATGACGACCACGTTCAAGCCCACGCACGACCCGGCCATCGACACCTTCCGCGTCGAGTTCCTCTTTCTCGGCGCCGGCCTGCTCGCCCTCGCCTTTCCGTACCAATACAGTTTCTCCGAGATCCTGTGGAGCTTCAGCATCTGGCTCGAGAGCGTTGCCATCCTTCCGCAGCTGTTCATGGTCCAGCGAACGGGCGAGGCCGAAACCATCACGACGCACTATCTCTTCGCCCTGGGCGCCTACAGAGCGCTGTACATCCCGAACTGGATCTGGCGGTATGTGGTTGAGGGACATGTGGACCACATCGCGCTGCTGGCGGGCATCGTGCAGACGGTGCTGTACTCCGACTTTTTCTACATATACTATACGAAGGTTATGAAGGGGAAGAAGTTTGAGCTGCCGGTTTAGAGGATGGGGCAGCTGCCGGTTGGGTGGGGGGTGGGAACAGTGTACGCAATTCTTAATCCGCACCGAGTGTGCTCGTGGTGGGAGAACCTTGTTCGTCTGCCGCTCAGGGCTTTCCGACCTCCCAGGCGGCGGCGGCCCTTTAGGTGATGGCCTGTACCGTAAGAAGATCAAGCTAGCGGAGGTGTTGGTACATGTATGGAGGTGAGATGCTGGTAGGCGAATTTTTGGTGCGTAGCGGGCGTGTTCTTCTGTCCTCCTCCGTACCTTTCTCTCGGTCGCTATTATGGTGTGCGATTGAAGTGGCCTGAAGGTCATCAAACATGGTGACATTGCATTCATGTGCCAGTCAATTCCATTTCCCCTCACTACTCTACATGACCATCGATACAACGTAGGCAATTGGTATTTGGTATATATTACACCACCGCAAGAAAGCATCTGTCCACAGGGAGAAAAGAACAAGAAAAGGCATAAACACATCTTAGATCACTCCACCGCCTACACTTCTATTCCGCCATCTCAACGTCCTCATCCTCTTCCTCGTCGTCTGCACCAATGAACGTAAGTTTCGTGCCGTTCTCACTAATCTGCCACACATCCAGCCCCTCGTACTCCTCTACACACTTGACCAACGCGTCCTCGGTGAATCCCTTTGCCAGAACACGCTCGCGGATGACACGCATGAGGACCTCGCTGCCCTTACCGGCCGCGGTGCGGATGATCCGGTAGATCTTGGAGGACATCGTCACGTCAGCACCAGTGTGCGAGTCGGTGTCGTACAGAGATGCCTTGGAGACTTCGATCAGACGGAGCGCCTCGTCGACGTCTTCCATCACGACGGTATCGGAGAGGCGCAATCGTGCCAGGGCCTGGGCCAAACGCAAGATACCTAGAAGGGTACGGGGCGAAGTGTGCGAGAAGTGCCTGGACTACAATTAGAAAGCATTCTGATGGGCGGAATTGGGGGGATCTTACTTCTTGCCACCCTCCTCCTGCTTCCCCAGCTGCCGTAAACGAACATACGCCTGGGTGACGTAGTCCGCAACTTCCTTGGGCACGGTGGGACGGTGCTGCCTAGCCTGCGCAATGTATGCCCTCATCTCTGCTGGCGACAGAGGCTCAAAGTCCATCTCGGGGTGTCGGTTCTCCATGTGAACGAAGGTAACGTGGCGAGCAAGCTCCTCATCGTTCTCGCGAGTAGGGGTATCCAAGATCAGAAACAGGATGTCGAAACGAGAGAGAAGGGCAGCGGGTAGATTGATGTTCTCAACGGGTGAGATCTTGGGGTTGTAACGGCCGTAGAGGGGATTGGCGGCTGCAAGGATCGATGTACGTGCGTTCAGTGAAGTCGTGATACCGGCTTTGGAAATCGAGATGGTCTGCTGTTCCATGACTTCGTGGATAGCTGTACGATCCGAGTCGTCCATTTTGTCGAACTCATCGATACAACAGATACCATTGTCGGCCAGAACTAGGGCACCTCCCTCCAGCACCATCTCGTCTGTGACGGGATCCCGCATGACCGCAGCAGTCAAACCGACTCCCGAGGAACCACGACCAGAAGTGTAAATACCTCTGGGCGCAACCTTGGTGATGTACTTGAGTAATTGCGACTTGGCCACACCGGGATCTCCCATGAGACAGACGTTGATATCACCACGAATCTTCATTCCATCGCCCATTTCCTTGGTCACACCACCGATGAGAAGAAGCAGAAGACATTTCTTGACATCTTCGTGGCCAAAGATTTCTGGTGCGATCGAACGTGAAAGTGTGTCGTACAAGTTGCCGTGGCTGCGGAGCTCCTCGAAACGTTGCCTGGTCTTCGCATCAAGACCGACTTCATCATACTGCTTCTTGTGCTGCTCAGCGTGTTGCAGCTCAAGGTAGGTATCCGTCAGCAACCCCGCCTTGATGGCCTTAAACCCGGTGTAAGGTGTCGGCAAGAAGATTCCGGCCATATCGACAATGTCACCCGGATTGACGGTACGGCACAGCTCACCGTGAGCCTGAATTGTAAGACTGCGGGGTATGTGACCGACGGGCACTTGTTCCGCCAACTCCTGAATCTTGATTTCCTGGAAGGCCAGGAATTTCGAAGCACGAGTGGATGGAAAGAGCTGTCCCCTGGCTTGGTTGTCCTGGCACTCTTTCGACGGACAATCAATCATTGGTGTAAAAGACTTTGTCTTGATCTCCTGGAAGATTTCGCTTCCGCATCGATCACATGTGTATGCATTGACAATGACGGCCGGTTTGACGTCCGAAACTCGAGTCGCAATACCCCGGACAGTTATGAGATGTCCCAAATGTTCACCACGGACCTGGCGCACCGCCAGTGCTTTGTTTCCGGAGCCGCTTGGGTGTAGGGGTTTGAAGAAGACCTGGTATCGGCGGGTCAACTCGGCGGGGAAGTACTGAGGCTGGCCATCGAAAGCCGCCGAGCCATCCTCCTGCCGAGTCTCAGCGGCAGCATTGCGAGCGCGGCGCTGGGCGAGGATAATATCGAGAACATCGTCGTTATATCTTGAGGACGTCAGCCTGGGAGTGCAGCGCGACAAAGACACATCATCGGGGGTCGTACGTGGAATCCACTGATGTTGGCGGCATCACAGCATCGATCGCTCTCGAGAAGATGTCGATGTAGTGTGCAGTGTTCTCTTGTATCGACTTGACCAAGCGAAGGGACTCTGGACTATTTGCCTCGTACTGGAGCATCGTCAGACCCAACCCTCATCTTTAGTCCGGGTGATCAACGCACCTCCTTCAGATCCTCCAAATCGATGACAACGGATGGCCGCTCACGGTTCGCGATTTCCTGGAGAAGCTCCATGTACTTGGGCTTGAGTTCTGGCTCTGGTTGCCGTTGTCGAGGAGCTCTCTGTGCCTTCCTCCCGCCACGACGCCGCGGCGTGTCCTGAATTTCTTCCTCATCATCGACCACCTGCAGATTGGATAGCGCATCGCGAGCGGCTTCTTCGGTGGACCGTGTGGATTTGAAACTTTTTAGGAAGTCCTGGAATGCCGCTACAACAACATTTACTTGTCAGCTATCGTGGTTCCGCATGTCCCCTGGACTGACGTCCCTCCAATTGCCACGCCAGTCTCTTTGGGAAGGGTATAGTGGCATGTGAAACAACGCACCTTGTTGCTGATCATAATCGATCCCGATGTCAATGACTGGAAGAGCCATAGGTCACGATGAGTAGGGAATGTAGCGAGTGGTCTTGGAAGTGGTGATTATCGGTTGGTATTGTTTGGGGGAGTTGGTGGTTTGTTGTCTTGGGGACGGGCGAGGGTAAAGTACAGTGGAGTAGAGTAAGGTAAAGTACAGTAGATCGTCAAAACGCGTCGCGCGTTTGGGCTTGGGGGGCTTGGAGGGCAGTTTCGTTCCTGGCTCAAGGCTTTGGCTGCCATTCCAGACTGCCTCTTCCGCCAGCCAGCCAGCCAATCATATCACCACTTACTTCGCTGCCACTCCTCGATCATGCCGCCATACGTTTTCGAGTCTAGGGTGTTTGCACCTTCCTCCGCATCCTCCTATGCTTTATGATTCGGTGCCGAAACAGTTCTTCACGAACTCAAGCACACCCACATGGCATGCTGCTCCATTACCTCGGTCACGGCCAGCTGCTCTAGTTAGTGGTTAGATCCAACTACAAGTGAGGCACCACCACCACCTCCGCCACCACCTCCGCCACCACTACCACCGTGGCTGATCGCCGAATTGCCGGCCCGTGGTCTCAGTTGTCTGCACAAGAGAACTCGGCCTACCTACTCTACCTACTTGTACCTTCTAGTGCACGTGTATGTACCTATCACAAGCAGCAACATCACATCCACCGTGCCGACTTCTACATACGCGCCCCTCACCCATCCCCATAACCATCACCAACCATCACACCAACGATGCCTCACGCCGCCTCCGCCAACCGCCCTCCGTCAACACCGGCAACAGTGTTCCTGACTCCGCTTAAGAACTGCCTGCTGAACCTCCCAGCCTCACTCGTCTCAGTGCTCGTCTCCCAGAACACCCCCGCCCAGAATGTAGTCGTCGAGATTACCTTCCGCGGCTCGACCATGGGCAGCGCTTCGTCCTCGCAGCGCACAGCGTACGCGGGATGGACGGGAATGCAGAGCAAGCGGAAGCCGACGGCTGGCACGCCCATGCGCGCCGGCGAGGACGCAGTAATAGAGATGGATCCGGCATTGGCAAAGAACATAGGAGTGACAGAGGGGTCTAAGGTAGCAACTGATCTTCACGCCATGGCTCAATGTTATAGTTCTAAGCTTGTGAAAACTAGGTATCCATCCAGATACACGTTGATCCGCCGGCAGCGCACACCCTCCACATTGAACCTCTCACGGCGAGCGATTGGGAGATCATCGAATTGCACGCGTCATTCCTCGAGCTCAACTTGCTATCCCAGATCCGTTGTGTGACCACCGCCCACCCGCTCTCGGTGTACCTCTCGCCCACGTCGACCGCGTCTATACGGCTGACGAAGGTGGAGCCCGAGTCCGCGCTGTCTGGCCCTAACGGCTTCGCCAAGATCTCTCCCGACGCAGAAATCATTGTTGCGCCGAAGACCAGACAGCGGCGGCCTAGTAGGGGCGCAAAATCGACTACGAGTACAGCTCGGACCTCTACGAGGAGAAGACCTGAAGGTGCCTCCGTGTCTACGGGAAAGACGGCGCTATTCTTGAGGGGCGTGGTGCTGCCGACTGTGCGGCATGTCCCAGTTGCGGACGAGGAGCCCGATCATGAGGAGGAGAATGACGAAATGAATGGTGGGGGCCGTGGTTTCACGGTGTATCTGGACCCCAGTGCGATCGCATCAAAGCAGCTGCGGAACACGTCGAAGGTTGTGGTGTCGATTGTTCGGCCGCCGTCGCTGCTACCTCCGAAGGACCCTTCGCAGCAGCAACAGGAACAACAGGGCGACAAGGACAAGGACAAGAAAGATTCCGAGATTGCCGCGGCGACAAAGATAGTAGCCAACGTCCGACCGTGGGATTTTGCGCCGGATGCGAAACATGTAGCACTCTCCCGTCTTTTGGCAGCTTCCCTCCATCTCTTCGAAGGAGAAGTCGGTCCCATGGTGCGCCTTGAGGCCGCGCTGCAGCCGGTTCCTCACAAGATACTCGCCAAGGTCAAGATACATCCGTTTACGAAGGGGGGCAAGGAGGACGGCGTGAGATGGGGCGGAGGAACCAAACGATTGGAGGAAATGGCCATCTCTCGAATCCAGGACGTATTGGGACCCAAACGGCTGCGGAACGGCACAAATGCGATGATTGAGGAGGACTTGGCTTCTGTTTCTCCCGGCGAGGGTATTCTAGAGGGCCCGCTTACCGATGGTATGGTGCTTCCGGCGATCGAGGACTCGCCGATTGCCTCCGGTGGAATAATCAAACTCGAGGTCACAACGATCGAGGGAGCCGATGCTTCTCAAGCACCGTTGTTGAAATGGTTCATGGCCGGTGACAAGAGACCTACTATCGAGATTGCCTCACATATCCCCAAACCACCGGCGCCAGCGGTTCCGGAGACAATGTTTGTGCCGGATGAAGAGGACGAAGTGGTTGGGGTAGATGCTGTTCTCCAATCGGTTACCGAGAACCTTCTTTCTGCGTCGTCGGTGCTTTTGGCTGGTGCTCACGGTTCTGGTAAAACCTCCGTCGTGCGGTTGATTGCGAAGAGGTTGTCCGGCGCACCGCACTTTTACCGGGTAGTTGACCCTGGGACGCTCTCTAAACTCGCGGATGAGCGAGTAGCTGTGGTTAAAGAGAATCTCATCCGGTGGTTGTCGGAGGCAACTTGGATGGCAGGCAAATCATCTCGCAGTATTCTACTCCTGGATGATCTGGACCGGTTATGCGCCACTGAATCCGAAAATCAGGACAACTCGCGGGTTCGACAGCTCGCAGAAGTTGTTGTTTCCACTATCAAGAAATTTACAGCTGGCAAATTGGTGGTTGTCCTCGGTAGTTGCCAGGCAAAGGAGAGTCTCCACAGTCATCTGGTTAGCACCCATGTTTTCCGGGAAACCATCGCCCTGAAGGCCATGACCAAGGAGGGTAGACGGACGGTACTGGAGGGAATCGTAGCTACCCGTGGCGGCGTGCATCCGAGTCTGGACTTCCGGTTGATTTCAGCCAAAACCGAGGGATACATGCCAGGTGATCTCGCGCTCCTTGTGGATCGTGCTCGCCACGAAGCTGTAGTTCGACTGGTCGATAGCTCCGACTCCACGGTCGTTAATTCGCTGGTGCTGGGACCCGAGGACTTTGATTCCGCACTAGCCGGCTTTGTCCCTGCTGGTCTCCGCGGTGTCAAACTACAGACCTCCGGAGCTGGCTGGAAAGACATTGGAGGTCTGAAGGAAACACGAAAGATCCTCCTTGAAACTCTCGAATGGCCAACCAAATACGCGCCGATCTTCGCCTCCTGTCCCCTCCGCCTCCGTTCCGGTCTCCTACTCTACGGCTACCCGGGTTGTGGAAAGACTCTCCTTGCGTCCGCCGTCGCCGGCGAATGCGGCCTGAACTTCATCTCAGTCAAGGGTCCCGAGATCCTCAACAAGTACATCGGAGCCTCCGAAAAGTCCGTGCGTGACCTTTTCGAGCGCGCCTCGGGTGCAAAGCCGTGCGTGCTGTTCTTTGACGAATTCGACTCGATCGCTCCGAAGCGTGGACACGACTCTACGGGTGTTACCGACCGTGTGGTCAACCAGATGTTGACGCAGATGGACGGAGCCGAGGGATTGGACGGCGTCTACGTCCTTGCCGCCACCAGCAGACCGGACTTGATCGATCCCGCGCTACTACGTCCCGGACGTCTGGATAAATCCTTGATCTGCGATCTCCCCAACGAAGAGGACAGACTCGACATCATCCATGCGGTCGGTGGCAAGGTGCACTTCGATACCGACGTGGATTTGGCAGAAATTGCGAAGAGGACGGAGGGATACAGTGGGGCGGATTTGCAGGCTGTTGTGTATAATGCCCATCTTGAGGCGGTACAGGGTGTTATCAGCGAGGAGATCAAGAAGAAGGAAGCTATGGAGGAGAAGCCGGCGGATGATGAAGAAGATGTGGAGTTCTTGGAGTTTGTCTGGGGGGATGCCAAAGGGAAGTCGAAGGGCCTCGACCGCAGGGCCAAAGGGAAAGAGAGGGGGTTGCTGGTTGAGAAGGTATGCCACTCGCTCACTACACTCGCTCATACACTGCTAACTGAGATATAGATCCAATCCCTTAAATCCTCTAAATCCGGTAAGAAGTTCACCGACAAACCAGCGGGCGGCGACGCAGAGGAAGGAAAGAAGGAGGATATCTTGATCAAATGGCACCATGTCGAGACGTCGCTGCAGTCCACCCGACCCAGTATCTCTCAGCAGGAGCAGATCCGACTCAAGAAGATTTACGACGAGTTTATAGGCGCGCGCAACGGCGAGATGCCAAGCGGACAGGGTAGCACCGAGGTCGGTGGGCGGAGCAGCTTGATGTAATTGAGTCACGAGCGGGAGCACATACACATTGTTTATTTCGGCTTTTGTCCTTTTTATCCTTTTTATTTTACTTTGCGCGCATTTAATACCATGTATCTCGTCCGCCGATCACCGTAGGCTCGCTCATAATCGGCATAGCAATAATAGAAACCGCATCTCACCTCCTTCACGCAGTTATGCGGTTATGCGGCTATGCGGTTACGCAGTATAAAAAACCTCCTCAAGCCCCTTCCACCATCCGGGCCCCTCCGCGCTCCCCACGGCGCCCTCGACGGGGCTCTCCTGCATCCCGTCCGTCATCGCCCACCACTCGCGCACCCGCGGGTTCGCCGCCATCTTGACCATGTCCGCCTCGTAGTCATCGCCGACATACTTGAATGTTGCGAACAACGTGCGCTCGTTGTCGAAGAATATGGAGTCTAATCGCCGATGTCAGCGAGAGAAGAGAGAGAGTGGGGGAGGCAGTGAGGGAGGGAGGGGGGGAGAGGGGGAAAGACAGTCGATGATGTTGCAGTCTCGGATCTGCTGCAGGACTTCGGGCCAGACCGCTGCGTGGCACGCCTTGTACGCTTCGACCTGCGAGGGCCGGAGGTGCACTATTTGCGCGATGCGGCGGACGTTTTTGGGAGCGCTGGTGGTGGTGGAGGCGGAGGCGGACATTGCGGCGACGGACGGCGAGCTGGTGGCGGTGATGGAGCGGGACCGCGGGGAGAGATCTCGATTGTGAGTTTACAGTGCGGGGAGCTACATATTTACACACATACAGAGGTATCCATTACGTAGGAACGGAGTAGGGCTGCAGGTCGGGAATCGGTAAAATATGGGCCGAGATCCGGGGGTGCAGTGTGAGGGTGGGTTGTCCTCTACGGTACTAGGCCCGCGGACTGCGGCGAAGGCTGGAGCTCACTCCGGGTGGAAGCACAAGCGGACGGCGGGCGGCGGGCTTTGGTATGCACGTGGTACATAATGGCGAATAGCAAAGCATCGGGAGTAGCGAGTGATATTCCATAAGCGCTGCCTACCACGACGCCAGACTAGACATGCAAACTGAAACTTTTCGTTCCGTGCAAGCGCCGAGAAAGGGCCTTGACTGATTACTATGCTCTAGTCTATGCTGGACTGTCACTGGACTGGAATCTGTACCGCCGAACTTGTAGGCTAACAGGTAGGTCGCTTCACTGGTGTGTGTGCTGGTAACTACTGGTTAGCTAGTAGGGATGGCAAATAAACCAGCTCGAGCCGATATGTATGTAGATACATGTGAATTGCAGCCGAGTTCTACCGTAGTTGCGCCAAGTACGGTATGTGTCTAGGTAGATGGATGGGATGGAGACGAGTTCTAACTCTTTGGTGGACCAGGTTTGGGCTCTGCTTGGTATTCGAGCAAGTACCTAGCACCATCGGGACAGACTTCACAATCGGCCCACAATCGGCCCAGATGACATCCGTGGATGGGGTTTTTACTCTACGAGTATTCCTATGTATGTATGTCCTTCAAGCCCTCAAGGAGACGCTGGACTTCAGTGTTTGTGCGGGGGCGTCTCCTAATATTCTAGCTAGTCCTCACGGGTGAGAAACGACTATTATGGTAGGTAGCTGACGGAGAAGAGGCTGCCGTCGAGAGCTGAGATGGTCCAATTGTGTGGAATGTGTTGACATGTGGGAGGAGGAATGAGTGGTTGCCATTCGTCGTGAGGATGGAACTTCGATGAAGATCACGATAGGTATATCGCCACTATGCTATTCTATTCCAACCAAAAGCAACGTGCGGAATGGTGGTACGGGTAGTTACAGATCTGATTAAGATCAACACGACGCTGACGAGCCTGACCGAGATCGACACAACTCTGACAGAGCTCGAGGAGACAAGCTCGTAAAAATGGACTGGACATAAACAAAGCTACGCCTCATGTCTTTGACTAGAAGTTGGCAAAATTGTGACGTCTATCGGATTCAAAAGTTTTATTTGGAATACCTACGGTACTTAACTACTCCTGTACTACCGTAGTTGGTGGAGTAGGCTCTGCACCGGAGCCGGAAAAGTATCCCGGACCATACCCGGAGCCTACAGGCAGACCGTTACGAATTCCGAGACCAAGGGCCAAAATTAACGAACCTGCCTTACAGCTCGGTAGTTAGTGCTCACCGGTGAGTACTTTAATTATTTAGGGGGGGGGCGGCGCTTTTGCGTTGCAGCAGGGCCGTTGAGAACATGGAGAATATCGCGAGTGTAAAGACATCGCACGAAAGACGTGATTCGGAGAGCAACAACTCGACAATAAAAAACATTATTGGAGATTGGAGAACGCAGTTCCTTTTCTCCCTGTTTTCGGCGTGAGCTCTCCCGTCATATTGGGGGTTTCTTGTACGATTCTCTCTCTGTTGTACCGAAAAGCGAAGGTGGGTTTTAAGGAGACTTCCGCACAGAGCCGTCAGTTATATTACCATGGGATTTGCGGAAAAGGTAGGTACATATCAAAAACCAAATCTACCTTTTCACCACAGATTTAGTTAATGCTGCTATGGGAAGAATCCCATTCTCTAGGGGATCGGCTTAATTGAGAAGCTATGGGGAATAATTTGTGATGTTGAGCACCTATGCTGTTCATGAAGTGGAAGAAGGACAAGTCGCATACCAATAGTTAGTACAAGCCATTGCATAGAGTAGAGTGGTTGAGCCACAGTTATTGCTCTAAAGGGAATGGTGCGGTCTTAACCTGCTGCAACGTAGAAAGCGCTCCGTTTATTTAGAGCTATGCCTACACACCAATAATCCTGCACTACCCACATAACCGTCTCATCACCGTCCTGACGCATGGGCGGTTATGTTGACTTCGAGACAAGATCGCTGCGGGGGCGAACACGATGCTTGCTCTACTAATCAATCCCAAACCACCATCCCGATTGTGTCCACACTATCCGTAGGCCCTCACTGCAGATATCCCCCCCGGGCGTTACCATATTGCTGGGATTTGCAGTTATTCCTACCTTTGTTGGCCCTGGCGGTCTGGTTAGTGATGTGTACATATGGGCCTAGCGATACGAGGTTGGAAGCGATGGGATGGGATGGGACAGGATGGGTGCCTATATCGGCACAGTTAACCCGTTGACCGTCCACTGTTGTGCCTTTCTTCCTGTTACCCCCCTTCCTACACCCCTTCCGCCCATTATTCCACGTTTTGTTCTGGGAACCCATAACTTGTCGGCGGTCCTACAGCTTTCACGCGACCATGTTACGGCTACTCCTCGGTCCTGCGATGGCGGCTGCGATGGTGATGGGTGCGGCCACGGGCAGAAGGAACGCGGACGGTGGGGTGCTGAAGCCGAGGGGATACGAGAATAACGATCCGAAAACCGACATGTGCGAGATCGGATTCCATGCGAGTACGTCCCCAACTTCTTACCATGGTCCGAGGAAGTGAAGCAGAGGAGGAGGAAGAGGAAGAGGAAGAGGAAGACTAACATCTTTGAAGGCGCTGTGCTGGACAATAAACTGTGGATACATGGAGGATATGTTGGCTACGACAATGGAACGCAGACGGCTGCGCCGAGTATGTTATATCGCTCCCTCGGGCAGTCGGAACACGTCGGTCACTCTCATTGCTTGTATATTGATTACGATGGGATGGCATAGATAACTACCTTCGAGAGATAGACATCACCAAGAAGTTCAAAGTGGCCTCGAGAGACGAGGCGCCTGTCAAGTTCCTTTTGCAGCGCGACGAGCTGCCGGAGATATCTGCGGCGGTGCTATGGGGCTATGGCAATTCTCTGCTAGAGCTTGTGGGCCAGTCGGAAGAGGCAGATAAGGTATTTAGGAATAAACAGATCCAGAAAATGGCCGGCCAGCCGGCCGGACGGACGGACAGCTCCAGCTGACGGGATGATAGAATTTCCCCGGCTGGAACGCGCCCACAGATGATACAATGTGGGAATACGACCTTCCGAGCGCCGTGTGGTCGTCTAAAGATATCAAATCCCCAGGCGTAAAAACGACCTGGCATCCCCTAGACGTTAATGTCCCATCACTCGGGAAGGGGTTTTACCTGGGAAATGATGCGATGAGCAGCTACAACTGGGCGGATGATACTTGGATCAACGCCTCTACGCCGTGGTCCGAGCGGGATTGGGGGAGGATGGTACATCTGCCAATCGGGGACCGCGGACTGCTGGTAACCATCGGCGGCAAGACCAGTGGCGGCAACACACCAGACGGGGTAAACACCAAACGATATTCGTCTTGATCACAAGCATAGTCCGCTGACGGCTGATGGCAGAACTTGTTTTCAAACATCGACATCTTCAACCTCAACGAAGCCGGCACCCAGAACTCGCCCGAAGGCGTTTGGGCGTCGACGCAGACTGCAACCGCCGCAAATTCCACGATCGGCCTACCCGTACCTCGCACGGGAGCCTGCAACTGGGTCGTGGCCGCCCCGGATAACTCCACCTTCCAGATCTTCATGTACAGCGGAGCGCGGATCGACGGCTCGTACAAAATATTGCGTGATCTCTGGGTGCTCTCGATACCCTCGTTCCAGTGGATCCAGATCGATGATGGAACAGTGGGGCCCAGGGAACCCGACACGACACACCCGCTGGGACGCGAGGGCCACACGTGCAACCTTATCGAGAACAGCATGATGATCATGTTCGGTGGGCGTGAGCTGCCGAATTTTAGCCGCCCCTGTGAGACAACCGCCATCTACGCGTACGATCTGAACAAGCTGTCTTGGGTCGAGACCTTTGATCCAGAGGTGGCTGCGCAGCCATATAACGTCTCGAAGGCTGTATACAGCGTTATTGGCGGGGAGTAAGTCACCAAATGCCCCTATCTGATTTTCTTGTTTTGACGACAGTTGCTAACACTCTCGCCAGTGCTCTGGGATCCGGATCATCATCGCAGATGGCAAAGATCAACGACCCCTCCCTACAGACCGCATTCGAGAAGCACCTTGCCACAGCCGTCAAAACTCCCGACGAGATCGCCGCTTCAAACCCGAGCGGAACCGGCAGCAGCAGCAGCGGTACCGGTAGCAACAATAGTGATAGCTCCAGCAGTTCAAACACCGCGCCGATTGTCGGCGGAGTGATTGGTGGCGTAGTAGCCGTGGCCGGAATCGTCACGGCGGTACTCTTGTTCCGGAGACGCAGCAGGAAGGCAAAGGAGCAGTACAGTACTGTTAGCACCCCTAGCCCTAGGTCCGCGGGCGCCGTGGGGCTGGCGGAAATGCCATCTAATGAATCAAAGGACAATAGGAATCTTTACACCACGGACTATGATGGTCGGTGCCCCGAATATTCAATCTCTTAGACGTATACACGACGGTTTCTAACACCTTTAATACGTGTAGGTGCCCAGCAATATCAGCAACAAATGATACACCAGCAATACCAACCAACGCACTCACAGCGAGCGCCATCACCGCCCGTAGAGCTACCAACAGAGCAATCGCGGCCAACAGAGCTCCCAGTAGAGCAACCATATAATCACCGATAGAGCACGCGGGCATCTTTTGTTTCACATATCGGGTTCGCGAAGGGAAGGGTGAAGTTGTAGGCCTCCGGAACGGTCGTAGTACAATAGTTACCATTCATTGTAGAAATTACCTAATGCTTATAGTTGGAGTATGTGTTTATTTCCTGTTTCTGGGAGATATCTGGAGTTTTGTATATTAGGGCATACCGGCGATGCTTGGGAGCGCGAGCGGGAGAGGGAGACGTCGGGAAATCACGTTCAATCGAAAGTCTTCCATCCATCCATTAGAACAGGCGACGAGCGGAAGCTACATACGAACGAGCATGTAAAGCTGCAGAATAAATTAGCGATGTCCAAACCATGAGGTAAGACGCGGAGAGCCCACTTCGAAACCGACCGACCTAAGATCGGACCGGCGTCCTGGATGGGTGTGGCGTCGTGATGTCTGTCACTCGTCTTGCGAGTTGGCGAGTAAACCCCAATCATGGCATCTGCAGAGTGCTTCCGGTGGGCGGAAATGACAGGCCCATTCCGACGACTCGGTCCATCCATGACGGGACTGGAGATCGACTTGTTGGAGGTTCGATCTGCAGGATCTTTCTTCTTTCTTTCGGAACCTTGGTTATATTTGAAAAAATGAAAATGAAAAATCTACAATACGCTGCTACATACAATACGAAAAAGATAAACTGATAAACGCGAACTCCCGCTCCCCCTCTAAAGTAACAAAAACATTTTCAAGCATGAAAGCAATCTACCATCTCCTTCCACCGCCTGGGCATTCTATCGTCATACGCCTTCTTCCTGTGCGTCTTCGATCGCGGCGTCTCGATGTGTCGCAATTCGCCCTTGAACACATCCTTCCAGGCCTCCTCGCCAAGCGGGCCATCGGAGCCCGGCAAGAGGACTCGATAATCAGTTGTGAACTTCCGCAGCGCTGGAAACTCGCCGATGGAATCCCGGATCTTGATGGCATCGGCCGGGCGGATTTGATATCCGTGGGAGGAATCGAGCCGGAGGTCCTCCAGCAGCTTGTGGGTCTCAGGACTGGACTTTAGCGCTTCGAAGACGTCTAACGGTTTGGCTTTGGAGCAGTAATTCTCGTGCGAGTAGCGGAAGGACCGCAGGCCACTGGCGGCGGCGTGCGGCAGGAACGAGGTCAGCCAGGCGCCGTCGATGCGGCAGTCGATGAATTCGAGAGTGTCCAGACATCGCGTCTGGCCCTTCCAAGCTCGGGACTCCATCTGCTCGGCGGTCCAGTACCACCAGGGCTCCCCCTCGCCTGGGTATTTTATGCCCGAATACTCCCGCCGCCGGATACCGGGGGAATAGAATCCACCCGCGACGAGGTTCCGCAGCTTTGGAGCTGCCAGGAGTAGCAGTATGAGAAAGTTGCAGTCCCAGTGCTTGTCGCGGTCGCGGCCCTGGCCGCGGCCCCAGTAAGAGGTGTTGTCCGGGTCCAAGGGGGGGATGGAGGCTTCAAAGGATGCGGACGGGGCGATGGCAAGGTTGACGAGACAGGGCCAGAGCGGCATGTTCATGGCCTCCCAAGCCACCGGGCCAGCCCTCATCAGGGGCTGGATGTGCAGTCCCGCGATGGTGAGAGATCTCAGCCACGGGAGCTGTCGCAGCCACAGCCCCGAGGTCGGTTCTTCCAGGAATTTTTCGGCGTTGCGAAGCCGCCACTCCACCGCGTCTTGACATACGTCGTGCGGATAACCCTCGCGCTCCCTGATGACGGGCGGAACTTCTATACGGACATCATACTTCAGGCAATGGTTCTGGGGAAGATCTTTGGTGATCTCGTCCAGGAATTCCATATCTTCCTGGAACTGCTTGATGACTGTCTCATAGGCTAGTGTGTATGGTCTTATCTCGAAGGGGAGTTCGAGATAGCAGTCGAACATCTGACAGTAGCCACCGAGAAAGAAGTCTGGCATCAGATAGGGCATAGTATAGGCGGATTCGCTGAGATGTACGTTCTCGATGAGACGTACGAACTCCGGCTGCTGTGGAAGAAGCCGAAGATATTTCCGCACGGTGAAGTTGTAGAAAGGGCGGTACGTGTAGCTGAACGTATAAGGCCCATCCCACACAGGCGGGCACTCGCGAACCGCTGAGAAGTTTCGGAAGACAAACTTTCCAACTTCCGCCAGGCGGCGATTAGTGAGGCGAAAGGCGGTAATAGGGTGTTGGAATCGTCGGTATGGGTAGTCGCGGGGGAGGTAGGTGAGCTCATCCGCTATGGTGCGAAGGAGCTCATTTGGCAAATCGAGTAATTGAGGCATCGTGATGGTTTTTCTGGGATTGGGCGGACGGGTGTGTCGATCATTATCGCGGGCATATCGTGAGGGAAGTTTTGGTATGATGGGAATACTTGTAGATGGGGGAATTCTCTTGTAAAGAGAAGAATACATAGATGATTGGACGACGGTCCTCGGTGAGTGACTCATAATGCGCCGCGGGCAGGTAAGGCTCTAGTGCCCGCACACTCAGCCTCGAACTCAATTCCCAGTCTAGTATAGTACGCCGGCAGTGAAAGTTGATATAAGACAGAGAAGCGGATGTTTGGTTATGTAGGAGGGTTCGGAGCCGATGTTAACTCGACTGCTGAACAACGCAGCAATGGACTACTAGCGTGCATGACACAAGCGGCAGCCAAGCGGAAGATGGCCGCCTGAACGTAGGTATTATTTTCGAGCATTAACTCCACACAGGCTTTGTGCTCGTGCTCCACGAAAGCTCTCGTAGTGCTGATCGTTGAAGACAGCGGCTGAGGTTTGTGTATTGACGAATCTACCTTAGCTTACGGCGGAGCTAGTGGCGGCGACTTCGCCCGGCACAGCCACATATCTAGATATCTACAGTGCAGATACCGTACATTAGATGGTTGGTTAGTGTAGTCGTTAGGCAGCCGCCTAGGCGGATCCAACATACAACCTGCTACTGGTACTTACCGGATGTGCTCCTCTGTGCTGCTGTTGTGCAGAGTCACGATCACACATGAACCTCATTCTCACTCTTAAATCCACTGTCTTTATTGGCGGGAACAGGGACGCCAGTCAGGCCGCACAAGGCACGCAACTAAGGAAAGGCGGGGTGGGGGAGAGAGAGGAGCGGGCACGTACATAAGCCTAATATCAGTCATTATCGGTGCATCTAGCCATCACTCCTGAGTCATCGACTTTGGTATGTAGAGGCGCCGCAATGGACAAACAAAGACTCCACAGTGTGCACAAGGAGAAACCGTCTCAATTATGTAGTTGCTATGGACCTACCGGTATCGCCCCAATTGCAGACCATCCCACTTGCCTGGCGCGCGGCACACTGATTAAGATCCAGTAACACGCAAGGCTAATTCACGCCCTCACCGCGGAAGACGCGCCTGAACTGCTTGGAAATCTCCTCCCTCTTCTTGTACGCAGCGACGATTTCAGCCTCATCCTCGGCGATCATTGAAACCCATCCCGTGGGGTCCCGCTGCGGGTGGTTCTTGGCAGTCCTGATGCTCCAGGGCTCGTCGTCGTCCTCCGCGGCTCCGTCCGTTTCCCATTTCATGATACGCGGCCTCGGCGTCATGACCGGTTGTTTGCGGGCATGACGCGGGGTTCTGGCTTGAAGTCCTGGAGAGGATGCGGGGATGGAGGTGCCCGCTGATATGTCAACCTGGGCTACCTTGTTCGGCTGCTGTACGTTCTCCTCCGGGCAGGGGTTTCCAGGAGTGAAGTTGAGAGTCTGCTGCTGGTTGGTTCCATTGATTGAACCAATGTTCTGCACATCCGTTTTTATAGGGCTAACAGTAGTAGTAGCGGTCGACGGTGTGTTAATTTCTCCGGCAATGGAGCTAGTGGTCATTGAAGAAGTGTTGTTTCCCACTCCTTCAATTGTGGCTTGTAAATTCTGAGTGACGAGAATATCAAACAAAGGGGAAATGGCTTTTCCGGACTCTGCTTCAACCTGATCACCCGGTTGGACGTCGCCGACAATCTCCCCCACGGTGGAAGTCTTGGAAATATCCTCTCTGTTCTCGAGAATCTCCGTGTAGTCAACGTTCTGTCCATGATGGCCAGAACCAATCCCTGGTTCCTCCACACCCTTCTCATTCTTATACGCCCCTTTATCGTCAGGTCGGAATTCTTCAGAATTTTCTTCCATGATGGAAGTTTCAAGAATATCCCCTCCGTTCTCGAGAGTCTCTATGTGTTGTTGGTCATCGTTCTGTCCATGCTGGCCAGAACTAACCTCCGGGTTTTCCCCATCCTTTGCATCCTTTCCGTTCTTATATGCCGCTTTATCGTCACGTGACTCAGACCGAACATCTCCAGAATTTTCTTCCATGATAGAAGCCTCAGGAACGTCTTCTGCATTCCCCGAAAGCTCCATATTGTGCTTATTCTTTCCACGAGACTTGTGCTCGATATCCAGTTCTTCCACGTCGTTCTTGTTCTTGTTCTCAGTACCCATAGTCATATCAACCTCCAACTGGCCCTCGTGATGAATCTTCTCGACGACTGAAGTCTCGACGATACCGGCCTCTTCTTCTTTGCCCGGCAACTCCTCGTCGCCACCACAATTTCCCGAGGAAGTACCATGAGTTTTCACCTCCACGTTTCCCTCTAGGCCAGTCGCACCTTTGAAATCATCCAGAAGAAGTTCCAGCCTAGCATCCAGCAGCTTATCTACCCGTTCCTCCTCCCGGGTCGGTATATACGTTCCCTTTGGCGACACTTTTGCACAACTTCCGACGAGCTCCCAGACCTCCAAGCCGGAGGAGGAGGAGGAGTCCGCAGGGCTGGGAGTCCTGCTCTGATCACTGCTCTTCGAGGCTTCAGCTGGCGCTTCTCCGCCCGCTGGTCCGAGGCCCGTTTCTGGGATTTTGATTTTGGTTTTGTTTTCTTCTGGATGACCGGAGCCGGAGCCGGCAGAGTGGCGCATGGCGTTCCATTCCTGCAATGAAGCGTGGAAATTGAGGTTGGAGAATGGGGGGGTGTTGGCGGTGAGAGTGTCGGTTTTTATCTTCTTCACCTTTCCCGACGACGAATCATCGTCATTTCCAGCGCCACTCCGGTGAGACCCAACCGACTCCGGGGAGCTGCTGTCACCACCACCGCTCAGCACTCTAGACGGCAAACTCGTCGGCCGCCACTTTGCCAGCGGTGATTCCAGGAACTTATAGCTGCTCCGCCGCTGGATCACGTCGGGTCGGCTGGCGTAGATGGAGTTGGGAGAGGCCGTGTCTTCCTCTGGAGAAAGAGGAAGAGGGGCCGAGTGGGGGCCGGCAGGTGCAGCCGGAGTTCCGATCAGGTCCAGTAGTTCTGTGGATATCGAGTCAGTACACTCATACGGTTGAGGTGAGGCTAAATGTGATACATACCGTTTTCTTTGGCAACGGCCACATACTCTTTCTCCTCGCCCTCGTCCTTGTCCTCGTCCTTATCTGATTTCTCGTCCGAGGGGATCTGCGGAATACTCCGCAGCTGCAGGTCATCATCGACGACTGTGACTGACCTTCTCGAGCTGGACCGTGGACGAAATCCGGAAAAGCTGAGAGGTCGGGCCCAACTCCATCGCTTTGGGGGGTCGGACATGGTTTGAGCTTTGTGGATGTGTGTACGGAAGGACGATGTAGAGAAGAGATCGATGGAGGAAAGAGGACAATGGAGAGAAGAGTATAATCGAGGATGATATGGAAAATGAGAAGAAAAGGCTAGAAGGTCCATGGACGATCTACTATGTGTGGATATCTTACTCACAGCTCATAACTCACAGCTCACAGCAGCAGTACCTAATGGTGTAGATGTAGATTGTGCGTACGATCGAGGAGCCCTCACTCATAGCCAGCAGTGTACCAAGATGTTAGTCCTCCGGGTAAGGGCGGTCCTGTTGCCTGCGATATCACTCGCCCGTGTCGATCCGGACCATTTTCCCACGGATGGATCTCCCGAACCCTCGCGTCTATCTGTACCAGGCTACCAGCCGTTAGCACTCTATTTACATATCAGTAGTTATCGGCGCTTCCTCCCGGCGGCGTACGCATCCGGCCGTGCTCTTAGTGCCAGGTACTCACATAACCCCGCCGATCACCACGGCCTCCCGCTCGAGCGCCGGCCTAACTATGACGCAATCGTCACCGTATGTTTATGTAGATCCGTGACAGCAGCATTACGCCAGCGCTTTTGCCGCGTTGGGATATAAACACCAGTTGTACCGACCAGTACTCACTGCTGCTCCTACATACCGATTGACTACCATACTCGATAACTACACCCGCGCAACCACTACCAACACCGATAGAAAACGATACAGAAAGATACAGAAAAATAACCAGCATGCCGAATAACACTTCCAAGGAGGAGATGAAGCTCAATGAGGAGAAGCTGAAGAACTACGAGCCGTCGCAGTTTAAGAAGGGTATGTGTGTCTGTCTGTTTGTTTACCTGCACCACCTCAGTGATCGTGCTCGTTCTCGTGTAATCCCTAGCTGAGCCCTCTAGGACACGAGCCACCGATCCAGCACGACACCGCGCCGGGGCTGGAGAAGGACATGAACCCTCGTCCAGTATACAACAAGCTCCCCACAGCGGACGGGGGCTACGAGCTATACAAAGCGGCCGGCAAGCTGGCGGGGAAGAAGGCATTGATCACGGGGGGCGACAGCGGGATCGGGCGAGCGATCGCGGTGCTGTTCGCGATGGAGGGGGCGGACAGCGCGATCACGTATCTGCCGCAGGAGATTGAGGACGCGCAGGAGACGAAGAAGCTCGTGGAGGGGTGTGGTGCGAAGTGCTTCCTGTTCGAGGCCGATATTAGCACGGCCCAGGCCTGCAGGAAGCTCGTCGATGATGTCCTCAAGCAAATGGGCAGGGTTAATGTCCTCGTCAATAATGCGGCGTATCAGATGGAGGTCGAGAGTATTACCGACTTGTCGGAGGAGCAGTGGGATTATACGTTCAAGACCAATGTTTACTCGTTCTTCTGGATCAGCAAGTACATGTGGGTTTTCCTGAGCGCCTGGGGGGTGGGGGAGCGTCAACGAGCTGATGGAAATAGCGTCCCGCAGCTGAAGTCCGGCGACACGATCATCAACAACGCGTCGATAAACCACTACATCGGCAAGCCGAACCTGCTGGATTACTCGTCGACCAAGGGCGCCATCGTCGCCTTCACCAGGGCGCTGTCCAACCAGCTCTGTGGAAAGGGAATCCGTGTAAACTGTGTTGCCCCTGGACCGGTGAGTAGCTTCCTTCGCAGCCACCAATATCATGTTGAGAGATCTGACGGTGGGCGCAGGTGTGGACTCCACTGGTGATATCGACCATGACCACGGAGGATCTGGATTCGTTCGGAAGCACACCTATGGGCAGGCCGGGACAGCCGAGTGAGATTGCTACGTGCTTTGTGTTCCTTGCCAGTTCGGACTCGAGCATGATCTCCGGCCAGACGTTGCATCCCAATGGAGGAAGCATCATCAACGGTTAGGCGGTCGGTGATGGATATGACGGGTAATGGTGGGATTCATGGCCATAATATAGTAGTGCAATGAGCAAAAATGATTGGATGTTTCGATGAATAGCAGAGTCTCCAAAGGTCTTTGAAGTTTGGAGTGCGATCACTCGTGATGACGTCGACGCGCTATGTACAGTGCCCACTCGGTAAAAAGCGGCGAGACGGATGCGGGGAATTGGAATTCTAGAACAAAATACCATGCACGCACGCATGACGGCGGGCATGATAAGCGAAGGTGACGAGACGTGCACAATTCCGGCGGCGAATTTGCGGCGACGACAACGCGGGGATGCATACCGGCGGCGATGGAGAGCGTACACACCGTACTATGTATTCTGCGTTTCACCACGCTGCCAGTAACTGTGAAAGTACCCAAGACGCCTGTGCAGCAGATGCATGTGATCCCCACGCTCTAGAACATCAGGATCGTTCTGACGATCGATCGTTTGGAGGGGTGTGCAGTGGGACTGTGGAGTGCGCGCAGTGGGTGGATGAGTCCGACACGTCATGAACCGTTCCTCTTCCCTTCCTTCTCCCTTCCTTCTGCCTTCCTTCTCATTTCCTTCTTCCTTCCTTCTTCTTCCCTTCCTCCTCGCTGGCGATGCTGCCGGTGATGAGTTGCTTTTGCCACGATCTAGAGCGTCCTCGCTAGCCAGTGCACTGTGCCAGTAGAGTGCTGAATGTCCGTGGTGAGATGAAACAATGCGGCATGGCGATGTCATAATTGCCGCTCCTTTCTTGAAACAAAAGGTAGTCCGTGCGCTAGGCGTGCTGCGTGCGTTGTTCTGGAAAGAAGACCGAAGGGAAAGAAGGAAAGAAAGAAACAAGCAAACCCACGCCAATCTCGCCAATCGAGAGCGAAGTTCCACCCCGCCTTCCACGGAGGTCCATGGGTGGGCTATGGGTGGATACGAAGGGGAATTGATGCTGCGGGCAGATGAACTCGTGAAATGAACTGGACTGAACTGAACTGAACCGGGCCAGCTGAGCCACGGAGGGTCCAACCCAATCCACTGCGCTTGCTGTTTTCCTCCTCCTCCTCGTCCTCTCTCCCGAGACATCAACGGACCAACACAATCCTCCCCCATTACCTACTACTTTACCGTACTATATACCCACATCGCTGCTACTGCTGCTGCATACCTCCTCACCCGCCGCCCCCTCCGGTCTCCAGTGCTCGTGTAGCTACAGTACAAGTATCCCACCTCCGCCCTTTATCCCCGAAATCTCCACCCCCTCGCTTCTCCTCCTCATTCTCCGCTTCCACTCGCCCGCCGCCGCCCACCATCCGCCACCCGCCCCGTTTCATCGCCCCCGTTTCCACCATCTCGCTTCCTCATCCCCCCCGTCCCCGCCTCCACCACCCCGCCCCGCCCCTCCTCGTCCGCCCAATCAGCCAGAATACATACCATCCCTGCCCTCGTCTCTTCCTTGCATCATTACACTTTCTACCGTCCAGTGCCTCGCAGCGCAGCCAACGACAGCAGCAATCCAGCCATCCAGCAATCCAACCAGCCAGCCAACCCGCGCCTAGGCTGCTCTACCTTACCTCGCTCTCCGATTAACCAGTGTGTGCTAGTAGAGTGCATAGACTGTTTCGCTGCTTCGCTGCTTGTGCTGCTCCACCACCACCACCCTATCCAACCCCTCCCCTCCTTACCCTACCACCCATAACTACATCCGTCCCAGCGACGACCACCCACACCCCAACCCATCAACGAAGCTCGAATCCCTTTCCCGAAACACCCGAGAGCATCAACTCCCGCGATTCATTCATACCATTCATACCAATCTGAGGTAGCAAACTCATCATCCTGAGCGAAGGAAGAAGACGACGGACACTGGCAACCGGAGCATACCTATCCCGTACGTCATCCCTTGATAACCGCTTTCCCGCTTGTTGACAGCTGCAAACCGTCTGTGGCGGCTGCCTGCTGTATCCTGCATAACTTATGCCTGACTGAAAGTGGGGGAGGGAACATTCTAGTTCGGGTCTATTCCCCGTCTGACTCTGCTTTCTCCACACATCGTCCTACCAGCAACCCTTATTGCTCCTACCTCCTCCTCCTCCTTCATTCCTTCACGCAGCAACAACAGCAGCGGGAACTTCTTCAGAGCTCGAGGGATTGGTGCTTGCATTCTTTACTTCCTTGAGCGGCATCGCGCAGGTCAGCTATAGCTGTCTTCGTGTTTGCTCTCCCAGACGGACAAAGGAACCGACAACCTTTATCGCACTCCCACCTACCCGCCACTAAAATAAGAATACGCGGGAAGCTTGCAGCAAGAGTCCACAGCTGCTGGCAATCACCATCTGATCTTCGGGAACGACGGAATTCTCGGATACCAGCTTTCTCTTTTGTTTCCCATCGGCAGCAGCAAACTGGTGGGTTCTAGTCATCCATTCCTCTGTTGGTTGCTGCTGCTGCACGTGCGCTCTGACTGTAATTCTGACTCGCCTTCTGCTGAGCAGATTGATCCTTCGGCTAGCTGATTTCTTTGCACACGAAACATCGACCCAGCGGATATATCTACACGTATGTTCCTGTTGATTCTTCCTACTCCCCACCGAGTGGTGGTGATATTGCATGCACGGTAGCAATGGTTCTAAAGTTGAGTCTCACACCTAGGTCACTACCAATTGCCTCAGAGCCGCACCTGTCGCCATCCCTCTCGGCATCGTCGTCATCTCTGCACGACTTAACTTGGGTCCGAACACAAAGCCTCCCACCTTACCTCTTCGGCGCAGAAGAACTAGCAACCATGTCTCTTCCGGCAGCATACCTCCAAGAGATCGATATCCTCAACCAGAGGATATCCCAAGCACAACCGGCGGATATCGTACAGTTCTGTGCAAACTACTTCAATGGTCGCCTCGAGTCTGAGCGCGTGGAGCATCTCTCCGCTACCATGTCCAATCCATTCGCAACAGTGGGCTCCGATACCTTCCCCGGCACATTCGGCGGAGTAAGCAGCTCAGGAGGATTCGACGGTGCTCGGGATGCCATCACCGAAGAAGAGGAAGATGTGCACAGTCCCACAACACCCAATTTCAGGCCACAGTTCAGCCCGCAGTTCAGCATGGGCGGATCTGGCGGCAGCGGTGGAGGCGGTGGCGGTGGTGGAACTGGGCGTCGCGATCATTCCCCTTCTTCCGGCGGAAGAGCCAATTCGCGTGGTCCTCCTCGTGCTGCTGGATCTTCGTTCCTCGCCCCTTCGCTCAATGCCCACCTCTCGCCGAATGCTGGACAGGATTTCCCCTCCAACTACAACAGAAACCGCCGAACCTCTGTGTCCGCCGAATCATTAATCCCAAATGCGTCGAATGACGAGTGGTCGCCACCGGTGCACGCCAAAACGCCCGACCAGTTGGCCCGTCTGAAAGTATCTGTTTCTGGTAACTTCCTGTTCACCCACCTGGACGAAGAGCAGTTCTCTCAGATTCTGCTTGCCTTGGTTGAGAAGCCCATCCCCAACAAGGACATGCGCGTCATTACCCAGGGTGACGTCGGAGATTACTTTTACATTGTTGAGAGGGGCGACTTCGACATCTACGTCAACTCGATGGGACGGATGATGCCCGGTCCCGACGGGTTGGGAAAGAAGGTCAACTCGATTGGACCCGGCGGTTCGTTCGGTGAGCTGGCGTTGATGTACAATGCTCCCCGTGCGGCCACTGTTGTCTCGACGACTCCTCAGAACATTCTCTGGGCCCTTGATCGAGTCACCTTCCGACGCATCCTGATGGAGAACACCTTCAAAAGACGACGGATGTATGAGGCCTTCCTCGAGGAGGTTCCCCTGTTGTCGCCGCTCGTGGCCTCGGAACGCTCCAAGATCGCTGATTCCCTCGACACCGATACTTACGAGCCGGGGGCGACCATCATCAAGGAAGGTGATCCTGGCGACCGGTTCTACTTCATCGAGCAGGGTGTTGCCGAGGTCTACAAGAGCACGGTTCCCGGTGGTGGCTACGTCCGCACCTTGAACAAGGGAGATTACTTCGGAGAGCTAGCGCTGTTGAACGACGCCCCGCGAGCTGCCAGCATCGTGGCCAAGACCAAGGTCAAGGTGGCATACCTGGGCAAAGCAGGGTTCCAACGATTACTCGGACCTGTGGCGGACATCATGAGGAGGAACGACCCTCGGCTAGGCGAGAGTGTCGACCCGCTATCCGGTGGTGCTCCCGGAGGACTCGACGGCGCGGTTGATCCCATCCAGGAGGCGGCCGGCAGGGGAAGGCCAGTGGAGGTATAGATGAAGGGGGCTATGTGTCTGTACGTTCGGGGCGGTTCTTTCGTTTTGATTGTCAGCAATGGTGTTTAGTAAAAGTCTGTTTCCGGGGACCGCGTTGCTGCTGCTCCGACGGGCTTTTGTGGGGTTTTCGGTAGTTCTGCGTTTTTCGGTTTTTTGTGTTTTCCGCCTTTTTTTTTCTTCTTTATTTCTTTCATTGTTCTTCTTGGACTCGGTATTGAATCGTTTGATGAGGAGGGAAATGGGAGTGCGCGGAGGGGCTCCTATGTACTGTGTTTATCACAGGCAAGGGAAAGCGGACAATCACAGGCAAGGGAAAGCGGACAAGTTTAAGAGTTTGCTCGAGGGCAAGCAAATGGGGGCTTCTTTGTGTGTGTCGGAGTGGAGTGTATTCGAGGCAATCTTTTTTTTCTTTCTTTTTCTTTTCCTAATCTTTTTTTCCTTTCCTTCCCTGCCCGTTTCCATTAGTGTTTGTTCCTTTCCATTATTCTAGAACTTTCACGGTGGGCCCTGGGGGGGCGATGGTTTAGGGGGTGGGGGGGAGAGGTGTAAGTATGCTACAATGGAGCGAAATCATAGAATATGTAGTCGTTGTTCACCATCGCAATAGTTGATGTTGATTGTGTCCCATCCATCCATCCATTCTATCATACACCGCCCATCCATCCAACTACCTAGCCCCCGCCCTCTGCCTCTCCAATATATCCCTCCTGACCCCCTCTGTAGCCAGCTCCACCTCCAGCACGCGTCCCACGGCCTTCTTCCAGCGCACCTCGAGCCGGCCCATCTCGTCGCGCACATCGACCTGCGCCCCCTTGCGCTCCTTGTTGCACACCTCCGCCTCCGTGCGCAGCGCCATAAGCGATTCCTCGAGCTGCCGCAGCAGCTCCTCCAGCTGCGAGTTGTGCAGCAGCCACGCGTTCCGTCCGTACGAAGAGAGGAGCGAGAGGTTCGTTAGGCGCGTTGAGAGGTGGGTCGAGGATGTGTACGCTGCGGAGAGGGCGGAGGTGGAGGGGGTGCTGGTGCTGGGGGAGTCGGGGGTGAAGGTGGATGGGTCGTAGCGTGAAAGGTCGACGCCGTTTTCGAGCGGGAGACCGGATGCCACGCGGCTGAGCTCGAGGGTCATCGCGGGCGTGAAGGTGCTGGGTAGGAGTGTGGGGAGGGACGGGTGCGGTGTGGACGTGGAGGACGAGGCGAGGGCAGAGGTTATTAACGACGTGATCTGGGCCAGCTCGGAGGCGGTTGGGGCGGGCTCGATGTCTAGTTTTGTATTAGCAACGCGAAGGGAAGGGAAGGGGGGTGAAGGGGTGGAGGGTGGAGGGGAATGGAGGGGGGGAGGGGAGAGCAAGTACAGGGCAGGGAGTCGTGCGAGGCGATTATGAGCGGCATCGTGGGGTTCGTGGGGGTGGTTCGTGGGTGGTTCGTGGCGGTGAGCTGTAGATGGAGTATCTACGGGACGGGAAGACGCGTGCAGTTGATGGTTGCTTCCTGTGTTCGCCACGCCAAGAGCGCGTTGGCCGTTCGGCTATCTAACTAAACTAGTTTCGGCCTTCAGCCTTGCGCCCGCTTCGTTGGGTTGGGTTGGGGCCAGCCCAGACCGTCCATACACGGGCATGTAGCATAGAGTACTTAGCGATGACGGGGTGTCTTGTCTCGGTGTGAAGTCCCTCCGTCTCAGCTTCTCAGCCCCAAGCTTTGGTCTGGATATTTTTTACATATATATAACAATGGGCGTGCTCGTTATCGGGGAATGGAACTGCTGCTGCCGATATCATACACTTCGAACTATTTAGGTACGCAGTTGACACGAGATGTTTCCAACCGCACACCCCACCGCCGCGGGCAGCACCTGGGGAAACGATGCAAGCAGTGTGCGCATGACAGCGTCATCACCAAATCCGCTGGTTATACTTGGGCGTCAGTCTCGGTTCTCCCAGGAAGGAGATGGGAAGGTGAGTTGCTTCCAAATTCCAATTTGAATATCTACGAGCCGGGCTGACGAACTCAGCCACAGAAACCCTCGGCACCGAAGGTAGTGCACAGCATCAAGATCCAGAAGAAGGGGGCCGCAACGTACACCACCGTCCCCTCCGGTTCGGTCCGGACATGGGACGCCCTCCTGTCAAAACTACGCACGCTGCACGGCACTTCGGAAACCCCGTCGATCGTGACGTACTCGGGGGACCTACTTCAAGACGCCTCCTCGTACTCCCATGCATTGCAGCAGCAACAGGGCGGCTGCCTCCACCTGATAATCTCGTACCCGTCAGACCTCTCCTTGCTCGCCGTGGCGTTCAGCACGCTCCTGGGGCGCCCGCCATTACCGGCCGAAGACGCGGCGCTCGTCGCCGCGTACACCCCCGCGCCGCAGAGTAGATTCGAGGGAGGTGAGCCCTGCAACTTCCGCCTCCGGCCGCCAAGGCTGCTGTTTTTCACACAGGAGCACATACGTTGTCACGTCACTATGGAGAACGCGGGACTGCCGGTCCTGTGTGATTTCTCGAGGTGGAAAAGGGATGTGGTGGATAAGGGGAAGGTGCCGGCGGGGGTGTCGGAGAGTTCGACTCCATACTCGGCGCCGGGTGCGGCCGCGGTGGCGTTTGGTCAGGAGTACGGGCACAGCGGTGGTGGGGAGAACTATGCCGGATATACTACACCGACCACGGCGACGGCCGAGAAGGTGCTGCAGCTGGCGAGCTGGCAGTTCTGGGCGGCGTGCGGGCAGTCGCAGGTGCTATCCACGGTCAGCGCGGAGTTCACCGCGTCGCCGAGTGGATACGAGCACCTTCCGGCAGTGCTGACGGACGAAGTGTCGTTGGCGACGTCGACATCGCACCAGTGGGCGATCTACCCTGACCCCTCCGAGGGAGTAGAGCTGGTCGATGAGAAGGACCTGCCGCGCACAAGCCAGATCCGTGTCTATGCTAGCCACGATAGGAAGAATGATCCCGACCTCGAGCAGCGTGAGAGCCAGGGCTGGTGGATGGCGAATACGAAGATGATCCCGGCCGGGTTTGCGGGAAGAGAGGGAGAGAGGTCGTTCCTGTGCGAGGGACTGCCGCAGACGAAGGTCTTCCTGGAGGGATTCCTCGGCGCCTGCGGGCTGCACGGCGCTGAGAGAAACGTAGGCCCCCCCGCTGCCCCCTTCCAAAATCCCCAAACAGCCCGACTAACCCCCAAACCTACCAGGACTTCATCACCCACTGGCTCTACACCATCTGCCTGTCCTTCCCGCCATCTTCATCCTCGTCACCAGAGTCGCACCTGATCCTTATCAAGTTCCTCACGCCGCGCGAGCTGCGGGTGCTACTCCCGCTACGTATCAATCCCGTCCCGCACCGGCTCATACGGATCTTCGCCGTGCTCCGCGTTGTGACGCGGCTGCAGCTCCTGCGAGAGGGGATACTCGCCCAGGGCGATTTTGCGAGGGAGGTCGAGATCGTGCGTGATGCCTATGGCGCGGGGGGGAGCGAGGCGAGGGAAGGGAGGGACGGGAGGGAGAGGGAGGGGTTGACGGTCGTCGAGGTTGGGGGCGCGTTGCTGCTGGATCTGCAAGAGAGCGGGAAAGGGAGCGGGAGCGGGAAAGGGAGTACTGCGGGCGGGAGTAGGGAGGATACTCCGGCGCTGGTCGCGGATGCGTTTAGTGAGGCCACGCAGAGTCCGAGTAGGGAGGTGACGCCAGGGCTGCTGCTGGGCGATGAGGGAATGGTTGAGTGGAGGGCGTGATGGTATATCCAAACCTGGCCTGGCATACTGGCACAATACTAAATGACTTCAAATGATGTACCATCAATCGTGACCATCGTCGAAGTTCCATCCTCACGACGTATATATCGGCCAGCCATTCCTTTCACAACACCTCGACTATGGGTATCAGCCCTCGGCGGCATATCATTCCAAGTTCCAAGCATCCATCACACGGTGCTCTGGGATCAGTGCTAAAGGTGTGGGCAGCACGGGGGGGTGCAGGTGGCAGGCGTGTTTGATAGTTTGAGAGAGGAAAGTCTTCAACTGACAACATGTCGGGGTGGCTGTTGTCGCGGCGGCGTCGAGTGGATCATGGGCTATCACTTGGTTGATTATCGTTTTTTTTGTGGTGAGTATCTAGACGACTACAAAATTCCGGGCTTTGGGGACAACGTTACAAAAAGCGGTTGGGTGGGGGCTATCGTGGCTGGTGAAAAGGGTTGACTCTTGCTTTATTACATGCCAGTTTCAGTGAATTCCAGCTATTCCAGCTAGGTATTGCTCAAGAGTCGAGTCGAGTCGTTGCGACCCAGCACCTATTCAGGGCCATTTGGAACTTTGGATGCCAGAATCTAGAGGGTAGTTTCCAAGTGACGTAGCCCAGGAAGGGAAACGGCGCAAATGCAGGATGATGGAGAAGTTGAGGTTCTATTCAACTTCGAAGAGCCATCTTATCTAGCCACTCGCCAATCTAGTCAACTCCCATTCTCGTTCAGCTTGCTCTACCGAGTGGGTCGCAGAGCCCACGAGGCGGTAAACTCTAAGTTAATTGATTACCCTTTATTGAAACTGCCGTGAGTCATTGTACGTGCAGCTTGGGGCTCTGTGAGACCTCACAGGCTCCACAGTGGGGATCTACCGGTAGTAATCATGATTCATACATGCAGTGCTTTGGCCATCACTCTTACTTATGGCACTTACGGTAGGTACTTATCGATCAGGCAGCCATCCGATCCGGGAGATCACAGTGTACTCCTCTGGCACCGTCATGGTACCGGTATGTAACCCGAGATAAGCCAGCGGCCAACCTCGTGGACCGCTGAGCATTGAGCACTGCGAATAGGTAGCTCCAACGTCCATTGTCGAGCCGTACGTGCCGTGTAACTTCAAACTTTTTGTGTGGTTTGCAGCCCGTGACGTACAGTAGAGTAGGCTCGCCGGGTTACATGGCAGCCAGCCAGCAGCCGTACGCCCGTAGTGTCTACTCAACCCAGCCCCGATCTCGAAAGCTATCCAACAGCGGCGAAGCGGGACACATTGATGTCCGGCGGGGCCTGCAGTTGGCCCGTGCCTAGCCCTACGATTACTTACTAGTAGGTATGACCAGATGCTTGCTGCACATCTCTCCGCCCCGCGCGCTATTTACCACCACCACCTCTAAGTCTCCGACTGTCAGTGTCACTGCATTGTCCCCCCCCCCCCCCCCCACCTTGCAGGCTCCCGGGACTCCTGATCGTAAAAACCAGGCACGCTGCGTTCGATTGGGCGGATCCGCGACGGTACGGCGCACATAATCCAGACATCTTGTGCCGCCTTGGTTAGCGGGGTGCGAGCTGCGGCGGCGACCGGCAGAGTATATAAACACTACTGGCAGCCCCAGCCATCTCCCAGTCGCTGGCTGCTCAACATTGGTTGTTCGACTCCTGCTACCAACCACGGTTACAGTCACAGTCACTTCACCGCGTGCGCAATGGCAGACAAAAAGAAGACCGTGGCTATCATTGGTAACTATCCACCCACCTAGCTACCTAGCTACCCCACCTTCAAACCCCGGTCAGCGTGTGAGTGAGTATCGGTACATACAGCTAACCCATCCCTCGTGCACACAGGTGGCGGCCCCTCGGGCCTAACCACAGCCAAGTCGATGCTCACAGCGGGGCTCTTACCCACAGTCTTCGAGGCGCGGCAGAACCCTGGCGGACTGTGGGCGCCGCGGGAGGCCGGTCTAGAGGGCACGCAACTCAACCCGGAGATGCGGACGAACGCCTCGCTCGCCTGCAATATGTTCTCGGACTGGTTTCCGTATGGGGAGGAGAAGGTGCTGGGTCACTCCGAGGCGGGGCTGGTGGCGGAGTATTTGAACAGTTATGCGCAGAGGTTTCTGGGCGGTGGACAATTGAGGTTGGGGTGTGAGGTGGTTGAGGTCGTGCCCGTGGGCCCAAGGGAGGAGTGTGAGTGGCGTGTGGTGTTTAGGGATGCGGAGGGAGGGGAGGAAGAGGAGACGTTCGATTTCTTGGTGGTCGCGAGCGGTGCTCAGTCGCAACTGTATATTCCGCACCTCGAAGATCTAGCAAACTTCCCGGGGAAGGCGATCCACAGCTACAATTACGTGGCGGAGGAGATGTTTCCGGCGAACGACGGCGACAGAACCAGAAGGATTCTGGTTGTTGGGGGATTGCTGTCTGGGGCCGAGATTCCGGCGGAGCTCGCTCTGAGGGTCTCGTCGCTTCCGGAAGAAAGACGCGACAAGGTCGAGATCCTACATCTTTTCTCGCAGCCTTTCTGGATCCTCCCCAGGCTCTTACCGTTCACGAATGAAAAGGATCCTCAGGCGCCCAGGTGAATGAGAACTCGCACCCTCTGAGACCGTGCTGTACTAACTGATGATCAGAGTGCTCCCGCTTGATCAAGTCTTTTTCACTGCCGATGCCGTCATGGGTGCGTCTCCTTCAGAGAGCCCAGAGGAGAAGAACACCCGGCTCAACGGCCTCCTAAAGGCGTTGATGGGGTCAGACCAAGGTGATATCGGCCCAGAGTATCAAATCGACGACCACTGGAGCACGAAGACTCCGGGGATCGGTATGTCAGAGTCCTACCACCGGTTTGTCAAAAGCGGTGCTATCAAGCCGATTGTCGGGCGATACGAGGGCATTACGGACACCGGCGCTGTACGTGTCTCGCCCGTCCCGAATAGCACCCACAGTACGGACCGCACACTGGAGGGTATCGACACCATCATCTTTGCTACTGGATATACGCCCTGGCCCGCTTTGCGGAAGTTCTTTGCACCCGAGATGTTGCAAAAGATGGGGGTATCGCCGGAGACGGTAAACCCTCACGCCAACTTGCTGTTCTCGCGCATGCACAAACAGGTCATGCACCCAGAGCTCGGCCGCACGATTGGGTTTGTTGGCCTTCAGATGAGGCCATACTGGGGGCTCAGCGAGATACAAGGTCGATGGCTGGCCAACATGTTTTCTGGCAAGCTGGACTGGCCGACAGATGAAGAAATAGCGGATTATCGCAAAGGAGTCGATCATCTGGTGAGTATCGGGAAATTAAACGACGCTCTCTTGCTCAACAGCCAAGGTGGGTATCTCGAGGTGATCGGCGATATCTCGAGGATTTTGGGTATCGATCCATTCACCCCCGCGGCATCTGTAACATATACCCCGAAATCCTTCATGCCGGCATACTACCCACCTTTTGGAACGGCAGAAACCAACGACGATGCCACGAAAGCAATCCGTAGTCTTTCGCTCGGTGTCGTCAACAATTCGTTCTCACCCGCGTTCGTTTCCAAAGTAGTCTTTGCGGAGCTGCAGGGCAAGTGGAAACTCACCAGAAACCTTGCATCGAAACTTCCGGGATATCCAGAGGGCGAGTTTGTGGGACTGGCCGAGTTCCATCCGCGCATTAGATCATTCACTGCTTTCCACACGGGCGAAGGACAGTGGACGGCCGGGCCCGCCAAAGCCTCGTACCTGTCTCTCGGGCGCGATGTCCCCGAATATCTGTACTCAGAGGAAGGCGACCTCACCACCAAGAGTGGCCTGGTCTTCCACGGCAAGCGCAAATACATCTACCACTACGACGACGCCGCCGGTGCGATCACGGCGTGGTTCGTCAAGCTGGACGGCAGCAGCGTCGACAACTTCTTCCACCACCTCGATTTCACAAAGACGCCCGAGAAGCTGGGCTCGCCCGGTGTCGAGGGCGACGGCGGCTGGAAGGCTGCCGGGGAACATCTGTGCTCCAAGGATTGGTACTGGCCCGCGTACCGCTTCGTCTTCCGCGGCGCGAGGCTCGAGAGGTTCTGGATTCGCTACAAAGTGCTGGGGCCCAGCAAAGATTATATCTCCGAGGCCATGTATGTGAGGGCGTGATCACAGGCGGGGGGTCAGAGTGGAGGCTTTGGCGTTTGGGTACTGTAGCTGGGAATATGCGGGGTTAGATTGCTTTGTTCGCGTTTCTTGCGGCTGCACTTCAATGATATCGACTTGCTCAATACCGTGCTGCATTGGTGATCGGGCAAGACGCTGTGAATCTAAGGCCGCCTTCGGCGGCGGCTGTCGAGTCGGGCAAGTGGCTGTGCCCCGGCAAAAGCAGACTTGCAAGTTGTCGAGTCCGTTACCTGTCATGGAATGCGGTACAATTCATGTGCGTAAATAGCCGGTGCCCATGATAGTACGTGGAGCTTAAATACCAGGTGACAGCCCGCTATGTAACGCAGAGCGCCGTGCGTGCGCACGTCACAACATCGATATCTCACCATTCTCGATCCATGGCGACCTTGCCCTGGAGATCTTGGCCTCGTCAGTCGTTAGTTGTGTTTTTCGCCATCCTTCGCTTGCGAGGAAAGCAAGGTTCTGCACTGGGCAGTGGGAATCACTGCTGTGGTTGGACGAGCCGGGAAGTGCTACCGACGTACGGCGAGTGGCGAGTGGCTACGTTCTGTGGCTGGTTGGTTGGTTCCATGGATATGGCCATTGGCCGCTAGCGCCTAGCGGGGGTGTCTCGCCTACTCTACTCTACGAGTAGAGCAGAGCAGAGCAGGCTTCGAGAAGATGCGAAACCGGTAACTGGTGATATCATTCATGGCAGCGAGCAGAGGGCAGCGAGCAGAGGGCAGCGAGCAGAGGGCACTTTTGATGAATGCTCGCCCTCGCACATTCCGTTTGGTCTCAACTAACTTCAATTCGAACTCGCTCTCTTCTACCTCCTCCAGTTCCCCCTCCTCCTCCGACCGGATCTACACAAGTACTTCTGTATCACCACCAAGTGCCATTCCATTCCAACGGCTCGAGTTGAAGCACCTCGTCCCGTCCGCACTAAAGCCCTTTTCGATTGCCGCCGCTTATTTTTTTTATATTCCGATTGTTTTGTTTTGTTTTTATTTTTGTTTGGCTTGGGGTGTTCTGTTCAGGACCAATAGTGGACCACGAGACCCAGCGCCGCGCGAGACCTCGCCATCGTCTGATCTGATTTCCATCCGCATCGCGCATATCCAATCTATCACATCTGTCACATCCGGCTCGGTGCGGATATCGATAAACAGCGAGATACCTACTGGTATATCATTTTTGGCTTGTGGGTCGTGGGTCGTGGGGTGTGAAACACTTGGGGGCGAAACCGATACTACTACTGCGTACGGTACATTCCTCTGCTACAACTACAACAACGGCTGCATACCACAACTCCATTATCACTGCTGCTGTTATCACTTCTGCTACTACCACTGCTACTGCTCCTGCGGCCGCTGCTGATCAGGGTCCTTTGTTACCGTACTTTTTTGCCCTTGGGCTTTTCCATACTCTTCTCTTTCTTTGCCCTCCCGTCCACATACGAGCCACCATGACACCTCGATCGTTTTTTTTATCCTGGAAGAGTTGGAGTACGGCGTTAGCAGTGGCGGTGGTGTTACTATTGACACTGCTTGTGCCTGTGGAAGCCGGGACACTGCAGCCGGAGCGTCGAGCGAACAGTCCCACCGATGTATGCAAGCGGTACAGCCACCAGAGTAAGTCCTTCGTTCCCGAATGTGTGTTTTAGGGAAGATGATTGACCGGCGACCGACCGACCTACAGCGGCGCTGGTTAACGGGACCATTTACATCTACGGCGGCCAGGCCCTCAGTCGGGCGGGACAGACCACGGACCGCTGGAATAATAACTTCTTGACGCTCTCGGTGCGCGAGGACTGGGATACGGACGCCCCAAAGATGGAGGGGTTGCCGGTTCCGGATGGGCCGCCGAAGGTGGCGAATGGGTATGTTATGTGGTCCGGTCCGGCGAGTGGCTGGTCTGGTTGGAAAGTGTTGCTGACGGGATGGATAGCTACCTCTGGCACGACTACGACCGGATATTTCTCTACGGCGGTCTCTACTCCGATGTGGAGCCGCTCGGGCAGCCGACCGAGTTCGTGTTATGGCAGTACGAGATCGCCTCCAGAAAGTGGTCCGAGGCGCAGACGTCGGTGGCGGAGAACTCGGGGTCGCAGAAGATCGAGCGCGCGGCCGAAGGCGCCGGCGTCAGTGTTCCCGGACGGTCGTTGGGGTTCTACTTTGGCGGTCATCTGGATCAGTGGACAACACAGGGTTGGAGTAATCAGACCCCCAGGGTTTATCTCAAGAGTCTGCTGGAATTCGATATGGAGAAAATGCAGTTCCGGAATGTCACCGAGAGCGGACTGGAGAAGGCCGGTGTGCCGGAAAGGGCGGATGGTGTGCTGGTTTTCGTGAGTCACTGCGCTGGCCTGATTCCGGGTGTTGTTTGTACTGACTGATGCGGATGGTAGGTTCCTTGGGGCGAGGAGGGAATTCTGCTTGCCATCGGTGGCGGCACCAACGACACTTTCTCGCAGATGAACATCATTGATGTATACGATCTCGGTACAAAGAAGTGGACGAAACAAGCCACAGATGGGCCGAGCCCCAAGTACCGCGTCAACCCTTGCGCTGCGGTAGCATCGGCTCCCGACGGTTCCTCGCACAATCTCTACTTCTTTGGTGGACAGAACTTGGTGCCTTACATGGAGCAGCTTCAATACGACGATATGTACATCCTTACCGTGCCCGCATTCAAATGGATCAAGGTCGACATGGAGAGCCAAAACGTACCCCCAGCAAGAGCCGGTCACACCTGCGATATGGTGGGCTCACAGATGATCGTCATTGGCGGCTACACGAGCGAGTTGTCCTGCGATGCACCGGGCGTCTACATCTTCGATGCCAGCACTCTGGAGTGGAACACGGGCTACTCGGCTGCAGCCGGTGGTTACGGCAAATCGTCAGGTGGTAGCAGTGGTGGTGACGGCTCCAATAAGCGGCCTGACAACACCTATAAGGTTCCAAAGATCGTCGCCAACGAGGTCGGTGGCGACGAGAACGGCGGTGCAACGATCTCCGAGCCGGTAAAGACGGCGGAGGCGGACTCGCCCTTAGTTACCGGTGACGCCGGAGACTACAAGTACACCACGTACATCCCAGCGCCAACCGTACTGGTCTCGACAGCCGCCGATGGCACCGTCACCACGAGCACGGTAACCCCCAGCCCACCCGACGACAACAGTCCCAATGTCGGCGCCATCGTCGGCGGTGTCGTGGGCGGAATCGTGTTCATTGTCATCCTCATCTTCGCCGGCGCCTATTGGCTGTACAAGCGTAAGATCCGGGAGCTCAGGGAGAGCGCCGGAAGACTGGGTGATGCCAATGGATATGAGAAGAACAGCGAGTCGGGCATGGCCGGACTGATGACGGGGCATCGCCAAGACGCCGTTATGTTCGGCGAGAGCTCGGATCGGAGAAATACTACCGGGAGCAGTACAGATCTCAACGAGATGATGGGCGAGCCGACGTTCTGGGGTGTCCTCTTGAGTCCCAGAAGAAGTTTGAGGGTGGTCAATCATTAGATGTAGGCGTAAGGGATGACGGATATGACCTTTGTAATGAGCGATGAATGGGATGGGATACCAGGGCTGCTTTTTTACATGTTTTCGTTGGCTTAGGATTGGAGTGTCTTTGGCGTTCATATGTGCGCTTTGCTTTGCTTACCGTACCGTACCGAAATCTGTATTATGTATGTAATCTTTCGAACGAGGAATTTAGACGTATGTTTGGATTTACTACTATGCGATCTATTGAGCAGTTGGACGACCGGGCTGAGTGCGGTTGTCGCCATCGAGTGACGTTCAGTGCTGATCGTAAAAGGCCTAGCGCGGGAAAAGTAACCAACTCTTTTACCGACCTACATACACACAACGCACCTTCCGCCCCACCAATCCAATCCGCCCCGCCATCACCCCACGCCTCACGACGACACCACATGACACGCACACTCCGCGCCCTCGCGGCGCCCTGCCGCGCCTTCAGCAGCACCGTGCGCATCCTCAACGAGCGAGTCGGGCCACGCATCACACAGTACGACCCGTCGGCGTCCTCCTCCTCCTCCTCCGGCAGCAGCGCGCAGACCCCCGGCAGCGGCCCACGAGTCCATCGTCCGTACGCGCGCCTCGGGCGCGCGGACCCAGCGACCCGCCAGCGCGCCAGCGAGATCATGTCGATGCTGATTACGCCGGGGGCGGGGGCGGCGTCGTCCGCTGCTTCGGGGGCCGCGGTCGCGCCCTTGCCCACGGAGGAGTTCACGCAGCAGGAACTGCTCAGCTCCCAGCAGAGATTTGTTGCGGGTGATGTTTATGCCCCCAATGATCTCACTATGGAGGAGTTGAATGCTAGGAGGGGCAACAGGAAGCCCGTCAGGGACGCGTTTGATCTCGTTGGGATTAATCCGATTACGCAGTATAAGGTACACACACAGCTCTTGGTGGCTGGTTGGGAGGGAGTGCTAACGCGCGAGGTGGTGGAAAGAACTATAACCTCCTCTCGGAATACGTCACGTCGATGGGCCGGATCATGCACTCGAAGGAGACGGGGCTAAGGCCGGTAAACCAGCGGCGCATGGCGAAGGCGATCCGTCGCGCTGTCGGTATCGGTTTCTTGCCCAGTGTGCACCGCCACCCTGAGGTGCTCAAGAATCAGGAGAACATGATGACTGGCAGGATGGGACGTATGGGAGGCATGGGAGGCATGGGTGGCGCGATGGGGGGGCAGGGGAGAAGGTAAAGGGTGGCTGCCGGGACATACAATAGAGACGGGGGGGTTGGATAGCCTGCCGGCGGAGAATCAATGTTTCGGATTGCGTCGCCGCCGCCGCCGGAGACTCGGAGACTCGGAGTGCAGTGTGTGTCAGGTGTCACGTGGAACGAGTGATCCGCCGTCTGTCCGCCCGACTGTCTGCCGTTCCATAGAGTCCGGACTCTGCCAGCGAATTAAATCTCAATCCATCTCGCCAGCCCTGAATACGGAATGCACTGTGCAGTTCGCTCCCCACGTGGAGTCCGAGTCCAACGACTGAGCACGCAACACGGATCCTCGAGATGCATATGTAAGTAGAGAACGAGGTTGCAAACGCACTCACTTCACTTCCATGCCCGTGCCCGTGTCCGTGTCCGTGCCCGTGTACATGCCCGTGTCCTCGTGTCCAGCCGCAGCCGCAGCTGCTGGGGCACTGAGGCAGGCGGGCCTCCGTACGTAAATTGTAAAATTGTAAATTGTATGTAATAGCGCGGGACATTTCGTCAAGTGCGACATGTCTCCCATGTCTCCCATGTCCCCCTCCCATGCAGGATCGTGTTGAACTGGCGTGATCGTGAAGATCAGAACTCAGGAGTGGATATAGGTGGGTTGTATGTATACATACAATTACAGTTCCTGCGCTGCTGCGCATGCGAGCGTGGGGGCCCGTGGTGGTTGATCCACTCCCTCCAGCTCAGCATTCCAGGTACATGCTCGCTCGCTCGCTCGCTTTTTTTTGCGTGCTCACTGCTGAGGTGATGTGACAGTCCTTTCGTTGTGCAGTTTGAATGTGCAGTTTAAATGTGCCCGCGCATCCTCGTACCGGTACTATCTACTATGTGCATTGTGAGTACTTCCGAAACTCGGGGAGTCGGGGGCTGCCGTGCTAGAGTACTCGAGAATGTCTCAGTCTCGCTGCGGACGGGGATCTAGGAATAGCAAAGCAAGCAAGCCCCCGAGCAATCATAAGATGTGTAAGTAACTGCCGGGGGTTGTAACTTGTCCGATGAGCGCTGTGGCTATGCGCTGTGGCGTAACTGGCGTAACTGGCGTGCCGCTTGGGGGGAGAGGTGTGGACACTGGACTTGTGGAGTTGTGGGCTTGTGGTTTCGTCGTCATTCGACCAGGATGTGCGTGTCTGGCGTGCGAGCGAGCCTGTGAGGATCGCCCGCCCTCCGCCGCCCTTCGCTCTCCCGTTGCCAGTGCCGGGAATCAGCCCGAGACACACAGACAGCCAGACAGACCTCGAACGTAAAGCCATAGCCACAGTCCTGTTCGCCCTGGTCCGATGATCCCTCCAACCATCCCTCCATCCCCTCCACCCTCCCTTTTTCTTTCTCCGCTTGTCGTCGTCAGCTGTGTGTGCGGGTAGGGTGTCGAGTGTTAACTAGCCTTTGGCTTTGTCCACTGTCCTGTCCTGTCCTGTCCGATCTCTCCTGCCCGCTGCCTCGCCATCTGATGTAGAACGATACGATACCTTCCCTGACCCAACCCAGCCCAGTCCAATCTATTCGGGCCCTGCAGATACGTACATACACACAGAATTGTCTGTGTCTAACAGTTGACTTGCTTACCTACATACCTTCCTACCGGCCTCCTCCTCTACTGCTCTCGCGTTCTCTCTTACGTTCTCTCTTTCTTTCTTTCTTACTCTCTATTCCAGCCCCCGACATCTCACCAGCGTACGATAATCAACTGAGGCCCTTTATTCGTCCATACGCCACAAAACACAAAGATGGTGGTATGCAATTCGACACTGTCGGAAACCCACTGCAAGTACCCTCCCCCACATCGCCGCCGCCAAACAAACCGTCCCGATCTTCATACTGACAGTCGCCGCAGGGGACGTAGAACCGGTTGCTGGCCCTCTTACATTCCACAAACTGGGCTGGATAATATGCATCGTATGTGGTGGTTTCTTCCTCCTCCTCCTGCCCCTCCTCCTCGGCTTGGTATGATAGTTATAGTTATACCTCCGGCTAACTAACCGTTCGTACGTTAGGCCTGCACGTTAATCTCGACCGCCTTCTCTCTCTACCTCATCTACAAGCACGCCTCGAATTACACGAACCGCAATGAGCAGCGCCAGATCATCCGCATCCTCTTCATGGTGCCCATCTACTCGGTCACGACGATGTTCAGCTACGTCTGGTACTGGCATGCGGTCTACTGGCAGGTTGCGCGTATGTTATTCCAGGATAGCTGTTGAGGGGGGCTGTGGTGGCTGATACAGAGGGATTTAGGCGATTGCTACGAGGCGTTTGCGATCGCTTCGTTCTTCACTTTGATGTGCTTCTTTATTGCGCCCGATCTGCGACGCCAGAAGGAGTATTTTGCCACCATGGTGGTCAATCCGTGGCCATGGCCGGCTAGCTGGATCAACAAGTGTGCGAGCGGGAAGATGAGACAGCCAAGGAGCGGATTGACCTGGTTCAATGTTTGTGCTCTCCCCCAGAGGTCGAAGCAAGCTAGGATGCTAATCGTCACGCAAAGATTGTCTGGATCTGTATCTTTCAATATTGCTTCATCCGTGTAGCGACTACCATAATCGCGACAGCAACTCAGGCAACGGGACACTACTGCGAGGACTCGGCGCATCCGGCCTTCGCCCACTTCTGGATGGTGTTCTTCAATTGTATCGCAGTAACCATCGCGATGTACATGCTGATCGCGTTCTACATGAACCTCAAGACTGCCTTGGCGCCGAACAGGCCGTTGCTAAAATTGTTGTGTATCAAGCTCGTCATCTTCTTCTGTTTCTGGCAGATGGTGGTGTTCGATCTCCTCACCTCGGCCAACATCGTCAAACCGTCGAAAAAGATCTCGCCCGGCGATATCTCGATCGGATTTAACGCCCTGTTGGTGTGCTTCGAGATGATTATTTTCTCGATTCTGCACCTCTTCGCCTTCCCTTACGCCCCATACCAGGTCGCTTCTCCCGAAGCAGCACCTGGCGCATTCCCCGTCGATACACCTGGGACCTCTGCATGGAAGGCGATCGTCGACGCCTTCAACCCCTTCGATATCATCAAGGCATTCCTTCGCGGTATGAAATGGTGCCTAGTCGGTGTCCGGAAGCGCCACGAACACGCCGAAAAAGTGGCGGCAAGAAAAGAGTCCAACCATGACAGTCTCACTTCACATGCTGCGCCGCCCGCTAGCTACCCCAGCAGCCGCCCAACAGACCATCCCACTGGTCTGGGCGTTTACGCGCAGTACTCGAGTGACAATGGAGGGTTGATGGTGGAGCACCCCACGCCGAACGATCAGGAATATGTCCAAGATCAGGATATTCCCACGCATGGAATTGTTATCGGTGCGACCGAGAGAACTTCGTACGTTTCCGCACCTGCTCCCGTTCCGGTGCCAGAGCCGGATATCAGACAACACCCCGCCTTTTCACCCGCTGTCAGCCCGGTCTCCAGGACAAACGTGTCACCTATCTACCCCACTGCGCCTCAATACCCTCACACCGTCTCGCCACTGTACCCCATTGCCAGCCAACCCGCCGACCCCGGCCTTGCCGCGCGGCGTCCGGGCGCACCAAACCACATGCTCCCGTACCCGGAGAACGACGCGATACGAATGCCGAGTATCAACCAGCACACGCCGAGTCCGAACGAGTCGCAGGAACTGCTCGAGCAACATCCCGCGTTCAGACACTCGTGGAGACATCCGTCCCTGCGGGGGGGGGAGGTGGGCTCACCGACTGCGCCGGAGGTGGGGTATTCGTACGAGTACTCGGACAGCATGAGGAATGAGGAGGGCGTGTACCAGGGCCCTAATCCGAGGAGAACCAGGGAGGGCCATGTCGATGAGACTGGGGGGTTGTATCTGTGATTCTGTGAAAAGACTGCATGAGGCGTGGGGACGGGGAAGGGGAGGGGGTATATAGATTTTTCTTTGGGGCCGAATTGATTTGGGAGCATTGGGAGTTGCTTTGCTTTGGATTTGCGTTTTTTTTTGTTGGGAGTACTGCATCTGCTTTTGGGTTCGATTTGGATTTTGGGGTTTGCGATTGTCTTGTCTTGTCTTGTACTTTTTGATTGCTTGCTTGATTGCTTGCTCGCTGGTGGATTGAGGGATACCACCTACCTGCCAGATGTCATTAGGGTTCGCTGCACGTTTGGGTTGGCAAAGGGCAGAGGAGACTTGTCCGTAGTTGCTCGGTAAAAGTAATTGAATGAATGAATGAACGAATGGAATCATATCTTGGGAGCGTGTCATAGATCACAGATGTCATGAATGACGCCGGACGGACGGGGAAGCACGTCACCAGGGACCAAGGGTCTTATGACGGTATATATGGCCTCCAAGGTGCCCAACCTAACCCGATCATGATACATAACGGCAACGTCAACTTTAGCTACTGAGTAGAGTACCAAGGGTCCAAGATCGACCAAGACGGACGGACCAGGGACATCGTATGATACACGAGATGATTGTTCTAGAACCTACAACCCGCACTCGGCGACGACGTGGACTGTGGTCTGTGGACACGGGTTGTGCCCAGAACGGTATGTACCGTAGACGGTAGGCCGAGCTCGGTCAACACTACTACATTCCCTACATAGCCGTTCGTGCGGGCCGGTAGTCTTGGGCGGGCGGGCTTGGGCGGGCTTGGGCGGACGGGCTTGGGTCGGCTTGGGGCGGCTTGGGAGATTCTAGCTCGACGGCAGTCCCAATTGTGTAGTGCGCAAGTGAACGCATCGGGGTGGACGGCAGTGCTCTCGGTATGCTTCCGGGCTTGGGGTATTCTACATAACTTGACGGCAGTCTCCGAGTCTGCATTGTGTAGTACGCCTAGGGAAGCGCAAGTGAACGCATTTGGGACGGACGGAAGTGCTCTCGGCATGCTTCCGGGCTTGGGGTGTTCTACATAACTCAACGGCAGTCTCCGAGTGTGTAGTGCGCCTAGGAAGTTAACGGATCGGGGTGGACGGCAGTGCTTGTTGGTATACTTCCGGACTCGGGGCAGGCTGGGCGGTCGGTGTGGATCGGCCTTGGGCTTGGGGGTTTGACGGCAGGCTGGGCGGTCTTGCGGCTGCGACTGTGGTGTCATCACCGGGAGGAGAGGAGGGTTGGCGCTGCGGGATGTGTCATACACCAGAGACTCCCATATTGTACTTTAGCTAGCCCGGGGGGGGATGGGTCCTTGCAACATGGTACTATCATACCACGAGAGCGGGAGTGTTTGTTTGCTTGTTGACGGCTTGGAATTGAAGACTTGGAATTGGAATTGGTATTGGAATTGGTCTGCAATCGCCACGGAACTTGGAAGGCATCTGTCTCGCACTCGCACTCGAGAGTCGAGATCGGAGTTCGGAGTTCGGAGTTCGGAGCATGGGACAGCTCTCGGATATCACTCACGTCTCTGGTATAACCGCTCATTTCGGTATCCGGCACTTCCACTTCCACTACATATCCGTGGGCGGCAGTAAATTGATGTTCTCTCTCTCTCTTTCTCTCCGCTTCGACTACCCGTATAGCGACAATAGACTGATGTTCTATCTCCCCGCTTCCGCTATCTGTCTATCACGTCACTACAACTCCGAATGAGCTGAGGCCTGGGCTTATATTTCCGGCTCGGCGGCGGTTCGGTGGTTCCGTGAGCAACGAGAAGATTCTCCTACATATGCGCCGAGGGCTTGGGAAATGACACATTTGCCGATTCATTTCCTCGCCGACGCCCAGATTTTCGAATCGGGCTCGGAGCTGCGATTCTGCCTCGCAAGTCGGGCCCGGAGCTGTGATTCTGCCTCGCAAGTCGGTCGGAGCGAAGCACGTGCGGGGTTTCCGAAAGCGGGGGGAGGGGGAGGGAGAGGGGGGGAGGGGGGGGGGGGGGGGGGGGCAGGATCGCCAGGGATTCAGGGTCCTGCGTCGGTACTAGTCAGTTAGTACTGGCTCAGGCTACAAGCGGACCGAACGGCTGACCGGCGGGCTTGGAATCTACTCACATGCCAAGCGGGGGGGAGCAGCAGCGCCCGGGCTGTGCGCACTGTGAAGTGCATGCGCCGTGCGGACGACGCGACGACAGCCAGCTGTCAGTGACTCTCTGTGGCCATGCCCGACAGCCAAGAGCTGGACGGGCATGATACGCGCGTTGCCGCCGCGCCGTTCGGGCTCGGCAGGTTATTTCGGACGTTCGGTGGCAGCCTGGCAGGGGCAATGCAGAAAAGGCTGCGCGCCGGAGCGATGGGTAACGATAGTGCATACCGTATCTACGCCATCGAGGAAGAGCAGCTGTCGTTTGCCGGGAAAAGTCTGAATGGGCTGTGGTGGTCCTGTGGAGAGCGATTACGGTACCACCTGGGAGACTAGGCTCCGATTAGTCGGTGTCACATGTCCTGGCGCTGTGTCTCAACCGCCGTCAGCAGCCTGCAGTTCTCCATGTCACCTAACTACAGCTGAGCGGGACCACAGTCAGATGGAGATGGACGAGCAGAGTACTTAACGACTGTGTGCCGCGGTGCGCAGGAGGTGGATCATCGGCTCGCGTTGTTGGAGAGACACTCTAGCTATCTACCGGTACCGTATTCCGCTCCGTTCCATCGCATGCCTCTGGTGAGTCCGAAGTCGCTTCTTCTCGAGCCCTCATCTTCTCGCTTAATTAGCTCTTTCCTACGTCATCAGCCGCTTCGTCCAGCCCCGGCCTCAGCCACGGGAAAGCTTGTCTCCTCCCAAAACCTCACTAGACTAGCATACCCCGCCGTCTCAGCGCTGCCGGATAGGGCGCATCCATTTCCCGCGATCGAGGCCGGCAGACTTCTTTGTTACTTCGGTTGAAAGAACTCTAAAAACCCCGTGGATCCCCCCTACTGGCCACCTCAACATACCCGAGTCCAGTCCAGTTCATAGACACTCCCCACAATGTCCCGGTCCAAATCTCTAACCCACGGCTCTCCGATGGCCGGCTTCCCACCGGGGCCCCGGTACAAGCTCAATATAACCTTCCACAACGCCTCGCACCTGCCGATCGCGGACGTTCCCAGCTTCACGTCGGACCCGTACATAATCGCGACGCTGCGGTTCCCGGGCACCATGATCCCCAAGATGCACTACCGCACGCAGACCCAGCGGTCGACGCTCAGTCCGTCGTGGGAGGAGACGTGGGTTGTGCGCAATGTGCCCGTGACGGGCGCCATGCTGAAGGTCAAGATTATGGATGAGGACCCCGGGAACCATGACGATAAGCTGGGCGTCACCAGAATGTGGACGGGCAATCTGGATGCGGCGGATCTTTTGCCTGACGAGAGAGGCGGGAAGGAGCTGGAGAAACGTCAGACCCTGAGCACGGGACATGGCACGTGGGTGGGCCTGCTCAGGGTCGCCACGGTTATGGCGGGGTGTGGCAAGTGGGGGGGTAAAGGGCAGGTGGATGTCGGTATCAAGGTCGAGAGGATCCCGAAGGAGGATGCCGACAAGGAGCTGCTGGATAGGGCGTATACTATCTCTCCGAGTATTTTCTCCCGGCTTGAGGGTGTATCTCGGGATGTGCTGACGAGGTGCCGGGAAAGACTGGTGGAGCCAGCACTTCTCGCCGTTGATCGGTATAATCACGCACACGACGGTGGATCTCTCGGCTCCGAACACCAACAGCAATTCCGTGTCGCCCAGGCGGCCACGGATCCAGCATTTCTCGTTCGCGGCAACCAAAATCCAGCTCCCGGGACCGCTCCCACCCTCGCTCGTCCACCAATACGTAGTCTTCCGGCCCATCATCAAGACCTTCTACACCAAGAAGGGGCTGCTGGGAATCGCGCTCAACCGTGCATTGAAACACCAATATAGAACCATCTACAGCTACAACAAGAACACCACATATGGTGTCTGCAATACCGAAGCCTCCAGGGAGGAGCTGGCGCGGAAGTTCCTCGAGTTTACGCACTGGGGCGAGGGCGGGCGGCTGTACACCTACGTGATAACGCTCGACAGCGAGTGGCGGTTCACGGAGACAGGCAAAGAGTTCGGCATCCAGATGTTGAGCAAGGTAAGCCCCCTGCCTTCCTTTCCTCTTCGTCACTGACAGGAGCACAAAGCACACGATGCACAGCAGCGTCAGCATCCACGTCGGCTTCGCGGGCGAATTCTTCGTGCGGCCGCTCGCGATGAAGCAGCACCCGGCGCCACCGACCAAATTTGCCGCCGACCACTCGCCGACCCGCCTCCCCCCCTCAAAGAACATCGCCGACTACGAGCTAGTAATCGACAACGACAGCGGTACGTACCGGCCACCGCGCGAGCACCTGCCTGATCTCCAGCGCTTCCTAGATACCGCCCTTCCGGGGCTCAGAGTCCGTGTCGCGGACGCTTTCGATGAGGACCATATGGCCATGAAGAAAGCGCACACGGAGGAGAAGGAGCGACGGTCGATGACCACCAGGTTTAAGCAGCTGTCCTCGCCAATGGGCAGTGATGATGAGGGGAATGGATCGTGGAGCTCGAGTGATGAGGAGGAGCTGCAGACTGGACGTGTAAGCATCGGTAGGCGGTATAAGAGGAAGCTGTGGAATAAAGTCGAGAATGCGGGCGACTCGGAGGTCAAGGGCGGGAAGGGGAAGGAACGGGCACGGTCGGCGTGAGGTGGGGTGGAATATGGGAAGTGCGCTTAGGATTGTGGTTGTGATTGTGATGGTGATTACGGAATTGATGATACCTATACCTATACCCTGATGACTGTATTTACGCGGGTTATTCTGTAGATAGTTTAATGGTAGCTGGTTTTGTTTGCGGAGGTTGAGGGCTGCTCTGGAGGAGGTCTTACGAGCGTCCACTCCTGCGTAGCTTCATCCATACTTTGTACACACTCGCTTTGTTCATTGCGTTCGACTGTTAGTTACCGATTATGACAGTTGTATGACATCCTACATAACCCGTCCCCTCCAGAGTATGTGGAGTAGAGTAGAGTAGAGTAGAGTAGATCCTACTCCGCTGCTCCGCTGCGGACCTGTGGTGGGTGACGGAACTATGAGTATACCGGAGTTCCCTACATACCTCCCACTGCCCTGCCCGTCTCCTGGCCTCTCCTGGCCGTCTCCTAGGCCGGGTAGTGGCCACAGGTAAAAGCTTTGTCCAGTAACTGACACAAACCCACCGTAAACTGTTGAAACCGAGAGAAGAACTTGCCTTGCTTGACTTGACCGATGTAATGATCCGACATCATCCAAGAAAGATGAGAAATATGCGAAAGCTTCGAAAGCCGACTGCTTGTAATAAGGGAAACGAGCTCGTGTAAACAACCAGATGAAATCTCAGACAGCGGGTGCGATGGTAGCTATCGCCGTCGCCGTCGCCCTCACTGGACTGGGCTAGAGGCTTGAGGGCTTGATGGCTTGAAGGCTTGAAGGCTGGAGGCTTGAAGGCTTGAAGCGAAGAGGGCTTGAGGGCTTGGAGGCTATAAGGCTTGGAGGCTTGAAGGCTTGAAGGCTTACCTAGCTAAAGAGGCGGATTGTGGTGAGAAGTCGTGGACTGAGGGACAATGATAAGTAGGCATAAAGGAAATGGGCTCAGTGTGCAAAGGATAGCGGAAAGAAGTAGTGACACTGGAACGGGCAGTAAGACACATACATACAATGTCAACATGAACTGTTGATATTATACATCTCATTACCCGTTCCGGTATCACTGCTACTTTTCACAGTCTGTTTGCATATTCACTGCCCTCATTTCCTCCGTGGCTGCTTACTACAGTATCATTGTCCATTGTCCATAGCTTCTCATCAGAATCAGCCTCGTCAGCCTTCAAGCCTTCAAGCCTTCAAGCCTTCAAGCCTTCAAGCCTTCAAGCCCCCAGCCCAGTCCGGCGACGACTCTCGAGTCTCGTCGCATCCTCCGTCTGAGGCCCGGCCTTCTCGTCGTCCATACGAGCTCGTTTCTCTTATAAGCAGTCTTCTTTCTCTTCTTTCTCATCCCTCTCGTATCAATACATCAATACATCAATCAATCAAGTCAAGTTCTTCTCTCAATTCCAGCAGGAACAATCAGCCGCACAGCGAGTGACTTATCATGCACTGATGAAAAAGAAATTACGGCTTTTTACCCTCGTGTACCCCTCCAGCGCTGAAATTGCGCCCATGTACCCCCCTTACCTCGATGTACCCCATACAAAATTTCATAATTAAAGTACGGCAATTCTTCGCCACAACAAAACAAAATTTATTTCTCAATCACTGAATATTCCTTTTGTCTACAAGCCACCATTGACCAAGATATCGCGGGGTAGACCGGCAAAAAGCGAGTACAGAAGGGCGACATGCGGAGGAAGAGGTACACTCCTAGCAATGGTAGACTTAGTCTGCCGGACGTGCCTAATAAACCTTCGCCACGCTGCAGCATCTGCACGGGTGTTGGTCACTATGCGCCTAAATCTAGGCAGCCACACAGGTAAGCAATTACTGAACAAACCGAAAAAAAGGCAGCTACATAGGTGGTTCTGGTGGGCAGAACTACAATCTGGCTTTTGGTGGTGGAGAAATAAATCTGTTTTGTTGTGTGAGAAATAAAATTTGTTTTGTTGTGGTGAAGAATTGCCGTACTTTAATTGAACTAAAATCTGGTTTTTGGTGGTGGTGGAGGAATAAATCTGTTTTGTTGTAGTAAACAATTACCGTACTTTAATTATAAAATTTTGTGTGGGGTACATCGAGGTAAGGGGGGTATATGGGCGCAATTTCAGCGCCGGAGGGGTACACGAGGGTAAAAAGCCGAAGAAATTATCAGCTCTAGATACATACCCGCGTTGTACATACTCGAGTATTTCGGAGAGGACTACCAGTCCTGAGTAAGACGACAACAACTGATCGCCACGGCGAGGCCGAGCGGTCGAGCGGTCGAGCAGTCGAGCCCGTACCCACGTCGTCGCCCATCGCCCGTCGCCGCGTTATAGTACCGTACCGGTACCGGCATATCGGCACCGCTGCCCACCCGCTCCCCCGCTCTGTACGCGTCCGGACTCCGCACACCCCCCACCCGCAACAACGACAGCAACAGCGCACGCGCCCACCGGTTTCCCGCGCATCGCTATGAAGCCACGGCACACGTGCGCGGCGGCGACGGGGCGGCACGGCCGATCCCTCGCGGGGACCGAATCCCCCTCCCCGACGCTGCGACCCCACCGCGACCCACCCGTCCACGCTTTCACTTTCGCTTCCGCTGGGACTCCCCGGCCTCCCCAGACTCGGTCGCTCAACCCTGCTGCTGCTGCTGCTGCGGGCCTGCGGCGGCGGCGGCGTAACTACGGTAGAGGGCACATAGTTTAGTGCCCTCGGGATACCCAGAGTAGTACCAGTAGAGTACGGTGCCCCCGGGATAATAGTACGGTGCCCTCGGGATAATAGTACGGTGCGGTGGTGCCCTCGGGATACCTAGATATCGCCTGTGTCCACTGTCCACTGTCTGTTCGATACCTACAACCTACTAGTAACCACAGTAGTACCAGGTAGTACCGGTATGTAGAGTATGCGACCATGCATTCCTACTCTAATTTACCTACATACTGGAGCCTGGACAGTGGAAGTCTGGAAAGTGACTGTGTACACCGTAACTACCGTACATACCAGAATCTCCCAGGCTCCCGGGGGTCGCTATCCTAACTATCGGCACTTGCACAATCTCAAACTCAAAACTCAGGCCGCACTCAGGCCCACCACCGGCACCACCACCACCACCTCCTCCTCCTCCACCGGTGCGCAGAGTAAACGCGCCGCCTGAATGCGCCCAGTAAATGCGCCTAGGAAATTAGAATTATATCATAGGGAGGGTTGCTTTTCGGAATCCGAAACACAGGGATCGTCGCATAAGAGTCTAGTAACTATCGACATCCCCAAGACATTGGACGCGCCAACTGGCAGTCTGGCAACCCTGTGAATCGACTGCGGTATGGATGGATACCTAAGAACTCGAATAACCAGCTAACCGTTCTTTTCATTTTTGTTGCGCAATATGTAGAATAAAGTATGCACCGAGAACTCGAGAAAACACTGAACCGAAGTGGGTATCCGCAGACCGCCCCTCATTTTTGTCGGGAGTAGGTAGGTAGGTACATAACAAACACAGAAAGTACATGATCACCAGCCACAGCCACAGCACGTTGCGCGAGTACATAGAAGTATCATAGGTAGAGGTATCAAGAATAAACATTGAAAACGCCGCAAGCAACGCCAGACAGACAGACAAACATCGCAAAACCTCCGAAACGACCAAAAAAAACGTAATATACACCCAATCATTTCCCCGCTCGGTCCTAACCCGGCAGGGCGCCCATTCCCGCGCCCGAAAACGGCATCCCCCTACTGCCAAGCTCCATATTGCTATCGTCCTGGGCCTGCAACGTCCGCTGAACATCGGACCTGTGTATGGGGGTGGTCTCCTTCGCCAATCCGAACGCCGTGTGCTTCGACAGCAGCGGGTCGCTCTCGTGGCCGGTGCGGTCGGGATCGATAACGCCGAAGCGTAGCTCGGTGCGCTCGAGCTCCTTTGGCATGGGGTCGCCGCCGAGCGCCACACCGGGGTACATCATCACGAGCTTGTCGAGCGTCGTGTTTCGTGTCGTCACGAGAATCTTTGAGAATGTCGTGTCTGAGCACATGCCGTTGTGCCGGATCGACATGCTGCCGATTATGATGGCGCAGAAGGAGAGGAAGATCGCGATCGAGTAGCCGATCCAGAGAGAGCTGGGCACATAGCGGAATCTGTTCTCGTACCTCCTACAAATAGAAAAAACTTTGTTAGCATCGGAACGGCACTCGTCGAGTAAGCAAGGTGGCAGAGGGCGTACTTCTTCTGACAATCAACTTCTTGGTCGATCGAGACTTCCATGAATGGCTCGGATATAAACGACATGACGAGATCCTCGTAGAAATCGTGCAACGTAGTCACGAGGTCTGCGGCAGCCCATGCAGTCTTTCGGTTCGCAAGTCTCGTTGGAGACATCTTCGTGTGCGTGACCACGTTGCTGGTGGAGTTGTCGAGGATCAAAGTGCCCTCCAGGATGTTTCTCATCTGCGTTCCAATGGTATAATATGCGACGAACTCTTTGTATCTCTCCATGTCCGGACGGGGCCCGATCTCGCTGACTCCCCATCTGGAGAAGAGTGTCCTGCTTTCCGTGATGGTTGCTTTGCGATGTGCCAATCGGTCGTTGGTCCACTTCGAGGTGACCCGGTAATTCGCTTTTTCGTGCACGCATTTCAACGCTATGGGTTCCATGACGTGGGGCCATCGTGCTCGTGTGCTGGCGTCTTCGTTTATCCGGGTGGTGTTGGTTACCTGTGCAATCCAAATATCTGGATCGATCCGGAAGATTCCCTGGTTCGAATAATTGGTGTCATTGTAACCATCCTGTGGCAGTTTGTAGCGCAAACTCTCATCCGGGTCTTGGGTTATTGCTTGAAAGATGTAATTCCGTCCCTGCTGAGCCAACGGGGCTGACTGCGGAGCAAAGTCGGAACGGTTGAATGGTGATGCATCCCAGTTCTGCCTGGAGCAGTTGTACCACGGTCCCACAAACTGCCGGCAAAGTCAATTCCCACGATCACTAGTTACAAGCTGTCCGAACCGACTAACCTGTAGATCATATGTGCAGTTAAACCCGGCGCACGGCGAGTCCCTCTCGGGGACGAGTCGGTCGGTGTAGATTGAGAGCTGCGTGATGCGATTGGTATTTTGCGACGGTTGGTCGTACCAATCCGCTACGGACTGTGCGGGCGGCGGCGGGGTGGTGTTGAAGAATGCGATATTGAACCCCATCTGTCCGTGCCGGGGGCTTCGCCAGTCGGAGACCGCCTCGAGCGTGAAATTGACGGACTTGACGTTACACCGTTCGTCGTAAGTGACTTCGCGGAGCTGTGCTGTGAGGGAACCCGGGGACATGACCGATGCGATCGGGATCAACCATGTCGCGAGGGCCATCACCGACGCTACCTTGGCCTTGACAAATATTTCCGGCGCCAGGATGAACCAAGTCGGATCCTCCACCACGGAGAATAGAGCATCGAGTCCCCTGACCGATATTGGCTTTTCTCGCAGCGTCTGCCATAACCGTTGTCTGTGGCCACATGATCAGTAATCCTTCCCGATAAGCACCCCCCTTACCCCTCATCCACCCGAGGAGTCGAGGACTGAACGGAGTCACGAACCGATAAGACAACACAACCGCTCCCACCAGTGCAGCCTTCGTGCAAAAGGCCAGGAACACACCGGTTCGAGTCATGAAAAGCTGGTTGACGGCTGGCTCGCCGTCCAGAGAGGTGTTGAAGAGGTGATGCCCCAAAGCACCCATGCATCCGACCAGGAAGATCACCACCATGCTGGTCGGCACGTACCAATGTACGCCCGTGCTCCATTTTCGCAGCATCTCTTCCGTCTTTGAGAGGTTGCTGAAGGTCCTGTTGTACCGAGACCGGAAGCGGCCGGGCGGATCCGATATGAACGGAGTCGTTGATTGTGTACCGACGGAAGCGCGGTGATCGTCCCCGGGTGCGGGGAGCGCGGAGTATTCGGTGTCGTCGTACGGACGGAGAGGCTGCTGCTGAGGGTTGGGCGATGTTGGGGAGAAGAAGAAGTGGTCGGAGCCGGGCGTGTAGGGGGAGGGCGCACCGTAGCTATTAAAGTGTTCGCCTTCGACGCCGTGCGTTCGATAACTCGACATGGTGTCCGGTAAGGCTCCGGTGGGCCTTTATGCTGGTGCAACGGGCGATGTTGTACCTGCTTGGAATGGGGGCTGGTAGGTTATAGGGGAGGGGTGGGGTGGCTGGCCTTCACGAATGCGGATATGTTCAAAGGACGAGCGACCATATAGAGCACAGTGGGGCCTGAGACGGGAGAGTCAGACTTGCAGCGTCGAAGATGAGAGGAGGTGGAAAAGAAAAGACGCAGCAGATGTCCCTAGACCTCAATGCCAGCTTCCCAGCCCAGAACGGCCAATCAGCAGTGGCCGCAAGGCTGGGCGAGACAGTGATGCGCCCATAAATAGAGAAATAGAGGAGCTGACTGATGTGCTTGCATTTCTCCAGGATTCGGTAACGAATCAGGAGCAGGACTGCCGGGTGGTCTCGGCCCCCTTCGCAGGGCTTAGTGCTGGCAGGCTTCGCTTGCAAGAGCGAGATCCTTCAGCGTGTCACGGATGATCGTGATGGAAGGCCATCGTGCCGGCGAGAGAAACATTCCAGTCGAATGGTTTCGAAGGCGCACTGCTCAAGCCACAGAACTCAGGGCACCGTCTCCATCGCAAGTGCGGCTCTGCTCTCCGTATTGCGAGAGGGGCATTTCTGTTCACCATCACAATCTGCACGAGGGCAGCGGCGGTGGTGGTGGTGGTGGTAGTATCTAGTACATAGTGGTAGTGGCTGTAACTCACTAACGAACGCTAATTAGGCAGCAGTATGCTCGATGCACCGCCCCCGCTTCGCACTGTGGCGTCTTGCCTTTTGTGGGAACAGGCGGTTCGCTTGGCTGGTCTCCGCCAATAAAGTACCGGTGAGACGCAGCTAAAGTGGGCAGAGGACGAACGACTCTGCAAGACAACTGTTCGTGTGCCGCCAGTATTACACGCCCAAGTGTCAGCGTAGAAAGGCGAAGCAATTGCAGATACCAGCAGTATGATATTCATGATGGGATCACGTAGATAACATTTCGCCTCCAGATTACTCTAACTACGCCCGACTTCTCCACGTCCAGCACGCTGAGCCCCATCTTCACGAGTGATGCCTAGATCTTTGCGTAAGATGCTTGGATGCACTCTATCATGTAAAGTAAGTACCCGCTAGTCATGTAGAGTACTACCAGAATATGTGCCATGGCTCCGCCGCAGGACACTTCGCTGGGTTCATAGCCTAGGTACAGCTGCATGGAATCCTACATCTCTAAAAGGAAGCAGCTCGAAGTGTCTAAACGCCAGGTAGCAGGTACTTAACACGCCGGAGTCGGGGATAGGACAGTTCACTCCGGGTTTCATTCCCCGACTGCGCACGTAGCCTCCCTTCCCCCTCCCGACTTCCCATGCAATTCAACAAAGCACCCACACGCCTCTTCAAAAAGCCGATGCCGATAGGAATTTTCCCGTGGACGAGAGTGGGAGTCTTGTCTTACGCGTGTACGATATGTAGAGTATCGAGGATCGCAGCGTTTGCCAAAACTGCCGCTCGCCGAGCCGAGTAACGCTGTATTCTTTTCTTTCCTTTTCTTTTATTGTTATTATTCATCATTGCATTCAACCTTATTCGATCAAGGCAGTCATATATAGAGTGTGTACTCCATATCCTCCCCCACTGTCACCAAGACTCCGACCGCTGTCCATGAACTCCACGTGGGTTCACTGTCGCTCTCCGCCCATGCCAGCCGTCCGATAACTAAAAGAAGGAGAATAAAAGACAGGGAAACGAAAGTCGACACAAACAAACAAAGTTTTACGCGCCCGTCCGCCGGTCGTCCGCCCAGTGTCCACTATCAACAGCCGGTCCAAGTCCACTACTGTAACATGTCCCTCGGACTCCGCTCGGTCAGCTGGTCAGACTACGTCGATCGGTCCATAGTGCGTGGCCATATAACTACCGTAATCGACGGTTTTTATATATGGACGGGCTGCGTCATACCGAGTGGCTGCACGTCGCGTTTACATATATAAGCATACCGTACCGTACTGTCAGATACATAACTACCTGGCCGGGTCTACTTCATGGTTCGGATAACGCGGATGGTGACTTCCAAGATATCAGCAGTACATACAAATACCAACATCGCTGGGCAGAACTGTATACCGTATGTAGAGTACGTGTCTAGGTAACTAGGTCCAAGTGAACGTACGTGACTGGTCTAGGTAAGGAGCCGGAAATGAGGTGGTCCCATCTTCTCTCAACGTGTTGATGTGAACCCTCCGTTCGTTTTCCTCCGGTATCTTCTTTAGTACATACATAACATGTATCTGTCCAGCAGTTCCGGTGGTCGATCCGCGTAGGTTCGCCATTTTGGGTATCCCGAGGGGTACGGTGGAACGTGATTGGGAATTCGAACTGCCGGAAGGAAAGGTGTGATAGACTGATATAGTAGTCATTGCTGGTCTTCGCGAGCAAGCAAAAAGTCATATATAACAGCAGTACGCAAGCTGTTCAAATTTCATGGTCAGATTCCATTACAAAGCTCAACCGTTTAATCCAAGTACCACGCGCAGGCCAAAACGAATGCTAGCAACAGAGCAGAGCAAAAAAGAGTGATTGAAACTGAGCGGCCATCTCCATCCACTTCGAAGTAGGTCTGGGTCATGAGATCGGGATCAAAAGTTAACAGTGACAAGGAATCAAAGGACCACCGGTAGGGTGATAATTCCACTAGATATAAGAGTTGTGTTCATCCCTATATACAACGAACGAACGGGCAAGCGCTAAGCTCTACTGGCAACTCATTAACTACCCAGGCCGGATGCAATAAAAAGAGTGATCTACAGTGACCGAGATGGTCACGAGTTACATCTATGAGAGGTAGAGAGCGTACATACTCTGCACGCCCTGCTGCGTGCGTGTAGTGGCAACACCGTTAGAAGCTGTCCTTCTAAGTAGTGTTAGGAGGTTAGGTTCAAATCAGGTCGGTGGGAGACGAGGTGGGCTGGCGGGTGCAGCGACATGAGGAATGACTAGCTAAGCGGGCATGGCGGTAGCTCGGGGATGCAAGTGATCTTGAGCGTCTCTCCGTCCACCGCCACGGCTAGAGTACAATGTGATTGTCTCACTACTTAGGAAACAAGCGTACGAATAATGGGCACTGCCGCCGGAAAGTACTCCGAGTCTCGGGCACGAACAAAGAACCAGGCACTGCCGCTAGAAGGAAGCTACTCGGACATGAAAAAAGAGTCAAGCACTCCGCTTCAACTACGTTTAGAGTATAAGCACTTTTACGTATTAGGTGAACGTGCATGATATGCGATTTGTGATAGGTAAGATGATTCACAACATAGCACTCGTTTTGATACCTCCGCGGCCATTTCAAGTCGCGCAGTCTCGGAAACCGAGCAGTAGACAGGATACCTAGACAATCTATATGACCTCTATATCACCATGGATTGTGGATATCATTCTTGATATCGCTGTCGTGCTTCGTAATGGCGCCATAGGCGTAGAGGCCATCTGCGTCTACATCGATGTTTATGTAGGCCTATTGGCCTGTGTATACATACTCTTAAGTGCCGATTTCTTTGCGTTAGACTCTGTATTAATTCAGCTGACTGCAGTAGTTTCCTCTTACAATACTTTCTTTGCCTCTTATGGTTATGTTGATCATACGTAAGTGCTTAAGTTACTCGTACTTAGGTGGCGTCGGTACGCTGATGGGATTAGTTCAAAATACTTGGTTCGGTACCGAATGCGAATTGTATGTGCATAGCATTGCGCATGTCTTCAGGTCTGAAGTTAAAGACCCTAGCGTCGTGCACGGTTGGGGTTGGTTTTAGGGATGGCCGAACTGGGGATCCCCGAACTGAATGGCAAGCAGGCTCTTAGTTGTTTTTCTGATTCCTTCCACCTCGAGGCTCCGGAGTCTTTGGTCTGCTTCACCACCAGTGACCACTGGGCCACAGCTCTGACGCCAACACTCCAGGACGAGCTTGGCCGGTAGGTAAAAGTATGGCCGAGTCCTCGAAACAAGCCAAAGAATCGATCACAAGTGCCTCGATTCGAGCTTCGCCAGCAATGCTATTGTGAGCACGAGTAACACGCCTTGGTCTTCGCCATTTACTCATCTTCCCATCCCGTTCCCGTATCCTGTGCATGCACCCGTAAACCGCTGCACACCGCCATGAAGGCGATACTTCATGTGTTTCCGTATTCCGCGGAGAAGGTGGACTGAAAATATGATACTCGCGCATGAACCGGCTGCCACCAAGAAATTTCGTCGAGTTCAGCTTGAAGGTTCGGGCGTTCTCTTCCTGATCCTAAAGTCATTCCCCTTCGCTCAACCTTCAGCTATTCATCTCCACATTCCAAACCTTCTCGAGACCAAGCAGCACCTCAATCGACGACAGCCATCACAGACAAAGTCCGAGACCGAGGAGCTTTCCACAAGCTCGTTGCAGCCGAGTCGTGAAGGTCGAACGCGACCTGTAGCTTCGGAGCTGCCGCGGAGAAAGTCGAAAGAAAGCGGCTTGGCGTTACGTAACCTGAGCACCATCAGCAACCTGTTATACGAGGGCAAGACCTCTGTTTTTCCCTATTATTACTCCGACCTCTGTCCTTCCTCTCCTTCACGGGTGCGTGCTGGTGTTTTTGTATGCTGGGTGATTAGTCCAGTTACGGTCGACAACGGACATCGATTCGAGCGAGCTGTCAGGTACCCGCCTTCGTACTCCACAACACGCCGAATGTCGCGACGAAAGTACTCTATCCTCCAGCACCTTGAGCTCGACGACCATGGCGCCGGGAAGCACTCCTACTTGCCGCGCGGAGTCGGAATCACTCGTGATCGCAGGGTTGAACTCGGTTGCGAGTCAACGTTGCAAGAGAACTGCCCTCACGGGTGAGTATGACATGAAAGATCTCATAAGATGTATTCGCGAGCTAAAAGAAAATTACGGAATAGACAACAAAACTCCAAAACGCTTTATATACAATCATTAAACCCAGACATCACCGACCACAACTACCAACCGCCAATCCCGCTCTACTGGCTCAGCTGTCCCTTAGGGATAGGTCGGATCCACGACACACTCAGGTTGATGGCGATCATGATTACTCCCGAGAGCCAGATGGACTGGCCATAATTGGTGCTGTTGTATCGGAAGATGATGGCGAAAACGATACCTCCGAGGTTACCGCAGGCACCGACGACGCCGGAAAGGATACCTATTACGGAGATCAGCATTTGTCAAGCACACTAGAGTTTGCGCTGGGCTTACCGTTGGCATGAGGGAAGACATGGGGGACCACTGCAAAGTTCGCACCGTTGGCAGCATCCATGAAGAAGGCCATGAAAACGACCAGACCGACCATGGTGGCATGGTCCTTGCTGTCCAAAAAGCCGATGACGACGCACAGACAGCCCATGGCCACACCGACGAAGATGAGCCAGAACTTTTTGGCTACGATAGAGCCCTTGGTCGCGCGGTAGATGATATCCGCGATGATTCCACCAGCAGGACGGAAGAAAACATTGACGAGACCGAACATCGCAGCCCTTTGATATCATTGTAAGTTTTCATTCGATGCTTCGTTTCTGAAGAAGCGACATACCATTGTCCGGACTTGGTCTGTCCCAGAGAGGGGAAATTCTTGTTGTAATAGGCACCGAGAATACTGTTGATGGCGAGTTCTCCACCGAAAGAGCAAGCGTACGGCGCCGAGAGCAAAAGACACTGCAAACTGAAGATAACGCCCATGGCTTCCTTGAATGTGGGTGCTTGAACGATCTCGCTCTCCGCAATCTTCTCCACCTTCTCGGCATCGATTCCGGCCTTGTGGGCCTCGACATCCTTGACCTTCTCGTCCACAATATCCGAGCGTGCAGATTTGTCATCGGAAGTGGGTAGATCGGTGATATGGCCAGTTGCGTCCACGATCTTTCCCTCGATTGCGGCCTGGTGTGCCGTCTGGTGTGCGTGGAGATGACGCTCACTCCATGGGCCTATGGTACACTTGTCAGCCATGCATACAAGGCAAGATTTAATATGGCAGACTCACCGGTTGGGGTATCCTCGCAAAGGAGGAGCATTCCCACTGCGGTCGCAGTAATCAAGATGAACGGAACGATGAAGGAAACTCTCCAGGCGACGTGCGGGGTAAGGCCTCGTTGCGTGACGAGGGAGTCGAAAAGAGCGGGCATAACGAAGTATGTGATTCCACCACCGGCGTTTCCGAGACCGGCCATGAGAGCATTCGCCGTTCCAACCACAGATTTGTCGAAGAATCCGGTACTCCATACCTGGCAAGGAACGAAGGATGCACCCAGGATACCAATGAAGAATCGCAGAATGAGCAGACCAGTGGCGTTGGTAACGGTTCCAGCAAGAGCTGTGGGAATCGCACCAGCGAAAAGAATTGCAGCGAAGACATATCTCGGGCCATAACGATCACAGAGCGGCCCCACCAGTGCGCGCACCACGAGAGTTGCAGTCAAGGCCAGGATATTCGAGTTCGCTATCTCGTTTTGGGAAAGATGGAGGTCTCCTTTGATGGTTTTGGTCATCTAGTTGAGAGGAGTCAGTGGCCCGTCATGGATGATTCGTGAGGTCTCTAGTGCATCTGGACTTACCAATGGAGGAAACGCGTACCAAGATAGGAACGCGATCAGGAAACCGAATGTCGAGAAGAAGAACGTCCGTCCGTACATGTTTACCGGGTTGAACACTGGTACGGAAAGAGCCTTTCGGTTCACTGGGTTGATGGCCGGAGCCTTCCAAAGGACACTGATACCCATGGTTGCTGATCGTTTCTGACGGTTGGAAGTTGAAATGGAGTCTGGAAAGGCGAAGACGGAGTGGTGATCAACTGGTCTTCCGGTCTTCTGTTCGGTCTCTGATATGTGATTATATTCTGGTCGGTCAAGGCCTCTGGGCTACTTATATCTCGGAAAAACTCAGAGATATAGATAACTGCCTCCGTTGCTCGTACGGGAGGTTTCGTGAATGGGGGTTTGGGGGTATGGGGGTACGGGGGCTTGGAGGGCTTGGAGGACTTGGGACAAACCCAGCCGCACAATGGGGCTGATAGGAACTTTCAATTCTTGTTCAATGTCTCCTTCACGGAGAATGCCCATCTAAACCAAGAACCCTCTTGCGGCCCTATTCCAAGTCAGCAGCTGCTGGAGTGCCACTGTACATCTTGCCATAAGCAGGTATGTATGCAACTCTATCTCTTGATACCTTAACTGCCACCGGGTGCGCTATTTCGCGATCGTCGGCTTCGGCTCCAATAAACGTTGACTCCCGCGGTAATTGGGCCCGATTTCCTTCCGAGATATCTGTATGCAGGTCGTCTTTCGGCGGGTGGAAGGGCAGGTACGCCGTCGCATCGTTTCTCCGCGGATTTTGGGCCGATAGAGTACGGAACCAGGGGTCTGGGAGAAAAGATTTTTGTGACATGGACGAGAACACCCTGAGCACGCGTAGGATCTCGCCAAGCAACCCAGCTCCTACGCGATCGGTGCTGATTGGGCCGTCGAGGACGCCATCACGATACGACAGCTGGCTTTCTTCTAGTGCGGGCGCATAGAGGGGGGCGTGATAAGATGTAGATAGGCTCTTTATCAAGGCGCGCTGACACCTGCCTTGACGTGCGCTTTTCCGCGGAGCACTTTCACATACCGCGTCGACAGGTTCTGGGTTGCTCGGCCTGCATGCAAATTGCTCGCCTCCGCCGATTGCTGCCGGGCCCGGGTCTAAACTACAACCCGCGAGGGGCCATGTTCCCGAATTACGGCGACGGTGGCGGACTGATGTCGAAATTTGGGGGTCAGCCTAGTACATCGTGGCTCGGGTCTTTGCACGAGGTCCTGAAGTATATGGTCTCGGACAAAGCCGCTAACTTACCGGTCGGCCTGCCGGCAGGTTTAAACTAAGCTCGCCTTGCCATAGGATACTGAAGAACTGCAGAAAGTGACCAAAAACCCTCCCGAGACTCGAATCCTCCCCCACCCCCCGTGTCTGCGCACTATTTCTCCTCGATCGATTGAGCCTGGTATTACGCTTTTGCACTGCCTGCCTTTCCAACATCGAACCAGGTATACGCGGGACATACGTACTGTTCTTTCTCGTGCATATTGTATCTTTCCCGCGGACTTTCGTGTGGAAAATTGAGGGCGGTACCGGCGGTTGTCAATATCAACTCTCCATACACCACCCGGTTTGGTTTTATTCAGACTTTTTACCCCCTCTATTTACGCGTTTCGATTGAATCGACTCCAACTCCCAACTTCTCTCAAGCCAGAAACTCACAGCAATATGACTACAGCCATCAGATTCCCGGACGTGGGAATGAAGGAGGGAATCCCATTTCCTCCGAGTCCTCCGCGGTCCGAGAGGGAAGATACGGAGTCGGTACACTCGTCGTCCTCGACTTCGGCAGCAGATGAAGTCGATATCCCTATGCCGCCTCCGTCATTGAATCCCACAAAAGTCCTGGACATAGATGTAAACACACCCGATTTCCATGTTGCCAGAGACCCTCGACTGGTACGACTGACCGGTGTCCATCCGTTCAACGTCGAGGCTCCCCTCACAGCACTGTTTGACGAAGGTACGTTAGATTATTTCCTATTCAACCGTACGATTCTCTAGCTAACGTTATTTCCTTAGGATTCCTCACTTCCCCAGAGCTCTTCTATGTCCGGAACCATGGAGCCGTGCCACAGGTTTCGGACGAGGAGATTCCCGATTGGGCCATTTCCATCGAAGGCCTGGTGGAGAACCCGATCACCATCACTTTCAAGCAGGTCCTGGAAAAGTACGAGCAAGTCACAGTGCCTATCACGCTTGTGTGTGCCGGAAACCGAAGGAAGGAACAGAATCAAGTACGGAAGTCACAGGGGTTCTCATGGGGTGCTGCCGGTGTCTCGACGAGTTTGTTCACCGGGCCAATGCTGGCCGATATCATCGCGAAAGCGAAGCCGACGAGAAAGGCACGGTTTTTGTGCATGGAAGGTGCGGATCAGTTGGTAAGTACAGTTGCGACTTGAGATGGTATTCTGAAGGGTGAAACCTAACGACTTATTCAGCCCAACGGTAACTACGGAACCTCGATAAAGCTCAGCTGGGTGATGAACCGCGAGCGTGGTATCATGCTGGCTCACAAGATGAACGGCACACCGCTGACACCGGACCACGGCCGTCCCATCCGCGTCGTAATACCCGGCCAAATCGGCGGACGGAGTGTGAAATGGCTGAAGCGCATCATCATCACCGACAAACCCTCGGACAACTGGTACCACAAGTACGATAATCGGGTTCTTCCAACTATGGTCACGCCCGAGATGTCGAAGCAAGACGACAAATGGTGGAACGACGAACGGTACGCTATCTACGATCTTTCGGTCAACTCGGCCATCGCCTATCCGCAAAACGACGAGACGCTGCTCCTCGGTGAAAATTGCCCTGAGTTCTACCGGTTCAGGGGATACGCGTACAGCGGAGGCATGCGGAGGATTACTCGTGTTGAAATCTCGTTGGATAAGGGTGCCACATGGGAACTTGCCGACATCAACTACCCCGAGGATCTCTACAGAGAGACGGAGAAGGAACTTTATGGTGGACGCCTCGACATGGCAACGAGGGATGCATGCTACTGTTGGTGTTTCTGGGAACTCCCCATTGCGGTCAACAGGCTCGTGAACGCGGAGGACGTGGTGGTCAGGGCAATGGACGACAGCATGACGATACAACCTAGGGATATGTACTGGTCGGTCCTCGGCATGATGCAGAACTCGTGGTTCCGCATCGCCATCCAAAAAGATTCTCAGGGCATGCTCAAATTCGAACATCCCACGATGCCAGCACTACAGCCTGGAGGTTGGATGGAGAGAGTCAAGAAGGACGGCGGCGACTTCGGCAACGGAAACTGGGGGGAGAAGGTGAAGGGCCAACTCGAGGACTCCACCATCACCCCCGAAGTCCCGAAGGAGGAAGTCAAGATGACCAACGACGATATCAAGCGCATCATTGAGATCGAAGAACTACGCCTGCACGACAACAAAGACGAGCCGTGGTTTGTTGTCAAGGGAGAGGTCTACGACGGTACACCCTTCTTGAAGGAACATCCTGGAGGCGCTGTGAGCATCATCTCTGCTGCCGGACAGGACGCTACGGACGAGTTTGTGGGAATCCGTATGTTTTTTCCATTTCACCCCGTACCTTCCTACAACCCCTAGCTAATACATGACCAGATTCGGAATCTGCGAAGGCTATGATGCCGAAGTACCACGTCGGCACTCTGTCATCTGCAGCACAAGAAGCACTTGCAAACAAATCTACGGCCTCAGATACCTCATTGTCCAACAACGCAATCTTCTTAAACCCACGATCATGGCGTTGCGCCACTCTTATTTCCAAGCGTGAAGTCTCTTGGGACACAAGAATTTTTACCTTTTCCCTCGACCATGCTACGCAAACTCTTGGGCTGCCTGTGGGACAACATCTCATGATCAAGCTCAGAGACGCCAAAGGCGAAGTGATAGTTCGGCCCTACACACCCCTCTCGGACGATACGTCGGCGGGCACCGTTGAGGTCCTCGTAAAAGTCTACTTCGAGGAACTCGAAAAGGGCACGAAGGGCGGAGAGATGACTCTAGCGCTGGACGCTTTGTGTATGTTTACCTTCCACCCACCTCACCCGCTGAAGTTTTTTTCAGAGACTAACGTGGCGAATCCACAGCACTTGGACAGCAAGTCGACTTCAAAGGCCCAATAGGAAAATTCACATATCTGGGTGGGGGTCAGATCTCGCTGGAGGGAAACACTCGCACCGTCAGGTCGATGACCATGATATGCGCCGGCTCCGGTATTACGCCCATCTACGCAGTGCTACGGGCCATCATACAAGACGCCACAGACCCAACCAAATGCGTGGTTATCGATTCGAACAGACAGGAGGGCGATATTCTCTGCCGGCAGGAGCTCGATGCTCTGCACGAAGCAAACAGGGCCCGGATGACCCTGGTGCACACCCTGACTGCGGGAGAGGAGAGCTGGACTGGAAGGAGGGGGAGAATCAACAGGGGCTTGGTGGAGGAGGTGGGCAGTGGCGCGGATCTATGGTTAGTCTGTGGGCCGGAGGGCATGGAGGATGGGGTACGAAAGATTTTTGCGGATATGGGGGTATCCAAGACGGATGTCGTGTTTTTCTAATTCTTGGGGGCATGTTTTGGGGGTTATTTTCTATATTTCTGGCTATATCATCGATGTTTGCACCTTTGGGACTGGATCTTTAGGTTCAATTTTCTTTTGGTCAAAGTCTATACATGTACTCAGTGGTGACCGTGGGGGAGGAGTTGAAGATACAGATTGATACCATCCACTCATTCGTATAAACGAATTAGACTTTGCGAATAATCTGTGAAGTCAGTGTGGCCAGTGGTTTGGATGTGCAGCGAGGGACAGTGTCTGAGTATAAGGATGTGGATCACATGTTCCCTTGAGTTTTTACGGTGCAGATCGGTGGATATTCACAGGCAACGAGGCCTCAACCGCGACATATTGCCGGGGGTTATGAGATCTAGATCGAGCGATTGGATCCACCGCCCCACCGCCCCACTGGCCTGTGGTCCATCCAGTTCATCGAACCAGAATTCAAAAATATCCGAAACAGCGGCCCCCACATCATTCTTACGACTGTATGACGCTTCTGTCTGATTCCTCCCGGTTTTCGGTACATGTAGGTATCGTAGTATAGCAGCCGGTTTTGACACCCCCACGACTGCATCCCGCGCTCTCGTGTACCGTTATAATGTATGTCTGGTGAGTGGTTGATCGCGATTCGCGAATGGTAGTGTACCAAGAAACTCGGAATCCACAATGCCCACAGCGCCAGGCGCCGGTGCAGATCAAGACTATAGTACCACTTCATCCGCACCCACTAACTACCGGTGCTCCCCACACGACACCCCGCGATAAACAATACCCACGCGACAGCCTGTAGATACTCGCCACCCCACGGCAAACAAGGCACAAAATGGGGGTTCCCGGACCGATCAACCCCATATTGCTCACCTCTGGGGCCGGGAACGTTGGGGTACCCGTATGTGCATGGGTTATAGTTATTCCTGCCGGAGATATTCTCCGCGGGTGCGGCCGCGATCCCTACATATCCCGCTTCAACGCTCGGAAAAACAAGGGCGCCGGTCCTGAGTCAGGTACATGCCGTATGATACATACCACATGCTCGCTTTTGACTTTGGATGTGTCGTTCGAAGGACAAAGGTCCCGCGGAGAAGATCTGCGGGCGCTTGAGCTTTGGCCTGGGCTAGGACATGGAACTGGGCTTGGGGGCTGCACAGCCTTATCGGAGGTCGGAGAGAGCACTCGGTTCGAATTATAGTGTAATAGACCCCTGGTGATGATCTATCTCTCACGTTCGCTGTATACGTTAGGTGCCGAAGTAGGCAGATATGGGGTGGCACGTTCATTGATGACACCATGGATATCTATCTGTCAGAGCAGTTTCCTGCCGAGCCGGTAACAGGCTACTACGCTGGAGGATGTTCGGATTAGTTTTACCTGTCGTAGGAGTGGTACCGATTATCTGGGGCCGTTTGTTTATGTGAAGATAGTGGCGGACAAGGCTAGATAATTCCCAATGCAGCTTGCAACTCGGCATGCCGCCCCACGGCAGGTTTTCCGCGGGTGCTGCTCCGATTGCGACGGCCGCATGGTATGAGAGAGAAAAAAGCTGTAATGCCGGGTGGACATATACCCACCGCATTCCTGCCATCTCGAGAACCTGTTTCCTTCATTCACAGATACACCGTCATCTTTCATTCTCCCAGTTGAACTATCAGTTTCCGTACAGAGTGCCGTGATATACTTTTCAAGCCTGAGGGGCAGTATTCCTTCGCATCCTACCCATAGCCTGAGCGCTGGTCCACCACATCAACCATGGAGGACCTCTACGACTCCGGCACGGCAACCCCGGCCACCACCGTCTCCTCCGATGAACCGACTTGTACGGCTACAGATGGTCGTAAACGCGTGGTGATTGTCGGTTTAGGCATGGTGGCCATCTCGTTCATCGAGAAGCTGCTCAAGGCCGACCCGGACCATACCTGCTTCTCGATCACTGTTATCGGCGAGGAAGCCCATGTCGCCTACAATCGTGTCGGCCTCACTTCCTTCTTCGAGCACCGCAAGATCGAGGAACTTTACCTCAACCCGAAGGAATGGGTGTGCATTCACAACACTTCCCTTTTAAACAAGCGAGTACTGATACGTTGCAGTATGATTCGCAACCGGCACTGAATCATCACCTCTCAACCCGGGTGACCGAGATTCTTCCCGAAACCAGGGAGGTGAAGACCTCTGCCGGCACCACTGTGCTCTACGATGTTCTCATCCTCGCCACGGGCTCCGACGCCGTGGTGCCTGCCGATACGCCAGGCCACGATGCCACTGGAGTGTTTGTATACCGTAATATCGCCGATCTGGAGCGCATGATCTCGTACTCGGCCAGTGTAACTGGTAGTACGGGATTGGTTGTCGGTGGTGGGCTTCTCGGCCTCGAGGCTGCAAAGGCCATGATGGATCTGAATCAATTTGGCGCTGTCAAGTTGGTCGATAAGAACCCGTGGGTGCTGTCGAGGCAACTTGATAGGGATGCGGGAGGATTGGTTATTGAGAAGGTTGAGGAGCTCGGCCTGGAGGTGTTGAAGTGCCACAAGATTGAGGAGATCAAAACCGACCAAACGAATCAAGTCGTCGGGGTGAGGTTTATTGATGGGAAGGAGATAGAATGCTCGAGTATCTGCTTTGCCGTAAGTTTCTCCGGCTAGAGTTCCCATGAAGAAAGTGAATCTGACCGAACGATAGATCGGAATCCGACCGAGAGACGAGCTAGCCGCTTCGGTAGGGATAAAAACCGCCAGAAGAGGTGGTTTCATCATCGACAAGAATTGTGAGACCAATGTTCCTGGCATCTATGCCGTGGGCGAGTGCGCAAGTTGGGACAACCAAACTTTCGGTCTGATCGCTCCCGGAGTCGAGATGGCCGATGTTCTTGCTTTCAACCTCTGCCAGTCTACACTGTTCGGCGGCGACCAACCGCCGAGAGCATTCCGTCGACCGGATCTCTCAACGAAGCTGAAGCTTCTGGGAGTGAATGTTGCGTCGTTCGGTGATTACTTCGCGGATCGCGACGGGCCGCAGGAGGCCACCGAGAGCCCGGGAATAAAGGCGCTCAGCTATAAGGATCCCTTCGAGTCTGTCTACAAGAAGTATCTGTTCACTGCAGACGGAAAGTACCTTATCGGCGGTATGATAATCGGCGACACGAAGGATTACATCAAACTGGTCGGAATGGTCAAGAGCAAGAAGCCACTGGAGGTACCACCATCACGCTTCATTCTGGGCGCAAAACAGGATGGTGAGGAGGATAATCCAGACGATCTGTATGACTCTCACCCTTTCTACCCGGCAATGGATCAGCTAACATGATATAGGCCTGATGATACGCAAGTCTGCTCGTGTCACAACGTCAGCAAGGGTGACATCAGCAAAGTGGTGAAAGACGGAACTTGCACAAGCGTCGGCGAGGTCAAGTCTTGCACCAAGGCAGGCGCGGGCTGTGGAGGCTGCATGCCATTGGTACAGCAGATCTTCAATGCGGAGATGAAGGCGATGGGCGCCGAAGTCAAGAACTATCGTGGGTATCTCCAGTACTATGACAATCCAGGCCATTCGCTAAATCATGCTCCTAGTTTGCCCGCATTTCGAGTACTCCAGAGCGGATCTCTTCAACATTATATCCGTGAAGAAGTATACCACTCTCGAGGAGGTTATGAAAGCGGTCGGCAAATACCCCGACTCCTTGGGCTGTGAGGCCTGCAAGCCCACCCTCGGCAACATCTTTGCTTCTCTCTTCAACCGACATGTTATGGACAAACCGATGCATGGGCTGCAAGACACGAATGACAAGTTCTTAGCGAACATCCAGCGCAACGGAACCTTTTCCGTCGTTCCGCGCGTAGCTGGTGGTGAAATCACCCCCGACAAACTGATCGTCATCGGCACCGTGGCAAAGAAATATGGTCTCTACTGCAAGATCACTGGAGGCCAACGAATCGACATGTTCGGAGCCAAGAAGCAGGACTTAGTCGAGATCTGGAGCGAGCTTGTTGATGCTGGAATGGAGAGTGGACATGCTTATGCGAAAAGCTTGAGGACTATCAAGGTATGCAGCCCCTTCCCACCACATTTAAATAACATACTAACGACCAGCAGAGTTGTGTCGGATCGACCTGGTGCAGGTTCGGTATCGGTGATTCGGTTGGCATGGCCATCCGCCTCGAAGAGCGTTACAAATCCATCCGAGGTCCCCACAAGATCAAGAGTGGTGTATCAGGCTGTGTCCGCGAGTGTGCCGAAGCACAAAACAAAGACTTTGGCCTGGTCGCGACCGAGAATGGCTACAACATCTACGTCGGCGGTAACGGTGGTTCCAAACCTAGGCACTCGGAGATCCTCATCAAAGACTGTCCTCTGGAGCGGGTGATCCCGGTGCTGGATCGCTACCTCATGTTCTATATCCGTACCGCCGATAAGCTGCAACGGACTGCACGCTGGATGGAGAACCTTCCCGGCGGTATCAAGTACCTCCGGGAGGTAATCCTTGACGACCGCCTCGGAATCTGCGACGAACTGGAACGACAGATGCAAGAGCTGATCGGTACGTACTTCTGCGAGTGGACCGAGGTAGTCAAGAATCCCGAAAGGCGAGCGCAATTCCAGCAGTTTGCCAACACGGGTGAAACGCTCGATGGTGTCGAGATCATCACGGAACGTGACCAGACCCGGCCGACATACTGGCCGAAGGAAGGCGCGGCGAAGGAGGACTTTAGGGGTACAAAGTGGACCTCACTTGCCTGGCAGCCCATGGTCAAAGCGTCTTATTTCGGCGACGGAGATACTGGCCCGAGTGGAAAGAGTGCTGCCGTCAAGCGCGGAGACACCCAGCTTGCCATCTTCAAGGTCAAGGGGAAGTACTACGCCACCCAGCAAATGTGTCCGCACAAGAGAGCCTTCATACTTTCCGACGGCTTGGTTGGCGACGACGACAAGGGAAACATGTGGGTTTCGTGTCCCTACCACAAGCGCAACTTCGAGTTGAAGGGTGAGAACCCAGGTACATGCCGGAACGATGAGGACCTAAACATTGCAACCTTTGAGATTGAGGAGCGGGCTGATGGCTGGGTCTACTTGAAGCTGCCTCCGGTTGAGGAGCTGGACGCGAGGCTTGGTACTCAGAAGTGGATGGTCAAGAAGGGAGAGACGGAGGACCCCTTCAAAGGTGTCGACGGGATTCTCAAGGGTCGGAAATCGAAGAAGACTGCTCCTCTAGGCAACCTTCCCGTTGAGAAGCCAGCCTTTCAGACGCCTGTTGCGGCCGGAGGTGGCGCCGGGTTGGATTGGTGATGGTTTTTCTTTCTTGGGTCATTTTTGGGTTACGTTTACAGGATCTCCTTTGTCATGGTGTTTTATTTGTCGGGTATTTTGGTCATCGGTCGGTGTTGGTCAGTGGTCGCCTTGGTCATTTCAATCCTTAGTACTTTATCTTTTCGTTCGTTGTCATTCGGTGATGCCAGTGATTTTCTGTGAGACAAAACAGTATGCATGAACAGCGTTCGCCCTAGCTATTCGTTTCAGCTGCTGCGTTCACCATTTGCATCAACAGCTCGGTAATTATGGTTAGTTATGAGCGACACCCTTATCTAGTCATGTGTAGTCATTTCGAACATCTTTGAAACGTGTCTTTAGATGTGCAGTGGTGGATCCGGAAGCGGGGTTCTTGACCGAAGCTCGTATGTAGAAGAAGCGGGGATGCGCGGCGAAGGCGGTAACGTTCTTGATTGGCCCTAACCGCCATCGAGTGAGTCTCAATGAGGTGCCATTTCACCTCGGCCACCCACTTTCCGAGGCTGGAATCAGTCCTTTGTCTATGACTAATGTCGCCCCGCCATCTACCCCATTTACCCCCGCGTGTGCTAGCCAGTCCAGCCACTTTCTCCATTTCTCTGCTTCTCGGTGGCTGGGAAATCCAACCGTCGACGTTACCCGTTGGGTATCTGCAGCTAATCCTGCAGCTGTCGCTCGTGCCATGGACTGACAACCAACCATGCCCAAAGCATCTCTCGGTCGTATGCCTGCCTTGTGTTGAGCCTGGAAGATCATTCAGCATATTTTGAGCGGGGTGAGTGATCGAGGAACAGTGAGGCGTTTGCTGTTCAAATCATCTTCTTCCCCATCATCAGTTCCAATGAGAATGCCCGCTTCGAAACATTTCCCATCAGAGCACAGCGATGGGCATTGTCAGGCATTTGAGACATGAACGCAGGTACGTATGGAGCCAACGCAGTGGAGTCATGTAGGGCGAAGGGATATTCGCGATACCTATACTTCGTCATCTTTCGTCTGACATATATCGATATCGGATGAAACCGCCCCCTGTGGTATCCACGTTAATCCACACGAACAAGGCGGATTACCATCGAGAGAAAAAAAACGCAATGCGATGAGGCTCCGGGTGAGGGGATCGATGTGTTGTGTGGGTTCGGGATGGAGGAAAGAAGGCTCTGCTGTTGTCGGGTTGCGAAATTGAAGCGACGTGTGGCTAGATCCAATGGATAGCGCTTTCGCTGGCCGAACAGCTAGCACAGACGCACCTGCAATGCTGCTGCAGCTGCGATTGGTCATCCATGAGCGCGGACCTCCAAAACAGCTGGCAAGAACGGGGTTTTCATCGCGCACCCATCCGGATCTACGTATGGGAGTTTTAAAGGTAGTGGCCCAGCCGGCTGCGCGCTGCATCTTCCTGTCTGAGCGCTCGAGGGTTCTTGGTAACGTACTTATACCTCACCTATGCTCTGGATCTTGGCCGTCCGTCCACCACCGATATCGGACGTAACCCACGGCTTTGTTTGATACAGCCCATGATGATTACCCCCATTACGTCGACGTCGTCATTTCTTGCGCCCTCGGTCCTCTTGTCTCTGGCAGGCTATGTGTGTGGACTACCGACCATCATATCACCGACGAACGATACGATAGCCGAGCCGCCGTGGATGAGGGATCCGGATGGGCGAGGAACCATAGGACTTCTGCTATCCTGCGTCCTGACTCTGGGTCTTTGTGTTTGGACTGGTGAGTGATGACCCCCTGAAGGAAAGGCAAAAAGAAAAACCAACTGACGATATCCGTACCAGCTGTGCATCTGAACGTGGACCCATGTGCATCGCACAGCCAGTTATTCTGGCGGAAGTGTCTATGGGTGGTAATCGGGCTGTTTTCCCCGGAGATCGTTTTGGTATGTGGGGGATTGGCCCAGGCTTCCGCTCGCTTTCGGGTCCGAGCTGACGACGAATAGGTCAGCTCCTACGAGCAGTGGCAGCAGGCACGGTCCCTGCATAGGAAAGTGAAGCGGCGCGTCGAACCTCTGTCGGAGGAGATTTGTTCTTCGACTGAGATCGAGAATGCTTCCGTGCTGGAAAAGACAGTATGCAAATCAACATGCTCACACCCATCGCCTCATGGATAACTGACGGCTAGAGGGGATAGTCGGGGATCATCACCAAAGGATGGCAAAACATGCAAGGGATATACAGAAGTTTTCGTTATACAGAGGACGAACACCTCTTTGGAATGACAGTAAGTTTGGCTTCCAACGATCGCCGCGTGTTTGATATGACAGCTAATGAGCGTACAGTGTAGTTTCTTCATCGTCATGGGAGGCACAACCATCCCTAAGGGCCGGGACGGTTCACAATGCACCTTGACACCCGAGGGGTTCGAATACCTACTGGATGTTGGTGTCTTGAAGCCTTCTTGTGTAGACACAGCTACGATATTGGACAAAGGCAAAGCCGACTTCCTGGCTAAATTTCTAGTGAGTTGTCTTCATCCTCGGTGCCAGGATTCACTGTCTGACGGTATGCCATACATCTAGGTTTGCGTCCAAGCTGCGTGGATGATACTGCAGTGCATACTGAGGAAGATGAACGACTTACCCGTCACCCTTATCGAGCTGAACGCACTGTTCCACGTCGTCATCGCCCTGTTTATGTACTTTTTCTGTAAGCCTTGACGACCTCCATGCTCGAAGCCATGCTAACATACACACCTCCAGGGTGGGAGAAGCCCCTAAATATCGGCGAGCCCATTAAAGTCAGCATGGATCCGGACCTAGCGGATATCCTCTTCGCGCTCGACGTGCGACGATCCCTGGGCATCACCGTCCGTCTGAGCACCGACGAGCTCCCAGTTTTCGATGCGCAGCGCCTCCAGCGGAACGCGCCAACGATATACGCCGCCATACCGATACTCCTTCCGATCTACAAGACCGGATTTATGAACGGATCTCAAGAGGATAATTTGGCCGGGGGGGACCGGAAGTGGGCGCTGTGGGATCTGGCAAGGGCTAAGCGGCGATTGGACAAAAGAACCCAGGGAAACATCATCATGCTCCTGCCGGGGCAGTCGATCGAGGAGCCCGATAAGCCGATCGAGGAAGAGGTGGAAGGGTCGGAGGCGGGAGATTCTGAAACGGGAGATTCGGAGATGGGAGAAGGGGAGAAGGGGAACATACAAACCACGCTGAGAGAAATAATCAGCGAGAAGCGAATGGATGAGAGTCAAGGGCAGGAGGCTGAGCCGCGGCAGAGAGCAAGAGCGCTAGTCACCGGACACGAAAAACAAACCGTCACACTCACCGAGTCGGAACTCGAGATGTTATTCTCGGCGGCCTGGGCGCTGTCGAGTGATAAGTACGAGAGAATAAAGTCGGATTACGAAGACTACGCGTGTGGCAAGGGATTTCTAAAGAAATCAAGGGACGACGATTTCCGTGTCCATCGGATCAAGAATCTGCATTTCGACATGGACATAGTCCTCTCCGAGATCAACGGCTTCAATGATCCGCACATAATATTGTCGATTCTGAATATTTTATATGGCGGTTCGTATCCCTCCCTCCCTCTCTCTCTCCCTCTTTTCCCCCATCAATATCCGCTCACAACCACTCTCAGCCGCCCACGCGAGTGTATGGAACACGCACTTCCCGACGCCGCTGGAGAAGTGGATGTGGCGCTGGTCGTGCTTCATGTTGCTTCTCCCGACGATCGTGACGACGGCGAAATGGGTGACGCAGCAGCTGCCGACAAAACATATGGACTACTATGTCAACCGCGCGGTGCAGATATTGCTGCATCCTGTGCTGGTGGTGTACTTTTGTGCCAGGGTCTTTGTCGTCGTCGAGAGTTTTATCAGCGTCAGGAGTCTGCCCCAGGGAAGCTACAAGACTGTCGAGATTAGTGAGTATTGGCCACATTTCTGACCCGGGGGAGGGGGGGGGGAGGGGTCAAGGTGGGTGATGTATGCATGTATGTATGTAGAATCAACGAATTCGTACACGCATGGGGGCATTGGGGGGTGGTTGCTTGTCGGAGTCGCCGATCGTATCCTGACCTAAGAAGAGGTATGACTCGCATTCCCGTGGAAAGGCACCGGCTGCTCTTGTGATCCTTTGAAACTTCAATCGCACGCTTCTCTCATTACTAGTAGAATTTATCCCACAAAACGAGTGACGACGGTGATCAGTACAGATAGATGCGTTCCCCGGGCCATCCGTCTAAGTGAGGCCGGACTGCGAGAATTCGGGTCCTGATATGGACAACCCGGGAAGATGCCCGACCGAGGCTATCCCGCAGTCCGGTCCGGGCGGACGGCTGATACCTCCGACTCGGGCCAAGCCCCAATTTCGAGTGATTCGATAACGATCGCTTCTCCGATCCGGATGAAAGGTCCCGCAGCAAACTGTACTTGAAGAGTCACGAGCAACACTAGTAGATGATGGCATCTGCAATTCGGACAGCACTGAATCCCGAACCGTTCGTTGTCATTAAAGGTTTCATTCCCATCGAATACATCCGATTCGTTTTTCCACATCTAAGTATACAGCGACAAAATAAAGTACGGAAGGTATGAAAGAACGAAGAAGAAGAAGAAGAGAACGCTTCAATGAATTGCTCGAGGTAGAGAAGACGACCGAATTACCGAATTACCAAACTGATTTAGACAACCCTCTTAACCTACACCAGCGTGTCAGTGATGCGGACATGCCACGGGGAAGGATGTGGGTCATCGTACCTCAAAGAACCTCTTCAGATACCACACCTGGAACAATCCATTGCCCCCCACTACACCGAGCTGGAAGATACTCCACCACTTGACCCTCGAGTTCGTACTTTCGGCCGTGTTCCTGTGCACCATCTCGCGGATCACAATGTACCTATCCCCGGCGGCGGTCAGCACCCGCGTCATCATCCCTCCATCACGCGTGGGTTAAACATACTCCTGCTCGTCCTTGACCTGGTTCAACAGCTCGCCCAAGGTCTTGACGCCCTTCTCGAGCGGGTCGGCTTGCGCCGGGTCCTCGGCGACATAGACGACGCCGTGCACGTTGAACATGACCTCCTTTGCGCTGCCGGAGTTCTCGTTCGAGAAGCAGTACGTGTAGCGCCCGTCCAGCAGCGCCTCAAAGTCCGCGTTTCCTCCCGACGTGGCTTTCTTGTTCTCGATCAGGTTTCCGGATGGATCTTGAATCTACACACCCACCCCCGTTAGCTATCATCCCCCTCGACACACCCCCACACCCCTACGGAAAGGCCTAGTGTGCGTACCCAGAAATCAATCTCGAGATTCCCCGCGCTGCCGAATTCCCGGTCGCCGACCTGGTAGGAGACGGTCATGCGGTCCTCGCGATGCAGGGTCTCGTGGTAGCAATCGCGCGTGTGCGGGTGGAGTTGTATGCTGTGAGCAGCGGCGGAGACGGCAAGGGCGGCTACGCCGAGGATGAGAGTCGAGAACGAACGCATGGTGGTAGCTGTAGGCGGTTTGCGGTTTTGTAAAGCTGATCTGATGGGGCTGAGTGGTAATTGTGTGTACGTTGTTGTTGTCCTGGATAGATGGGCCCCCTTCTCGAAAAAGACAGCTTGCTGGCTCAAGGTGGTGAGGCGACAGGAATGAGTTCAGGGTAACTACTAGGTACAACTAGGGAGATCACGTGCGGATCCCCGGCCGGTGGTGACGGCCCGTATCCACCCCCCACACGGCCCCCAACGCGACTCCGAAGGCCTATTTACCAGCCGCTAATCCGCACCACCGCTCGCTTGAGGTTCCGATTCGGCCTGAGTTCACATTGCAACCCGCCCGATACGGTATGGAGCCGAGTGCTCGACAGTGAATCATTCGCATATTTGCTCCTCGGCGGTGTTGATATTATGCGTCTTATTGTCTGTTATGGTGCCACTGCTACTTTCCACTGTCCTTTTGCATACTGCCCTCATTACCTTTGTGTCTACTTGGCATTATCCATGGCTTCTCACCAGAGTTGGCCTCTTTAGCTAAAAGCCTTCAAGCCCCCAGCCCGAGTCCGGCGACGACCATCGCCGCATCCTCTGTCTGGGGCCCGGCTTCGCCTGCTTCATCTCGTCCTCTACACGAGCTCGTTTCCCTTTATAAGCAATCCCCTTTCTCATCTTTCTCATCTTTCTCGTATGAATCACATCAGTCAAGTCAAGTTCTTCTCCCAGTTGCAACTCAACAGGCGGCTCGTCTCCGGTATGGTCTGCAATTTCCCGAGTGGACATTTTATTCCAGGCCATCCAGTACCTGCCAGTTATCGCCGGGAAGGGATGAAACGAGACGAAACGAAACACGATTCACGCCCCATCTCACTCGCGCGCACAGCGCCCACCGCAATCTTTGGGCATCCCAGCATCCCGTCCCGAATCGGTGGCGAATTCCCACGCTTCCACGAAACCTTCCATCACCCACCACCCATCACCCGGCGACGGCGACGGGAAGCCACAGGGGCGCGCTCACGAGGACTCAGGTGCGCGCCAAGAGAACATTCGAGTCGAGTCGAGTTGATCGATAGGTAGCGAGTCCGATCATGCATGCATTGAGGCATGCATTTCGCAACTACCGTAACCCACAGCCGCATGCCCTGTCCTGCCCTGTCCTGCCATGCCCTGCCCTGCCCTCAGCGCCCTGCCCTTAACGCCCTGCCCTCAGCGCCCCGCCTGCCCTGCCTGACCTGCCTGTCCTGCCTGCCCTGCCTGTCCTGCCTGTCCTGCGAAACGCTGTCATGCGCTGCCTGCCCTGTCCTGGAAACACTGTGACCGTGGTCCGGAGTCGAGTCGGGCGCTTGCCCCAAGCCTGCCTCAAGCACGGCGATGGAGTGCGGCTGTCCGTGGCGGTACAGCACGGTACCGTACCGTATCGGACGGTATCGAACAGACCGGCCACGGGCATGCACGATGGACGTGGATGTGCTGTCCCCTCACCTGTGCTACTCGAAAACCTTCCATCCAATACCTTTGTATTGCCGCTCTGTACTTCCGATATGTACTTCCGATCGATACTCTAGGTAGAGTAGGTACACCGAACCGTGGACGACGGCAGTAACTTTTCTTCTTCTTCTTCATCCTTTTTTTTGCTTTTTTTTATACCGTGTGCACCGTACGTGCGACCAATGTGATTGTGACGTCGTCGGCCTGTTCGTTTGCTATTTACGGCTGCTCACCTTATCATGCGTTGAACTTAACTCTGGACAGTGGAGGCGTTGAGGTGTTGACGTCCCCGTGCGGATCCCCGCACTCGAGAGTACGTAGAGTACAGACGTAGCTGAGGCTGGGTGGGGTGGTGGGGTGGGGCTGCAGCACAGCAAAAGCTGAGTGCCGAGGTGGATGGATGTTCAGCTGGATGCGATGCCGACCACCACCACCTTCACCTTCACCCCGCCCTCAATCCAATCACAGAGTGCAAGTTGCAAGTTCCAGAGAAGTATGTAGACTAATTACTTTTTCATTCCATTCCACCCCAGTCCCAGTCCTCCACCTCATTCTCCTCATCCTTCATTCAGCTTCCAGACGGTAAGAAAAATTAAATCGCACCAAATTCCAATCCTATCCGGGGTCTACAGATTGTAAAAAAAGAAACGAAAACCAGACAAACAAACACCCCTCTACTAGGTACTACTCATACATGCTCTCGGAAAGTGACAATTCTTTGGGCAATATGTATATCGAAAAATGAAAAAAGATAAAAAAAGATAAACGGCCGGCCGAAAGCGTTTAGACGGACCTGTACCAGTTGGCAGAAGGGTCGCCCAGGCACTCGCCGACGAGGGCAGAGGTGTAACCCTTGGCCTTGAAGGTGGTGATCATGTACTGGACGAGGCTCTCGACAGTGTACTGGTGGACGTCGTGGGTGAGGGGGATCCACGAGCTGCTGGAGGAGCTTGCGGCGTTGAGGGCAGAGGCGAAGATGTCCTTGCTGTTCTGGATTCCGGAGGCCGAGTCGTACTGCCAGTCCTGGGTGTCGAGGTTGGTGTGGATGACGTGGTAGCCGAGCGTGTTCATGACATTGAGGCAGGCGGAGCCGCACGAGAAGTAAGGGGGACGCATGTAGGTCGGTGCCTTTCCGATGACGCTCATGAGCGCCGTCTCGAGCTGGGTCATCTCGGTGGTGACTTGGGAGCCGCTGAGCGTGGCAAGGTCGGCGTGGTCCCAGGTGTGCGAGGCGACCTGGTGGCCCTCGGCGATCATCCGCTGGACGAGCGCGGCCTTGTCCGAGCCGTAGATGTCGTTGGCTCCCCAGTTCTTGCCGTTGACGAAGAAGGTGGCCTTGACACCGTTACTCGACAGAAGGTCGAGAAGTCCCGAGGTGTAGATGTATGGGCCATCGTCGAATGTAAGGGCAACCTTGCCGGACTGCGTGCATGTGGTGATGAGCGAACCTGAAAATATCCATTAGTATCCACTCTGTGCTTGGCGAATACTGTCGAGGTTTTTGCTTACCATAGGGCACGCTGCCAGGCTTTGCGCGGCCGGTCGAGATCGGCGGCGAGGTTGTTCCAGGAACGGAAGTGACGGGGGTGGTGGTGGGTGTTCCTCCAGAAGTACATGTCTATTTTTTTCAATGTCAATTCCTGAACCGAAAACATATGGAATGAGTTATCCCGAGGGCATGTATGTAAGGACGTACTCCGTAAGCCGACTGGCAACCAGTTCCTAAAATTGCATGTCAGCCATCTGGTCTTGGAAAGATGCCGATTCGACAGGATTCAACGTACCACAGTGTTCATCCGAATCACCGCACCAACCCCACTGCGAGCAGCACTTGTAGGAGCTGGTGGAGCAAGTGTATCCGGCGGAACCACCACAGGTTCCATCGGTCGACACAACCCTCTTCAACAGACTTTTGGCATCCAATTGGCCAGCGGGGACGGCGGCGGCGAATGCCACGGACGCAAAGGCAGCTGCAGACAACCAACCCTTCATATTTGCGGTGATTGGGGGGTAAAGTAGAAACGAGTTGTGACAGGTGATTAAGTGTGAAGTAGAATTAGGAGGAGTATGAGGCCTGTTGGAGAGAGTGAATGAAGGCTGGATGGAAGGATGATGAGGCAGAAGGAAGCAGCGGCGGACTGTGCCTTATATTCGTCTCGAGGACCTCCTTTTCAATAGTCCCACCCATCATATACGTTGGAGGGGGTGTGAAGAAAATGTCGCGGGTACGAGAGAGCGAGTTCAGTCATGGAGGAGACAAGCTAGGAGGGGGGTACATCGGTAAACTGAGGTAGTGTACAGTAGAACCAAAGGATCAGGAGGCCGGGGGCGGAAGTCGACGGGGATGCGAGCTGTTGGGGCCGATATTGAGCAGGCACCTGCCGAAGTAGCCAAGTAGATACACGGTGACCGGTCTGGATACTCTGGATGCCAGACTCAGCAAGAATAGAGTGAAACGGTGGGCGAAGGGCCGAATGCACACTGGTGCTTTGATCACAGTGTGCCGGTCGGGGAGTGGGGGGGGGGAAAGGTAGGGTGAGAGGGGACATGGCTGGGGACCACGCCAGTACCAAGAGTACGGTAGGATGTATGTACCAAGGTATCTTCCTGCACCGCAATGCTGCGTTTGGAGCGTCAACAGTCGGCTGAGCGAGGCAGATCATTCTCTGCGAGCAAAAAACAAAAAAGAAAGGAGAAAGAGAATATCGCCCCCCCCCCCCCCCCCCCCTCCCCCTGTAATAGCAGTGGATCGGCCCAGCACCGCTGAGCCGGAGGGCGCTCCTTTGCCACGGGCTGTGTCTCTCCTTAGCAGGATCATGGCCTATGCATACATACAACCACAATCTCTGCGATCAGTAACGTTCGCTGGCGGCAGAATTCCCACGGCCGAGGGGCTAAGGCCTGGCGATATCGAGAACCACCGTACCTACTTTAAAAATATCCAACCCGGCGCCTGCCAGTGCTTGCCTGCCAGCCATCAAAGTGAGGTGAAATCTGGGTGCACAGCGCACTAGCTGGTGGCTCCCTTCCTAGCCGGGGAGCCCTCTAGGCTCTGCCCTCTGCAATTAGCAACACGATGGGAAATCGTCGGCTCCGTCGAAAGGAAAGAAGATTCGATTCGTCTCAGGCGCACAGTGGGGACTCGGGAGGAATTAGGCATCCCAACTTGGAGGACACCCTAATGCTCGGAGTCACCGTGTAGTTACATGATATGATGCTGGTTAGTATAGGTGGGTGTAGTAGTATGTACTGACTCGAGCATTGAGGGACACTCCATCGAGATGCGGTATTCGGCTGTCGAGTCTGTCAATCAATCAGTCCGTCCGTCCGTCCGTCCGTCTATCTGTCAACCTGTCTGTCAATCTGTCTGTCAATCTGTCTGTCTGTAAGTCAATCAGCCCGGCTTCCATCACCCGAGACTCGAAGCAAATGTTCACGAAATGTCTCCCTCACCCCCCCGCCCACAGCGGGCCGAGTGGGGTTCGGATCTTTTCACTTTGTACTAGTACTAGCACCACTACCATACATAGCTGCAGGACTTTCTCCGGAAGAAAAAGAAGAAAAAGCAAAAAGCAAAAAGCAACCCTTCCTCCGCCACAACCCGCATACATATGATCGACAAGAAGGTGGCAGTCCCCAGTCAGTCCTGCAGGACCAGGACCGGGCTGGCTGCTGGTCACGAATCGATTTGGCGCAACATGGTGTGTGTGTAGGTCGTGGCGCGCTTGTACCACTCTCCTTATGACGAGAGAGAGAACTTCTGGCGCGCCAAGAGTTATCCTGGGAGTGACTTGTAAGCGCAAGTGGTTACTTGGTTACTACTAGTAGTTGTGCTAGTACCGTCTGGCCTGACGGGAATATTTGTGCTCGCATCGGAGAAGCGGTGCTCTGGTGTCTGCGCAGGGCGGGCTAACTGAGGTGGTGTAGTGGCTACTATTCGGCACTAGAGTACTTTTGGTGGCTACATAGAGTGGTGTGGACAACTCAACTCAGCCTTGATTGACTTGCGTCGGGGAAAATAACAATAATAGGTTGTCGCCATCGGAGACAAGACGCAAGAGACAACAAGCAAGCCACAAGACAACAGGCAAGACACAAGCCGCAAAAGACAAGCCTGCACAAGCAAGACACAAGACATCTGTGCGTGCCGTGGTGTGTGCTGAGGTCGATCATGGAGTAATTGTGCGCTCGAGTGCCGTGGTATGTGCGGATACTGATGGAGTGTCGTACCCACTGCAAGTCTGCAGCCATGTACTCGAGTGCCGTGGTCCAGATTATACGGCATTATCGCCGCCACAACGGACTTAATGTATGATACATTCCGGTACATACATACCTCATACATACCTGATAGAGCCCTTCGCAATCGGGAACTGCCATGTATCATGTATGTACAGTACATACATGGAGCACACGTAGGTTCACGTAGATTCATCGAGTACCAGATATGCCTGCGTCGTGTGATTCGCACGCCGGCGCTCTCCAGAGTAGAAGCAGCGACAGCAGCATAAGAGGCGTGAGCTGAAGTCGAACCCCATCAGCTCAAACGGATCTCAACTCTCGAGTATGCTCGCGCATGACGCCGCCGCTCTAAAGCACAACGACTCACGCACCGTCGGATCTCGATTCTCGAGTTCGCTCTCGCATGTCGCATGCCACTGTCCCGTCCTGGACTCTTGGTGCAGTGCATCGCTGCTTCTTGGTGATTAGTACGGTATCGTCCGCTACGTACAGACTAGATACACTTCCGTATTCGGCAGCGGACGGATGTAGATACTAGAGCACATACACACATTCTACTAGAGCACTCATATACTAGAGTATACAAACTACTACTAGAGTATCGTTCCGTCCCCATCGCCAGGCCCCCAACAGAGGAAGCCGATCAGCTACGCTTTCAGGCTTCAGGCTTCAGGCTGCAGAAGAGGTGGGTGGTCTACTACTCTACACAGCGAGGCCGGGTCATTTCCAGGACGAGTACATACATCTATGCCATGTGTAAGAAGTATGTAATGAACTGACCGAGTGCCGTTCGCCTGTCAAGTTGCCATTTAGAGAAAGAAAGAAAAAAACTTCCAGCAGCGAGCATTGAAGCCCCGATACCGATGCCTGCCACCCCCCCCTTCTCTCTGCACGGCGAGGGTCCTTGTCAAATCATAGCTCAATCTATGTACTCTACAGCATAACTACTCCAACTTCCCTACCCTTACCCTTACCCTTGATCCCTCGATGTTCCTATGCATGTTCCTATGTTATGTATGATATGTCTGTACGTCCTACCAGGATCCGGATACCGAGCGACTGACAGATGGACAGTCAGCCTCGCAGGCTCGCACAGCATCGGGGCCGAGTTAACATCCCTTCTCTCGACGACGACGGGTATGGTTGTTTGGTTGTTTTGCTCCCATGATGGCTGTGGAGTCATAGAGCATGTGTGTAGTGTACGATCAGGAGCCGGCACGCGCTTGAATACGGTAATCAATAATCTGCAACTGTCATCCCTTACCCCACCACCACCTCCACCACCACCTCCACCACGGAAACGTCCGAGAAGTAGTTCGGATATGCGGTATTCACTGTTTGGTGTTTGTACATACATACGGACACTAATCGGATCACTATGCCCGTTAGGATTAGAGGCGGGGGGTGATTACTGTCATCCGGACGGATGCACACACCACCACCAGCCAGCGAGGAAGCATTTCAAGGTACAGGCTTTCACAACCGCGGCAGCTAGATACATCTACAAAGCGACATCTTTAGTCACTCGAAGTTGCCAAGGAAGGGTAGCAACCTTTTAGTCAAACCCAGGCTTACGGTGGCTGGATTCTGGAATCCGATGCCCGGCGGTCTAGCAGTTGTGCTATTCTGGAGTAGGTCTTATGTACTATTTACCTATGTAGAGTACTACGTGCTCACTCCACCTTGAGGCTTGAGGAGCGCGCTGGGGTGCTAAGCTTGGATACATATCTTTAACATTTGCAACTTCAGCTTTGCTAGCTGATCATCATCATCACCACCACCGCCACCACCACCACTACCACCACCACGTCGTCGTGAAGAACTGGACAGAGTAAGAACTTTGTTATTCGCGGAGAGATATCGCAGCCACTTTTTTATTTTTAACCAGACGACTGTTCTTTTTTTTGATTTTTTCTACCGTTGGATCAGTTCATACCTTCACCTTCTAGTAGGGCTAGATACATCGCCAGCTCGTTGTGTACATAGGGTTCAAACTTCGGGCTAGTTGATGACCACTAGTCACTGGCACTATCATGCTAGTAGCATAGCGCCCGCTCCCATTCGTGCATCAAGCGAAGCCATCCCGATTCCCACCCATCCACGTTCTTGGCGAACTGTGGACACTGGTCAGCGATGTGGATGGGTCCACACAGGATCCCGATCTCGGGCAGCCGTCCCTCCCATGCAATCGTTGTCGTCGTCAAGTGAGACAACCAAAAAAAAAGAAAAGGAAAAAGAAAAAGAAAAGAAAAAGAAATCACCGTGAGTGACGTCAACTTCGATTAATCAAGCCCTTTCTGCTTTGGCTCTGGCTGAACGGTGAACACAGATCTCGGAATGTAGAAATCACAGGACTACTAGTACATATGGGAGGTGATTCAGCCAGCCCGCCCGCATGCCAGTCGCGGAATTCACAGGCATAACTACTAGACACCGGTACGTCTCCGCACGGCCTCGGCTCCCACTACCACTCGAGCCCAAAGCTCTCGGCCTTCACCGAGCCAGCAGTTATGGAAAGCCAAAAAAAGAGCCAAAATAAAAGAAAGGAGTCACAACTTAACCGGATCCGCAACCATGTCGCCGCCATCGTCGCCTCGCGCGATCGCGCAATCGCGCTGACCACGAGGAGCAGAGTGTGGACACCAACCACGGAAGCGACTCGACTCGGTGTTTCGGAGACCGCCGTTGGCGAGCGAACGAGCGAACGAACGAACGAACGGATGCTTGGCGGGGCCGGAGGCGTCGGATGTGGAATATTCTCCAAATGCAAAGCAAAAGCACGAGAGCTTGCTTGCTTGCCTGGAAGAGAGCTTGCCTGGAAAAGAGCGGTGCGGCATCACATCCTTGACGCTGCTAACTAATATGTCGGCGTCGCCCCAAGAGCTTGAGCCTTGAAGTTGCAGGTGTTGCCGGCGGCCGATAACACTAACCAGAGTGGAGTACTCAGTAGAGCAGCAGAGCAGCAGAGCAGCAGGCAGCAAGGCACGCGAAGGATCTGCTACGAATCTTCTACTCTGGATACTCTAGTTACCTAGAACGCCGCTCCCGGTGTGGACTGGAAATCAAAAAACACTCTGGAGTACCGACCAGGTAGTGCGTCTGCCGAATCTCTCCCCAGAAAAGAAAACACCGCGGCTGGTGGCTGATAAGGCCGATTTCGCCGGTCCTCGGAAAAACCCTTTCCGCTGTTCGTTCGGCTGGCTGTGAGAGGAGTTCCCGAGTCCGGATGACCCGCAAACCACATTCGATATCGAACTCACATTCACGTTCAATGTCAACATCGAACTCACATTCGTTCACAATTCTCAGCCCCTCCCGCGCTTGATCGAAATACCTAATGATTACGGACAGCGAAGACTGACTGCGGGGTACATACATGAATCTATTTTTGACGACACCCCCTCTAGAATCTATATACTCTACATCCAATCAATGGACATTGGACATTGGATGCGGCTGCGGATATATATTAATCTGCCTGGCCTGAGGGTCCACCATCGGATCTCACGAATCCGCCTTGCGGCCAATCAACACCGAGCAGCGACAGTCAAGTCATCGCAAACGGGTGAACCTGGCAGGAACAACCACAGATATATCTGAACCTGAACCTGAACCTGAGCTCGAACCGAGCCATCACCGAGTCAGGCGACATCGGACAAAACCTCTACCTACTCTAAAGTTACATATCAGCTCATGCATGTATGTATCATACGTGATATACGAGTAGTACACCGTACACGAGGTATGTACCCACAGAGTGACAGTCATCGACGATTATGATCTTTTTTTTTCTCTTTCCACTCAGCTTTCGACGGCCTGTGGGGCTGCGAAGCTGAGGAAATCTCCGCGGCCTTCTTCGGCAAGTGCCTGTGGATATGTAGGTGTATCTTGATTCTTCCCACAAGGTACCGAGCATTCAATTCAATTCTATGTACCCGCTGTTCGCGAAAGACCCTTGACGTTTAATATCGCGGCGGGGTAGGTGGAGTAGATTCGTATGGGCGGCGATGATATCTGCGGCTGGATGGTGGTCTGCACCGTGCACAACGCGTGTAGGCGGCGGCGGCATATGTACTAGGTATACTACACATACTATACATACCTGTGTATGTAGCAGACAATTTGACAGGAAGCTCGGAATGCTGCTTGAGACAGCTGCAAGCAAGCAAGCTCGGAAAGCTGCATTGAAGCGGCGATTGAGACACCACTGGCAAGCACGGCTCCCAAATGGATGAAATGACGGCATGTAGTATGTACTGTACACCTGGACACGACGGTGGTGGAAGTTGGAACCAATACATGCCCGTCAAGTATACTAGTACCATAATAACAACACTGCGCTCAGTCAAATACCGGTATTTAGAGTACATACCGACACGGCTGGAACGCGGTTTCAGCTGCTGGCAATTGCGAATAGGTATGAAGTATGTATGTATGTCGAGTAAATACCGGTTGAAGGCTGAAGATGGAGTGTCGCAGACAGCGACGGGACAACTCACCATCCCGCCCGCTTCAGGCTTCAGTTTAGCTCCCAGAGTCTCAGTCGTGCATAGGTAACAAGTACCAATATAGGTACTTTGCTTGCTTGGTTCCAGCGGCTCTGCGGCTCACGACATCGGCAGTACATAACTCGGGTTTCCCGTGAGACGGTGAGAGAGATCAGGGCTCGAGTGGATATGCCCGCCATATAACTAGTCGGTTGAGCTATATGGAGTAAATACTCTACTTTTCACCGTGGCCCTACTCACCGACGAGCCCGCCGGTCGCTCTGAGCCCGCCGGTAGAGTTGAGTACATACTCGTATACATATCCGCTTGTCGTAATGCTTATACCTAGTACTAGGTAGATATACCGGTAGGTACCCATTCGCATTCGCTCCGAGCCCGCCGGTAGAGTATATCCGCTCGTCGTGGTGCCCACCGGTATCCATCCGCTCCAGCCTCCGAGCCCGCCCATACCTATGTAGTACTCGTATATCCGCCCGTCGTAGTTATCACCTATCGAATCCATCCACCGAATCCCATCATGCCAAAACCAATCTTCCGGACTCATCAAGGCTCCGCCAGTCGACAGTCGACTCGTTTCCGTTCGTTTCACGATAAGGGTTCAAGTTGCAAGCGCAAGCGCACACCGCCAACCAGGCTATGTACCAGTCTACCAGGCTGCCACGGGGTGGGGCAGCCCCTGTGGCGAAACGCTGGATCCGACACAAGCAGACCGGTGGCGAAGTGAGTAGAGTATCTAACGAGGTCCCTGGCAGCCGCCAGTAAGCGAAGCGAGCAGAATCACTCCCATCCCTTCCCATCCCTTTCCAGAAGAGCCATTCCAGAACCCAGGGCCTTCCAGGCTCCCGACGCATATGTACAGGGTGATAGAGCCAGTACTGCCCGGCTCCCGAAACGCGACCCCACGGCCAAGTCGGCGCGGCACTCTTGGCGTCAGGAGGGACTCCGGTGGGAAATATGGGAAATATGGGAAATATGTATGCCCACGCGCTATGTGTGGCCACCGGAGTGAGAGTGAGAGTGAGAGTGAGAGATTCTCTGCATCGTCGTCGTCGTGGAAGAGTGGAAGCGTGGAAACGTCGGTCAGGCACGGTAGGTACCCTATTTGCTATACTAGAGGTAGGTGCCGCCGCCGTACCGGTACTCTACAGTAGGTACGGCCGGTAGGCAGAATTCACATATATACCGGTAAGTTTCGTCGCAAGCAACGACTACTCTAACCATTCTAACTGAGCCAGGTACGGTAGCGATCCGGTACGAATCGTACGAACTGGTACTCTACGGTAGGGTGGTATAACTAGTACACTACACGGTGAGAATCGAGATATCCTTTGCCTTTCTTCGTCTTTTGCCTTTTGCCTTTGCCACCACAATGATACTACCTACTAGGTAGTCTAGGTAGTAGTTAGCAGCCAACTACTTTACTACCTAGAGTAGGTACATACGGTAGAGTAGAATAGTACATAGACTCATAGAGTAGTCACCTCCTAATTCGCGCTTCACGATATATAGATATGTTCAACACTTTTGCCGGTGGGTACGTACCACTTCAGGCCCCCACCCCCGACCCCCCACCCCCCTTCAACGCCTACGTCACACCGGATGGCGGACGGACGGAGATTAAAAGATTATTCCTCGCGATACTTTACTCTACCGGTACTCTACCGTAGATATGTATGTATCTATGTAGGTATAGGTATAGATACTTAGATTGGATGCATCTGCGATGTGCGTCGGCAGTCAGCAGTCAGCACACCGACCGACCGATTTCCTCAAGCTACATAGACTAGGTTATAGGTAGGTAGTCCTTTCTTACCCGTGGGGATGTGCTGGGTTTATTTACGGTAGCAGTGTGCACTCTATTCCGGCGGCAACTATACCTACTCAGCACTTTAAGCCCCCCCCCTCCCCCTCCGGTACATACTTGGGAACGGTGCGCGTTGTTTTTTCTTTTCGTCGTCGTCCTGGAGCTCCTGGTTTCTTAGAAGCTAGTACCTACTCGATCTGTACGGAAAACAAGCGACCTGCCACCAGCATCTACCCGATGTTAGATAATTGTTTAGGCGTGGCCGTGGCGATATAGGTAAGGTAGAGTAGGTATAAGGGCCTCGCTGGGTATGGGTATGGGTGTGTGGATATGGGTATGGGTGTGGGTATGGGTGTGTGGATATGGATAGGACTCGATGCTGACTACTACTTACCGTACTCTACCGAGAGGCCATGGATTCGGATTTGGAGTGTGGAGTCGGACTCGGTATGATTATATCTAGAAATACTTAGAATAGATATCGGCCTTAACTCTTGGCTCTTGACTCTTGGCTCCAGCAGCGGTACCGGTACCGGGACCGGGACGGGTGCGGGTGGGTATGGCTGTCGCCTGGTGGGTGCTTGGCTGCTGTCCAGGCACGATGAGTCACGACAAGGCGAGCAGGCCCCGTGCCATAGTTACCTAGTAACTA